CCCTGTCGCAAAGAAAGATGAGGTCAAGACCTTTCCAACGGTGTATTGATTGTCGGAATGCGTTTATGTTTACCGAAGTTACGAAAGATAGTACACTGGTCTATGCACTGCAATATATCGCGCGATTTTTTTGCGAGTTAACTCGTACGTAGTGGATCAGGTCATGCATAAAGTGCGAGTTAACTCGTACTCAGCACGCAAAGGGTTAAGAGCAATTTCTCCTACTGCTGACTGCTGAAAATGTTGTGTCCTTCACAACTAGTCTCTTTGTTCTAAGAAGTCTGCCTCTTTCATCGATTCGTGTTTACCTAGCTGCGTTACGCTATTAGTAGCCTATTACCTGTTGTGCACTGGGGCTGGCCTAAAAGCTGCTCGCTCAACAGTTGTGTTGCATGCATAGAGGGAGAGACGGCAAGCCGCCTCGGCATATTTGCGGATAGAGCTTTTATTAGAAAGGAAAAGGACATATGGATACGAGTTAAGAGTAACTGTCCACCACTGTAACTAGCTACTACAGTAAAAAAAAATGCAACAACTAGGCACAAAACTGACAGAGTGCTGAGACATTCGACGACCTGACTCCTAGCTTCAACACATCTCCGTAGCGCTAACCAACAGCCTTCCAACTTGGAAGGTTCAAGGTTAAAAGGAGAGACCAAAGAGGGGAAGGTAAGCGCAACGAAAATGAGCACAAGCTAGTAGTTGAAGCTACAGTCCCACAAGAACAAGAAATGTTGATTGTTACTGGACGATGACGAAACCAGTATTACCTTTCCCTCTTTGGTCTCTCCTTAACACTACGGAGATGTGTTGAAGCCAGGAGTCGGGTCGTCAAATGTTTTAGTGCCTGGTTGTTGCACTTTCTGACTGTATTTAGTATATAGTGACAGTTACTCTACACTCATATCCATACGTCCTTTTCCTTTCTACATTAATTTTATTATTGCCATATTGGCTCAACATCCGAGTTTCAAAGAGCTTTTAGTGGACGACTTAATCCATTTTCGGCAATGCTTACAACGATCCAATCAGTCATATTGTAGATCAGGCTATGCTGTGGGTAAGTATACTACTGGCCTTGTATGGCTTATTGTTTGCCAGCGAGTATTTAGCATCATCTACTAGTATTCACTCGTTTGACAGCCAAAGAGTATTTGTGTGGGAGGCTGGGAGTCTCGCACCTGACTTGGTCACGTTGTGCCTGAAGGTCACTAAGACGCGGCCATATACGGTGGAGCCGTCGCAGTTCCATCTACTGTCGACGAAACATGCCCGGTATTGGCTATTCCGGTACATGACAGCCCATGCCTGTAGCACCAAGCCTGTGTTCACGTTTGCCAAAGGGATCCACCTTACTTGGCCTTATTTAAATAAGATACTCTGTCACGCTCTCAACTGTTATCAGGTTAGCTCCCGCTCCATGCCCATTGTTGGAGCGACAGTCCTGGAATCCAGAGTTGCAAGTGAGGTGGTGATACGGCAAGCAGACGGTGGCAAAGTACGGCTTAAAAGCTCTACATCTGGCAAGTGGCCGGCATACCACCCCAATGGACATCGGAACAGTACACGTAGAGTAGCATCTCTACGTGACAGGGTATGACTATGAGCGCAAGTGAGTTCTTATGCTCTACTAATGTGCATTGATTCTGTGACTATAGTTGGTGTACAGATCTCATCACATGTGCCTTAGGTGGGATTTGCTATTGTCACTGGAAAATTCAGCCCTAACAAACAGTGTGATGAATGAATTTGACTCCAGGTATCTGCTTTTGGGAATGCCATGTATGCATGTCTGGCGTGCTGCTGCTATAATGTTGTGGCAGCAGCATTTTGGTGCGATGGACTGTTCTTGTAACGGTGTACCTACCCATTTGCTGTTGCCGGATGCCGTGTTTTGTCAGTTGTGCCTGTTTGAAGGTGCCAGGCCAGCTTGTGTTGGTGCGTTCCCGTTAAGTTGCCAGGGCACCATATTTGTAACGGCGTTCCCGTTTTGCTGCTGTGGGGCTGTGTTTGTATCGGTGTGTTCCCGTGGAAGTTGACGGGGCACCACGTTAGTGGATTGTGCCTGTTTGAAGTTGCCAGGCCAATCCTGTAACGCACACCCGTTTGCTGATAATTGGGGACATGTTTGTCCATTTTGCTCGAGATTCACATGGCTGCGCCAGTTGCCTTGTGCGGATTAGACTGTTATCTGGCACTAGTCTTGATCTGTTTTATTCAGATTCAGATCAGCTATTGTTCCTATACGAGAAAATCTGTGGGTGCACATCCAATTCATTTGCAGATTTGCGTGCTTCTCCAGCAACGGGCGTTTACATGGTACATGGTGTGTGGGCGTATGTGTGGTGTGTTCATGCTGTAGAGGCCAGTATTGCCAAGCACTGGGGACCTTTGGCAATCTGAAGAATGTTTTGTCCGAGAATCGATCCTTGGATCTGTGGCGTTGCAGTTGTGGTGCTCCCGACCCTCTTGCGCGATGGCCGCGGAGACTTGGCGAAAAGGTTCGAGACATACGGCATCTCAATATCTTCCACCACAATCAGTACATCAGCACCACCATCGAGTGTAGCGACATCAGCAATAGAAGACGCACATATCATTCACCCTTACGGCCTTAGCGAAGACCCGGGAATACCTGAGAAGATGTTAGCCGCAACTTTACTGGAAAAGTCGTCGGTGACAACGGCACTCCATATTTTAGCTGCATGCAGTTAGGTCTCTCAACAAGTGTACCCAAAGTTTTCAAGCTAATACACAAGCAAATTCACTAGGGGCCGAGTATATTTTCCTACACCTCTCCCTATTTGTTGTTGTTATTTCTGCATTCAAATTGTTTGTGTACCTGCTGTACATTTATTACAGTAGAGCCACGTATCCACGGCTGTTGTTTCCAAGGGGTCAGGCTCGTCAGTTATACAAAACCTTTCAGCAATCTGGCCTTAGGCTTGGTTCCTTGACTTCTTGTACCACCTTCTTAGATGAACATCCCACTGGATAGTGAGCAATACGTGTGTAGCAGAATCTGTATTCCAGAAAAGCAGAGACTTGAGTCTATTGACACTGCGTTTCTTTTTAAAACATTAATTGGCTGTGGTGTTCCTAGAGGTATACAACACGTACATTCCTGGGTCCCACGTTCTGTGACGCCCGACTGTATTCGTGGTGCCTCAACAACTTTAAATTGTGTGCACTCGGGAAAACCTGCCTGAGGCTGTGAGGCTGCAGAGTGTTGGCTGTGTTTTGCTTTAAAAAACCATCAGGTCTCCCCATATTTTCTAGTCTGGCCCTGAATTTTGCCACTCTGGTTTCAAAACCTAGTGTGGTGGTGGAAAGCCTAGCAGTGTTGTGTGTGCATGTGTGTATTTTGTACAGTGCGGGCCAGAGAAATCCAACCTCGTTAATAAAGTAGCGCGCCGCGTTCGAGAGCACAGACCGGTCCAGTATGTTTACTACTAAGTACTAGGGCTGCGTAGCGCCCGGTGCAATTTTATTCATAAGGTTGGATTTCTTTGGCCAGCACTGTAGTTAGAAGTAGGTCCTCTAAGGTCCTCTGTTTGTGCGCAATTGTGGTCACAGTGGCAGTAGTGGGTGAGGGGTAGACTCAGTTACTACGAAGATGGTGTATACAGTCATGTAGTTGAATGTTACTTCGGGCTTAGACCCAGAGGTTCTTGCAATGATGACCCCGGGTTTATGTACATGTATCATTCAGCTACCGTTGTCATAATGGCACTAGTTGATAGAACACCTGTATAAGTACAGGCTGTATATCTAGTATTTTCCAAAATAGCACTCCGTACTTCGAGGCTGCAGCCGTTTTGCATGCAACGTTGTATGTGTTGATCGGTTGACAGCATGTGACAAAGCCGAGGACACACTAGTGTATCAGGAGCACTGTTTTTTAACACAGTGCGTCCCCCGCCTTGTCATGTTAATTTATCAAACAAGGCTTACCTATACCAACATTATACATGTAGGGCTGTGCATGCTTTCAAAATTCTTCCTTGTTGAAGTAGAATACCGTGCTTGTGGGGGCTTTAGTAGTTCCTTTGCCAGATGTTCTATGCGTATCTCAATGACTTATCAGTTTCAGCACTCGGGCAAGGCACATTCGGGCCTACACATGTAGCCTTGAATTCTGGCTTGGAGGCATTATTTATCTATTTTCATGGCTGCTAGGTTCATCCTTAGTTAAGAGTTATTTCTCCGTGATTCGCTGATGAGTCCACAAAGGACGAAACAGCTAGACAGTACTAGTGCTGTCCCCAGATCGTGTATTCTAAATCCATAATAGTTAATACTGACGCTCAATCTCCAGACAGCTGTTTCAGCCTTTTTAGGTCCCATCAGTGGAGCTCAGAGCGGGAGGTTAAACAAATGACAATACGGTCTATATGAAATGAACAAAAAAAGCTATTTGAAAATGGCTCAAAGCATCAAAGTCAGCGAGCTATCTGCAAGACACGCACAAAGAGAGCTTTGCACGAAGGCAGATACATATTACATATACCTTTGACACTAACCAAAAAGAGTGCTCAATCAAGTCAACGCAAGGCAGCGTAATGCGGTGATCGAGTCTATAAAAAGCTATAGTGACATGTAGCCAGGCTCCCAGCACAATACGCTGACTTGCATCATGCTAAAATCGTTCACACAAATCTCTTATAATAATTATTATATAGATTGCAGGATAGGGTGGTTGCACCAGGAAGTGCTGTCTCTGCGATAGTGGGACCAGCCAAGATTGCAGTACAGTCGTCCACCATCAATCCAGCACTTCATTGGCCCACGCCCTCGATATACCAGCATGATTTCCGGAGTTATTACCATTCATCGACACATGCCCCCCCCCCCCCCAGTTCTTCGGCACCTGACCCGAGGTCTATTAGGGCCGCACTACTTTGTAGCAGTCATACTATAGTACTAGAACTGGATGCACGTGATATCCACTGGAGCTGGCGCTGGCCATGAGCTGACCCACCGCCGTGCCTCCCAGTGTCAATTTTGCTTATGTGATCCTACCACAATCTGGAACATTATCAGTACTCGCCTCTGTTGACTTGCCAGCACTAGTTCTGGTGGATCCGGGCATGTTTCTGCCTTCTCTTAAGCATGTATTCTCCTGCAGGTGCATCTTTCACCTCCTTCTAATGCGCGAGCACATTTTCTGTGGAGATTCAACGACACATACACCAGAAAATACAGAACGGAACAGTGGCTGCCAATGCGACACAAGTACCACATAGACCTAAAAACACATAAGTACCCTGGGAGTTAGATGCATTTACGGGCAGTATGCCAGGATTTGCGCAGCTAATTTAAAATCAGATTAGCAATGCTGTGTGCTACCTAGGCGGCATATTGGACTCAAAAACCAACCGATTGTGGTCCAACCCAACCGACGGCGTTGTCGGTGGGTTCCGATTGGCAGGTGTTGGATGGACGTATGATCCATGCGTCCCCACAAGCAATGAGAAGTTAACAATGCCAAGGATATAATATCGCGGACAGCAGTACAATGAAACTGGGCCATTCATTATCAGCAATATCAGGGGTATATCCCATCCGATAAGACGTACAGCTCGGGTATGGCGGACTTTACAGCAGGTCCCGACATAGCTTGCCCCGTGCCCTTTACCACTCTTGGGCCAAAACTGCTGTACAATATTCGAGAGGGTCTAGCCTAGTGAGTGTGAACAGAACCTAGCAAACCATATCTCCAAGTGATTCACATGTTGGTATATTCTCCGTTATCATACATCAATTCCGAGCAATTTGACACCCGAATATTCTCGCACCACTACTGCTGAAGTATTGACCACAAACCATGTTCCATTTGACTTACAAACGGAACTTGCAAAAGGCATGAGAGCACTGGAATCTGTAAAGACTCTCGCATTATTAGTAGGGCTGAAACGATCATTCAATAACTCTTAACGATCAACCAATATCATTAACGATTGATATACACTCGGACGTCTCTTATCCGGGCACCTTGGGACCGGGCACTGCCCGTATCTCAGATTTGCCCGTATCTCAGAATAACTCACCTACCATGTATGATATCATTTTTTGAAGAAGTTTATTTGGCACGTATTGCACATGTTGAGGATACAAAGGGAACCCATTGATAAAAATGTGTGGATTACATAGGTTGGCAGTGAAACATAAGCACTTCCACACACGGAAAAAAGTTCAAAAAACCCAAATTCGAAGCATTTGTGCTATAGGCCCTCAAGCTGAAGGTGCCCGGTAGAGAGACGTGCCCGTATCTGAGGCGTCCGGATAAGAGGCGTTTGAGTGTATTGGTTTTATCGATTCTTGTCGGCTCTACCCGTGTACCTCGAACACCAGTTTATGAAAAAATTCCACGATACTTTTGCTACGTTAGAAATTTGTGGCACCGCACTGTTGACATCTGTAGACATCTGGCTGGTTTATCAACATGTTCTAGAGAATTTCATGTTGTTTCTAGAGGGAAGAATCTTGTCATTACCCTCCAGCAACTGCTCTTATCTCTGACCTTTCCCGCAAATGAACTGAAAAGACAAAGAGTGCTCTCTTCCGATCTCTTTCAAAGCCACAAATCAATTTTACTGCGCTTGAAAGTACATGATTGTACTCATATTCACTATCGGATGGAGTGCAAGGGCTGGAATACTGTCACTCATATACATGCATAAAAAATTTTTAGCACTCGTTTTGAACACTAACGATTATCGATTGCACTCTTAACGATCGATATGCGAGTTATCGGTATAATTGTTTCAGCCCTAATTATTAGCCACCATACATACCTTTCGGGAAGTCGTGTTGGAAGCAGAATGCTCGGAGAGCAGAGCTGAGTGAGATCTGCATACAGTAACACAGCGACAATGAATCACATGAACAGAAGGAAGCAGTCGTATCCGTACACATCTGAATATGCGCTTATGGGAGGAAAATCCGTGCGACAAAAGAGGACCGTGTTATGCAGGTGTATGTCTTACCCGGGTACGTACTAAGTGAGCTCCACCGTACGTATATAATTGTATTGCAATTGAATCACTTGACTGACTGGAGCCAAAAATATCAATTGGCACTTACTCCGGTTACCCGAATGTTTCGGTACCACTATCATTAGGTTTGTTGCAATCGAACCAAGTCATAGTTGAGTCATTTTCAATGCGTTAGGTGTTACCTGACATGCCCACTGCATCAGCCGCTATGTCATATTCCACCAGGCATGCACCAAACCAGGCGCAGTGCGCACACTGATGATGGTGGTTGTCACACAACGAGCAGTAGTAAAAGTGAAAGGACTTTTTGCATGTGATTTTGTTGTAATTTGTGCCAGTCGAATTGTCTCAGTGTAACTAGTTTATCGTTAGCTTACTAGTTTGTTTATACAAAAGAGAAAGACCAAGGAACTACAAGTTACGCTATACTGTCCACTAACACCACCAGTTACTAAACAATCAGCTCATGCGATAGCATTGCACGACACTGAACAGCTCTAGCACATCTTGGATGCGCATTCCAACAGCCTTGTGGACGACGACCGTCACTGGAGAATCGGTCCGTCGCTCCACCAGCCCGGCGGCACAGTGGACAGTGCCTTGGGGGTGTCAGGCATGGATCAGGCTGATAAGGACGTGGTGGAGACGGAAATGATGTTTGCAAGGAAGAGTGATGATATGCGTATGTGCTCTCCGCCAGTTGTTGAAGCAACAGTCCGGCAGTGGAAAGTCGGCAAGGTTAAAATAAGTGACCAACTGGGTGAAAGTACACCAAATGTGGCCCATCTCTTGAATGGTGCGGACCACGGCAAGGACCTGAAGTTGAAGGTCGTCAATGGCAACACCGCATGGTCGACGTCAATGGGAACATCAAGCCATCAAGTTGGTGGAATTATGGAATGTCTGTCGCAGGCTGCAGCGACAGGGTAACATGCTCAGGGAAGAGTACAGCGACGATGATCAGCTGTGTCTTGCACGCAGTCGTGTTGATCGTGGCGTGCAGAACAACAGAGTCAGTTGCGGTATTCGTACATTTGTCTGTTTAGGATTTTAATCCCCAGGAAGTCCTTTGGTGAGGAGTGATGTCACGCAACGAGCAGTAGTCAAAGTGAAAGGACTTCTTGCATGTGATTTTGTTGTAATTTTGTAAGGTGTGGTGACAGAACTTTCAGCTGGTAGTGGGTGATGGGCTGGCGGTGTGACAACAATTACGGGCTTGACGAACGACATAATTATGGCGAGTCGATCTTTGGCCAGTTGCTGAGTTGGAGATCGTCACCGTAGACCCAGAGATCTGGTCCACGGTCCAGGGGTTGGGATCCCACTGTGGTGAGAGCTTGTGTGCCTGCTCATTGCGGCGTAAGACGCGCTTACCAGGAGTGAGGATGGGGGCGTTTGACCGGCGGGTGGCATTGGCAGCATCGCACTGGGATTGGCGGAATTGCTGGTCACGGTGGGCAGCTGAAGACAAGTCTGGTGCGGCTGCCGTAATGCAGGGTATGCTGTCGCGGATGGGGCGACCAAACATGAGTGTTGCCGGTGCCTCGTGAGTGGCAGGGTGTGGCGTGGTGCGGTACGCTAGGAGCCATTGGTCTAATGCAACATTGATGTCTTCGCCAGCTAGTTTGGCAGTTCGCAGAACTTTGCCAATGGTACGGTTGAGGCACTCGACTGCTCCGTTTGCTTGTGGCCACAAAGGAGGGGTGTGGCGGTGCTGGATAGCGTGTTGCGCGAGGAAATCAGCAAAAGCCGAAGAACGGAACTGAGGACTGTTGTCCGAGACTAGCTCTTCGGGCAAGCCGTACATGGATAATGTAGAGCGCAGAGCTTTAACAACACCGGCCGTAGTGGGTGTCGTGCTGAACACGTTGATGACCGGGTAGCGAGTCAACTGGTCGATAGTGGCAAGCAGGTGCTGACCGTTTGGCATGGGTCCATACAAATCGACGAAGACTCGTTGCCACGGCTTGGTGGACGGTGGTGTGGGCACGGACTCCCGGACGTAGCGGTGTCATTGAGAGAGTTGCTTGGCACGGAATACATTGCCGGCAGAGTGCTTCGGCTTCAGTAGCCATGTTGGGCCACCAAACCTTGCTGTTGAGCCGTTGCTTGGTGCGGACAATCTTGGTGGCCCGCATGTGTAAGCTGCAGGGTAAGCCGTTGGAGGGCCGTGGGAATGACGAGACGGTCGTTGCGGAGTAGTACACCGTCACTCTCAGACAGTCCATGGCGGAGGGCAAAGTACGGGCGGACCGTGGTGTGGTTGGAATCCCAGCGGCCAGATTGCAGAGAGGAAAGGATGGCTTGCAGTGTGGTGTCTGCGGTGGTGGCGTCTGCAATCTCCTTCAGAGCCAACGCATTCGGCTTAGCTGCTGTAGCTAGGGCATGTATGTACGTAGTGTCTTCCTGTGCACCGATGTTTGGCAAGTCGGGATGAGGCTGCGGATTGCGACTGACGACGTCGGCCGGGTTTTCTGGGCCAGGCTTGTACTGGAGCTGGAAGCTGAGATCCTGCAGGCGGAGGACCATGCGCTCAATTCGTGGCGGAGGTCTCGATCCGACGGCCATGAGTTGCAGGAGCGGCTTGTGGTCGGTGACAACGGTGAACTGTGGATCACCTTGTCAAGTAGTGGTGAAAGCGAAGGCAGCCAAACTTGACACCCAATGCTTCCCGTTCAGTTTAAGAATATTGCTGCTCGACGCCGGAGAGTGCATGGCTGGCGAATGCTACAGGTGCATCGTGGCCGTTGTCTTGGCGTTGACACAGGATTGCGCCGAGGCCGGTGGGCGATGCGTCGACATACAGTGATGTGTATCGCTTGCGGTCAAAGTATTGCAGCATGCAGTCTTCGGCGATGGTCTTCTTCAGTGCATCAAATGATTGCTGCTCAACATCAGTTCAACGCCAAACAGTACCTTTCTTAGTGAGAGCAGGGAGTGGCGTGGTGAGATCGGCCATGTTACGAATGTAACGGCGGAGGAAGTTGGTGAGACCCAGGAAACTCTGTATGTCGCTGACGCAAGATGGCGTAGAGAATGTAGCCACAGACTGCTGGTGGCTGGGAGAGGCGCGGATGCCCTTGTCGGAGTAGACGCTAGCCATGAACTTGAGCCGAGGCTTGAGGATGTGACATTTCAATGATTTGTGACATTTGGCTCGGTTGAGTGTAACATTGTGATCTTGGAGCCGCTGGAGGCAGGCGGCGAGTCGTCGGTTGTGCTCTTCGACGCTCTTACCGAAGTAGAAGATGTTGTCATGGACGTTCTTCACACCGTCGAGGCCAGCGAGCCATGGCGTCCAGTGTGCGCTGTAGGATCTCGGATGCGGACGATACGCCCATGGGCAGACGTTTACAGTGCAAAACTGCGTAGCGACGTGACTCAGGGTGGTCTGGCTCTCCACAGCGGTAGCAGAGCGAAGTGCTGGATTCCCGCTGGCCTGGAGCGCGAGTGGCGACTGGGGCAGGTGGCTGGTGGTACGAGTTTGCAGCTGGATGTGGCGAAGACTGCATCGGTCGACGCGGCGGAGTTGAAACAGTAGCAGGAGGCGGCTGTGTCCTTTTGTAGAACGGTGGCTGATGACGGAGGGCATTGATCGAGTTTTGTGTGCGCCGGAACGCCGTCGTCTGTTCCACTGACGCTTCAAATGCTCTGGCGGCCTTGAGCGCCTTGGCGAGATCAAGGGACGCAGTCTCCAGCAGTTTTCTGCGGAGTGGATCGGACGTGCATCCTGCCACAATTTGATCACAGAGAGCCACGTTCTTCTGGGCATCGTCGGCGAAGCTGCAGGTCGTTGCCGATGCCAGCAAACGAGTATAAAACGTGTCCAACGTTTCGCCAGGCTGCTGGGTGACCTGCCGGAAGTGGAAGCGGGCCATGCTGGGGCTCTGCTTCGACTGAAAGTAGTCGGCGGCGGCGGTTATGAGGCCGTCGAGATCGTTGCCAGTGTTGGCTAACGTAGGGACGAGCTGCTGGATGTCCTTGCCGGCCACATACTGGAAAGTGTCTCTCTGGCGAGTGTCATCCGAGATGCCGGCTGCTGCGACATAGATTTGGAAACACCGTTCCCAGGCAGGAAAATGGGCAGCAGCGTCGTAGACACTGCTGTAGATCGGGAATGGCTCCGGAGGTGGTAGTGACAGTAGGGACATGGCGAGGATCAGGCGTTTGCTCGCAGCGCCAATGTAATGTTGTTCTCTTGCTGTATTCCAAACAACAACTAACTCGGAGCTCCGGAAAGCTCCGCAATAGTGAGGTTTTGCATTCCGAATTTCGGCTCGGCGTTCTTTGGTCATTTGTCGAACATCAAAATGTCGAATTTTCGCACCGACGTTTGTTTTGCAAGTCGAAAATGATGTGTTTTGATTTCGTGAGCCCCAGCATCAGCAATGTCCTGTCCCGTGCTCCTTTTCTTGCTGATTCCGACAAACTTTGATCGCGCCCAAAGAGTCGAGGGCCAAACCTGCCTCCTCAGTCGCCTCAGAAAAACCAACTCCATGGCTAAGTCAAATTTTATGGGTATCGCCATAGTCTTTTCAGCCACACAGATGACGGTGAGGACACTCCAGGCGAAAGAGAGTAGACAGGCAGTGGAGAGGAGCAATCAGAGGTAGCTGACGATGCTGATGTCGTCAAAGACGCCTGCGAAGCCATGCCAAGATAAGAAACCTCTTTGAATAAATCACGCGCTAGCGCTCTTCCACAAGAAAATTCATCCGAAAAATATGTTCGGCAAAGTGAGCTTTTTCCGAACAAACATGCCGCATCTTCGTGTGCATTTTCGACCTCGCTCCCGCGTGCCGAATCTTTTGCCGAATTTCGGAATGCAAAACCTCACTAATATGATGCCAACAGAATGTAATGGTGTGCGTGCATGCGTACAGAGTCGGTGCGTACCGACTGTCAGCACAGGTGTGGAAAGCAGCATATGTAAATGGATAGGAGCACAAACGGTGCCGCGTGCATATATGTGTCGGTAGAGCATGAGACTCTTAATCTCAGGGTCGTGGGTTTGAGCCCCACGTTGGGCGCCAAATGTCGTCTCGGTTGGAGAACGAGCTGCCTCTACTATACCCTCGCCACGCCACACATCAAACGGACTAGTCAAGTGGTTTTTCTCTAGAGCTAGAGAGAGAGAGCTATTCATTACTACACTTCAGGAGACGACGGGAGAACTGACAGCTGACATGGCGAAAGGAAACATGATATCGGAAAGTGGTGCCCTCATCAGCACAAAAAGTGGCGTACTCGATATCATATCAGCACAAAAAGGTGCACGTGTCAGCAATACAACAAAGCAGCGCAGCAGCATGTACGGGTCAGCAGCACAGAGACACAAATACAGCAGCAGGTACGACAAAGAGACAACACGTGCAGCCACATGTACAACATATGGGGTGACAGTCCATATATGTACGTGTGAACACTACACACGATGAGAACATGCAAAGTATGGAGACCCAGACTGTGTGGTCAGCAGGACACAGCCCGTACAGGATGGAACAGACAACTAAACGTAATATAGCACCACGTACCGGCGGACTAGTCGACGCTGATGGGAGAAGTGGCACCCCTGAGGCAGCTACGGATGCTAGAACTCTACAGCCAGACCAACACCAATATAAAACAAAAGGGTACACCACACCAGGAAGCAAGTCAAATAAAGATGTGTGAACAACGGCCACACACCAGGGAAAAGCATACAGAACAAAAACTCAATTACCGACACCATAGACACTGCAAAATCCAAACAGGAGGAAAATACTAACTCCCTGAGGACACTGAGCATGAGGCAAACGAGCAAGCAACCTCTTGCCGATGTTCCACCGTGTAACAACAACCGCGCTGGCCACCGGACTGTATGGTAGGGGTATTACACCTGGACCTCAAGACCAACGGGCGAAGGACATCAGGCCGGGCCCAGGTAAATACAATGAGGAGCACTGTATACAACTACAGAAATAACCCAAACCCATGCCAATTTGACCAACATACCTTCCCTGCGCATCCATTCCTAGTGTAATGGTCTGAAAGATGAAAGATGGAGCGCTTGTATACACGGGCCCGGAAAGCCTGCTTCGGCCGCTCGGCAGCAGCTTCGTAGTGGTGGTCAAGGGTCGAAGACCGACGGATACGGATCAACTCCCCAGTGAACACACCTTTGCCCATACTACAGGGGTGGTTACTACCGACAAGCAGATACAGGAAACGATTGGTGAACTTGAAATGAGGCTTCACCGCCATGTATCCCTTACTACGGAAAACTGTGGTGTCCAGGAAATCAATGCCATCATGTGCCAGTTCATGAGAAAACTTGAGGGCCGAACACTTATTAATCCAATCTAAAGTGCGCTGAACTTGACCTTCGCAACCATGCAATGATAAAGCGTCTATAAACCTGAACCTCTAAACCCTCCCCCTCTAAGATCGGCAAAACGTACCGCTTCTCCAAATACAGCATAACAATGTCGGCATAGACCACTGCTGCAGGCGAACCCATGGCAGTCCCTTGGATCTGCCGAAACACATCGTTACCATACACGAACTCATTTTTCTTCCGAATGACTGACATCAAGGAAGTCACTGCTGTTATTAACCATGTACGAAGGGCGAGGGGCATCCACCTTGTACACCTGTGTGTGATATACCACGACAACCGAGCTCGTTGGGGATGTTGGTGTAGTAAAGGCTGGTCACATCTATACTCAATTATAAATGATCGTCCCGCACAGGCAAACCTTCTACCAAGTTGATGAAATCCGCAATTGAGGTCAGAACAGTACTTTCCTCACATACATACGGGTTCAGTAGAAAGTCAGTGAACTCAGCGGGATAGTAGCCAGGACTATTTAGATTAACAATAGGCCTAACCTTCAGGACCCAGGGCTTATGTGTTTTGAGAAGTCTCCTGAAAACGGGCATGCGCCCCCGGTGCGACTAAGAACAGTGACATAATATTAGTGGGCATACGATGCTCAATGCGATGCCTAGTCATGGCGAGTAAACAATTGACTCGGGTCGCTCACACGAAGTCTCAACACAGCCTTGAGCCTGTTGGTTGCCATCGGCAGTCTAGCCGCATGCTCATCTAGCCCCTCAGGAAAAAAACAGTCATTTATAATGTTTGGCATTGTGATGCTGGGCACGACCTATATCATCATAGTGAGATCAGTCCAGGACTACTATCACAATAGACTGCCTTTGCATATGCCTGAGTCCGATCGCGTTCTAGCTCCCAAACTATGTGCTGCATGTGTACACTCCGCCTATGGTTAGTCTACTCCAGAACAACGCCTGGAGAGGTTCATTGGGGGCATGATGTCCCCCCACCCCATCCCCCCCTGCACCTGAAGTACCGGTATTGCCCCCCCCCCCCTCCCCAAACAAATTACAGGACACAGGTGGAGCACTGGGGAGCACGTAGCAGTAGGCAAAGTTGACGATGCCAGTGCAGACACGGCCTGACCTCGGTCACCACACTGACACCGTATAGTCTCCAAGGGACATAGCTACCAGAGAACACACAGAATGCGAGTATATAGTGCTATCTCGGTGGATAGACAACCCCCTATACACAAAATATCTACTGATAGAGTTCTGTGTAGACCCTATGTGCAGATATGTGTGGATGAGTACTGGTAAACGGACAGCTAACCCTAGTCTAAGTAAAATAAAGGTAGAATGTAGAGCCTGGGCAAAAAAATAAGTAAATAAAAATATTGACTAGTTTTAGGGAAAGACACAAACGGGAAAAGTCTGAAGAAAAAATTGACTGTCACCAAAAAAATAATAATAGCTACACATACGAGGGAACTCGGATGGAGAGCCAAGGATTAAAATTGAAAAAGAGGACCATCAGTTTACGAGTTATCCGTTTTGTCCAACACTTACGGATATAAACGTGATGCAGCTAAGCATCAGGTCGTTGAATGTCAGGATCTCATCAGTCAGTTTTTGTGCTAATTGTTGCACATTTTTGACTCAGCAGTATTCTGCATATAACCGTTAGTGTTGGACAAAACGGATAACTTGTAAACATGAGGGAACACTCATTCTTACCCAAGTCCCAACGTCAGCACTCGGCGCTGCTCCGAACCAAGAGGGACACTGGAGAGATCGTCCATCAGCTCCTCTCTTGTCCTGCGATCAAATCGCCTAATGCTAAAACACAAGAAGATAGGAAAGGCAAGTAGAATAAATAAATCAATAAAGTAATACACAACAAAACAAGTTTGAACAGCTGCAAACGTAATGGACGATCCGAACAAGACCAATGATATACCTAGCAATAAGTGTGCAGAGTGTGCAGCCCAAGGATAATCATCCCACGGCAAAGTTTATTGTTTAGGGCATAGACTCACAGTAACAGGCTCACCTTTGCTGCATCTCACACCGCTTCACACGGTAATCTACTGTATCACCATGGTAATTTCTGTTGCACATTGCTGCTTGTTTAACAAAAGGCAGAAAACACACCGAATTTCCAGGAATTACCATGGTGATACGGTACTTTAGCTTGAACCTATTGTATGACGGGTTTTCTATGATTCATAATGACCCAGAGAGAAACTAAACCGGTATCGAATTCCAGTCAGCGACGCAATTCTTCTGAGGTGTAAAGTGACTTCAGGAATATGTTGCAGAAAACTGCGATGCATGCTGATTATTTACTGTGCCCTATTGTGCACCATATACCTGGTGGGTTACTCAGGGATGAAGTAGATGCACACAAGTACCGTGCATCACGGCACAGGTTAGGTTCGCAACTAGCTGCTACAGTGTACTTGTGGTCCGAACTTGCACTCTACTCAGCTCTGCATACGCAAAGAGTGCTGGTGCCGAAATGAACCAGAAGGGTGCTGAGGGGGACGCAACAACACTGACTCTGTATACCCATGTACACAGATATGATAGGGTATGCAGTACCTGCTCTAAGATTTAACACAAACCGGGTACACGTCTACCTGGCACAACTCCTGCAACACTGGGCCAGAGCCAGATGCGTTCAAGTGCGGCTACTGTGTCAGGGAGTCGTAAACTTACTTTCGACTTCCTGATGTACATGATTGTACATGTACATGTATCAACGTACTCGCACTGGGCACTCTGGCCGCACGCATCTGCACGCGTATGCAGCCTGTCAGTGGCGGTATACCCTCGAAGTATAAAAAAGTATAGTACTCGACAGGACTTCCGACCGGGTCGCAGGTAACCCAGTGTTCTTTTTCCAAAAGGTCCAAGTACTCACAAACAGGGCCACTGACCTGGCTCTGGAGCAGACACTGGTAATCTAGGTCCAAGTTTGCTCGATTATGTTCTGACGCTTCATGTGCTTTCATAGCCAAGGTTTCTCACTTTCTTCGCAAGCTCTTTTAGTCTTGAGAGTTGACAACTGCTTATGGTTGTGTTGGCAGAAAACATGTCAGCTAATCTGACAACCGTCCAACCCCATTTTACTGGTAAGTAGTCAGCGAGTGGCTTTGATGGGGCCATACTATATTTGTGCTTCCTTTTTGAAAACACATTCTCGCTCGAAGGGTTTCTAAACTTTATCCCTGCGCTCATTGATGGAGTTCATCGATGGAGTTGCCAGCGGCACTCTACAGAAGAACAATGTTGTCAAGTTTTTTTATGAAAAATTGTCAAACATTTTCAAATTGCTATAAGTTTGGTTAGGGCCGGGTTCCACTGCGGCTCCGCAGCTCCGCTGCTCCACGGTACTTGGCTGCATGCAGCAGAGCGGCGTGGTTCCAGTGACACTCGCCATTCACGATACCGCGATCGTGCTCGACGATTTTTGATGACATTTAGCCTGCCTGCGCACGCGTGAAATCCAAAAAAATCCTCGTGTTCTGGCCTGTGCAACGAATTAAAATTCCCCCGAATAAAACAATTAAGTGCGGGAAACAATGCAAGCCGTGACCGCGGCTTGCATTTTTTTGTATCAAGCAGCGAAGCGAAAGCTGGTGATGAGCCGCGGCCTCGCTGGACCAGCTCGTAATGATGACGTTTCATGCCGTGGATGATGTGCGGCGGAGCGGCAGTGGAACCCAGCCCTTAGGCAAAGGAAATTTGTCATGAATTTGTTTATGCTGCATAGATGGAGAGCTGCACACTCTGGCTTATGGACTCTCGCCTACAGTGTAGTCGTACTGCTAGTGTACTGGCATTACAGAAGACACGAAAAACGAGAACATAATTATGGCGAGAAAGTAATTACTGGCTAAGAATTGCCCTAAGACTTACCGCTTCTCAGTGCTCCATACCAGGAAGTAGTGCAATACCTACTCCCTGCTCCATACGAGTGTTTTCTCCTCATTCTCTGCATCCTTTACCCCAGGAGTCTCGTCCATTTAGCGGCTCAAATGCTTGAGCTCCGGATAGCGGAAAATAGCTCGTCGTCCATTAGCGGCTCTAATAGTACCTGGTCTGAAGTGTCGCAGTCTAGCAACTATGATTTTTTCCAGTAGGGTAAGGGTTGCAAACCCAAAGAGACCCTAAGCTTCGTCTATCAAACAAAACAATTGCCCTAAAAAATGGAAGAGGAAAAGAGTGAGCGAGCTGGTCTGAGCGCGCTACTTTTCAAAAAATAGAAGCTGAAAGCCATCAAAGTCAAAGCATTCTGGCTAGCGCGTTTGTGTATGTCACGAGCGCTAGCGCGCTAGTCGCAGCAAACGCTCGCAGGCCAGAGTTAGCGCTATTTGGGCTGTTTGCCGCACGCGGCAGCTGGATGGATCACGTGATCCAAGCTGACAAATAAGGTCCGATGGTTCAGCTACATTGAGCCACAAGCATCTCGTCCACGTGCGTAGATGCGTGCGCATCACTCAGCTGATCAGGCCGGCGCGCGCTAGCGCCAGATCTAGCGCTAGGCCGACGTAGCTACTGCCTACCGCGTATACCGGTATACGGTAGTGCTAGTAGACCCAGGTACTCGAAGTCCGTACACTTTTACAGTGTGTGTTTGTCGAGCTGAAACTCACACTAGCATTAGCAATGATCACTTGCCAGAATCCTGCTCGTGGATGGAAGGTATCTTGTCCAAGTTTGTTCTGAGGCCAGGCTCGATTGAACCAGGCCATCTTTCGATCCGATCTGTTTCCCTGGAGTTCGCTGATTTTTCATATCAAATTTTTGTGTCGCGGAGGGTACTCTAAGTCCGTACTGATCAGAGGTGACTCGAAATACACACATATTTCTGCTAATTGCTAACTTGCAATCCCTCGGTTACGACGAAAGCACCGAAGGGATATGTTTGGCATGTGCCTCCACCAGTATTTCTTGCAAAAGCGTAGTTTGTTGCCGAACTGCAAGCTGTTTTAGTCGGCTCAGAGAAGAAGCAGCTGCGCTGTGAAAACCGCGGGAAAACAGTGGTGGAGATGCCAGGAGTGTCAACCTTTCTGCAAGAATTGGTGGTTCTCTGTAAATTCTTCTCCTCTGGCCATTGTCAGCTCTAAGCTGGCTCTTGATGATTGAGTGAAGGTCTGTTTGACGCTGTGTCCGTTCGAAATCGGTCTTGGCAAAGTTGATTTTTGCATGAAATGTAACCCAATTTGTATTTCGTATGGGCACTCGAAAACCCACTCGCGCGTGATCGCGTGGTATGGGACTTCTGCTTATCGTAGATCCCTGAAAATTGCTACGCGAGGAGAACATACCACACTGTCCCCTCGATAAAATATTTGAGTCGAATACAATAACAGAACATGAAATTATGGGCGTACGAACTTAGGATACCATGTACGGACTTCGAGCACCTGGGTCTACTACTGTACTACTACTAGGCCAGGCCATATGCCGCAAAAAAGTAGGCAGCGCAAAGCGTCCACATGCGTCTGACTGTATCGATATCGACCGGATCGCTGAGCGCTCGAATGCGCTTACTCCGCGCTTAGCTAACGGTTACCAGTGGTTACGTAGACGCAGACGCACGTAGTAGACGTGTACCAATGCAATGGTGTACGGGAGTGAGTCTTGAGTCGAGATTTCTGCTCGAAAGAGCTGAACCATGAACCATGTGAACAAGCCTCATGCTCACAAGACTGGGCGCGCCGCTTGCAGGTCGCACCCAGTCTGTGTAGCGCCGGCCTACGCAAGGCTTTTTGCGGATAAGAATCTGATGTTCTTTCTTGTTGCAGAGTCTCGTACAAAGACTACCGCGCCGGGTGCACCACCGCATACTCATAGACCTACCCGCGTAGCGTTGGCAAAACTGTACGAGTGCAGTGCCGAAGCACAAAGTCATGGCATGCAGGCGCGCGCGCTGTCTTTGCACGAGTACGAGTACGAGTGGGCCAGGCCGCGTGCGCTGCCGCTTGGTGACCTGGTAGCTGGTGACGCGCTAGATAGATGTGCCTAGCTTTGCTTGACTGTTCTTGTACTAGTTGTACTGGACACGAAGCTCAGTGAAGGAGCAGTTGCGAAGATTTACCGCAGGTTTCTGGAAGCAAGTACACGTGAACCCTTCGTCTTTGTGCTTTGGAAGATAAACGTCGATGGCCGTCTCGATGGATTCCAGGTTAGTTCTCGATTGTTCTTCTTCATCCTCCTGTGCTGTGTTCTTGAGTAATTCTTCTCGGTGCGACAAGTGAACTCAGTCGGTAGCAGACAATGCTCAGGATGCGTCGTCTACATGTGTTGTATTCTATTGCAGAGGGGTGAATCGCTCTGCATGTTCGTCCTCTGGAGGATGGGATTGCTCCATTTGTACTTACACGAACACGAGAGAGGCGTTCAAATGTGGTATGTGCGAGGCCCGCAAAGGAACATCTACCAGGTATGTCTTTCCCCAAATTGCTGGTCTTTGCTGACAATAACGTCAATTCTCCATACTTTCTTCTTCGTCCGGACGATCATATCATCTTCCTCAGTTCAGTCTTAGCGTCAGCACAAGCGACCATTGTTGAAAGAGTATTGCATTGTGACCTCTACTCATATAATATAATAACGTTAGGCTGTGATGCATCGACTTGCTTCACCCCACCAATCGCTGTTATTCTCAATATCGCAGATTGACGAAATTCACGTTCATTGAAAATTCAAATTCTCAAGGTTTGGCTACATGGCATCAGTATAATGAGCTGTATGTCTTTCCGAATATATATTCACGTAAACGTATCAAAACCCTAGCGAAACGGATTAATTTATTAACCTCTTTTCCTTGCCTGTAATAATATTCCATCACTATCGTCCATCGCCAAGTATACGGGAATGAATAATATACCATCACTATCATGCATCGCCAAGTAAATAATGTGGTCTCACATCTCTGAAGGATAGCTAACACTGTATCTGGTGCCTTCTGCTGTTATGTTTGACCTGCTTTTGCGTGCAGGAAAGTCAGACAAAGTGATGATGTGATCGCGCAGCAGCAAGCTGCCGCCGCATTGGTGGCAGCGCAACGCAGTCAGGAGCTAGCTCAAGAGTTTGGCGGTGTTATCGAGGCCACGGGTGATGGTCGGCCAAGTGGCAAGAGAAGAAAGAAGAAGAAGCCCTACAGCCGCCCTGCTCCTGAAGTGTAAGCCAGATCCCGAGATATTTCCCATGCCTTTGCTACAATGCAGAGCCGCCGGAACCGGTCCGGTTGGTCCGGTTGGTCCGGTTATTACCGGACCAACATGTTAGCCACCAACACACGTTTACTACTGTCAATATCATGTGTACCCGCCATATAATACACAAAGTATGAAAGGCACTGAAACTACCGGACCAATCAAAAACTGCGTCCGGCGGTCCTTGTCAGGAGACATTCCCTCTCTCGTGAAGAGACAGTTTGAAATAGCAAATGTCATTCAAGGCAACCTGATGCGAATGGAGAAGTCATGTATGCATGCTCAAACTTGGGCATGTGTGTATGTACAGTTGCGGACATTAACATCTGGGAGAGTAATTCAAAATATGGACGCAGCCGGAAGCAATATCTACGCATTGGGGGTGCGTGTATGTGTGTGCGCGTGCATGTGTGTATGCATGTGTGTGCACGTGCATGTCCGTATGCACATGTGTGCGAGCGCACGCACACACATGCATACGCACATGCACGCGCACAGAGAAAGAGAGAGAGAGAGTTTGTCTGCAGGCACATAGCAGCGTGTATGTGTGTGTGTGTGTGCGCGTGATTGTGCGTATGCATGTGTGTACATGTGCGTATGCACGTGTGTGCGAGCGCACGCACACACATGCATATGCACATGCACGTGCACACACACACACACACATAGAGAGAGAGAGAGACAGACAGAGACAGAGAGGGATAGACAGAGAGAGAGAGAGAGAGAGAGAGAGAGAGAGAGAGAGAGAGAGAGAGAGAGAGAGAGAGAGAGAGAGAGAGAGAGAGAGAGAGAGAGAGAGAGAGAGAGTTTGTCTGCAGGCACATAGCAGCGTGTAGATCGGTATCCATACTATTGTGTGTATGCTTCCACATGCATGATCACGTGAGATCGTGTACGCTTGTAATGTAATGCACTATGTTAGGCGGGGAGTCGCAGTTTGTTTGTGTGTGCCTAGAACGAAATTGATTCATCCGGCGTATAATAACTAGTCTTGTAAACATGTTTTATACTCAATTTTCTGGAGGAGGGGGGGGGGGGGGAGTGGATTCGCCTTTTCAAAGTTTCAGTCCAGGGCCTGATATTCGGTACACCACTCACAAGTTTGTTTCACACTGATTTGTCTGGTTGTGCTTTGTAGTAGTTCCTGTCCCGTGTATGGAGAGAGCAACCCAGACGTTGCTGCTGCTACTGTACCGTTAATGGAGACTTCAACTTCTGCCCACTCATGGAATTCGCCTCCCGCAGTGACTGCAGAATCTCATCATCGATCTGTTGGCCATGTCAGACCTGCAAAAGCGATGCCCTCTGTGGTGCACAGGACCATGTTGTAAGTGCTTGCCTTCTTTGTGTGTGTCTGTGTGTGTGTGTGGTACATAGTGTGTGTGTGTGTATGTGAGTGTATACCGTAAAGTCGCGGATAAAAGCCGGGTTTGCATACAAGCACATCGCGGATAGAAGCCTGAAAATCAAACGGGTCAAATGCATATAAGCCTGTCGCGCGTAGAAGCCTGGCTTCTATGCAAGCGCGGATCGGGTAGGTCAAGAGTGCATGCGCTATGTACGGTGCATAGTAAAACTGCCGCCATACCGGTAGTCAGTGGTAGATCTACGCGTGTCGCGCGTAGAAGCCTGGCTTCTATGTGCATACAAGCCTGGCAAAAATATCAGTGGTGCATATAAGCATGGTTTGCATACAAGCCTGGCTTGCATTAAAGCCTGATGCAGAAAGCAGCTTATGTGCCTATAAGCCCGGCTTTTATCCGCGACTTTACGGTATGTGAATATCGCTCCTGTTTCTGGAAATCATGGCGCATGAGTTTTTTTCGTCGCTTGTGCGCTGATAGAATACCCAGAAAATCAAGACTATATGGCCATAGACTCTGGGCGATTACACATCATAGTACTTGGTGGTAATAATGAGTGCATGCACATGGTACAAGAGTTTTCCTGTCTTGACAGGTGCTCAGTGTAGCTGCCTCTTCCATAGAGAGTTAGTTGACTTCCATACTAAGGATACTCCTTCATGTGTCTGCCACGTGTCAAAACCTCGTTTTCCAGTGCTGAAACGTCGGTGTTCAAACCCATTATCGTCTTTGCTCTACTGTAAAGGCCTGTATAAGTGCCCGACCAGTATCACGCTTTTTACCCATGTACGCCGCCAGGTGCCGCGCGTCAACACTCTTGTTTTGTTTTCTAGCCCACAACCGTGTGAACGCCCATGGGCGAAAGCGCAAGCCCAGTACCCAGTGCAGCACATGCACAGCTCCACATGCATGTACGATACAGTGGTCGGTATAGTGCACATCAGTGTACACTGCGCTTACCAGGTAGATGTGCCTTTCTTCCAGGATAGCTACCCATAGTGCCTAGTGGTTGATGAATATGTTGAATCAAGAGTACATAACCCCCCAGAGTGTGCAACTCCACTATGGGTGCTGTCATGACAGAATTTCAAGTTGACGTCATTTTGATGATGCAATGCGCACTGTACACGGATTATCAGACGAATCCGGAACCTGTGGTTGACCGAAGCCGATCGATCCTGTACAAATTATTGGAAAGAAAAATGTGTGATGCGTTGACACCCGTACACATGTTGTAAATCACTGGTGCAAGGAGCATTGCGTCATAAATAATGACGTCAACTTGAAATTCTGTCGGGACAGCAGGGTATGTGGGAGTTGCACACTCTGGGGGGTTATGTACTCTTGGTTGAATTTGGTGCGATTTCACGTATCCGAAAGAACGTCCGGCCCGCATTAGTGCCTGTGTTCTGGACCGTCATTAAGTTTCCGTCCGAGGCCTTATTACAGGCTTTTGCAGTGTTCTTGTACAGAGTAAATTCATGGGCTATGGAAGCTCGCCGCCTCTGTCATATCTGCAGATTCCACCGGTTCCTACATGTACTAGTATATGTTTCTATATCCATGTGATGCACTGAACAATACAACACACAGACCACCTCAGCAGGAGCTAACTTTCCTGTCCAGTGAAGCTGGTTGTCGGCATTATTATGCTGCTTCAGTAACCTTCCTCGCCGGCTTGGGCATAATGCTGCTGGATGCTGAGCTGCGGAGCATACTATGTGCAATATCACACGTCTGTCGACCCTTCCCACAAGGGGTTATGAGGCCAATCTACTGCATTGTTCAGGCGGGGGGGGGGGGGGAGGAGAGAGAGAGAGAGAGAGAGAGAGAGAGAGAGAGAGAGAGAGAGAGAGAGAGAGAGAGAGAGAGAGAGAGAGAGAGAGAGAGAGAGAGAGAGAGAGAGAGAGAGGTGGCAGCTCTGTTGGAATTCATGTTTGCTAGGCTCTGCTGGTCCAGCCAGAGAAGATATGGTGAGAGAGCATGCAGGGAGTTTCGCTGGTCTAAAACAAATACTTGTCTAAAATGATACCTTTTGGTCATTGTGCTGTCTGTTTATCTTGATGTTTTTATATTGTGTTATATCATAGGCCAGTCTTTCGAAATGTGGATCGAAGCAGCGGTGTTGATACACTAGTCGCCGTGAACGGACTCGAAGTGACAGTCACTGAATACCAAATTCGTCCGTTACTGGCTGTGGCCCCCATGCGAGCTGTTCCTTCTGCAACGCTCCCACAGTTCAAAGCAGTTGGGAGCGCTGCTGCTCAAGCGTATGCTGCGCACAAGAGCGGCGGTCTAGCACACAGTGGGGCGCCAAGTACTTCTACATCTGGGCAAAGCCTCGTGGATGTGAAGCAGTCGGGCGCCAGCACCGGCACCGACCTTGTTTTGGAAGCCACCGGTTCTCTACCAGTAAGCCCTGCGACAGCTGAGGGCAGTGCCAGTGCTGTGCGGTGATCTCGTTGTGGCAGTTTGTGTTTGTGCTGCTCTATGTAAAGCAGGCACATTGTCCGTGACCGACTACCTATGTTGTGTGTAACTCTAGTGTTTTTCCAAGTGCTGTACAATGCGTGCTACTTCCGCTGACCAAGTGTGTGTGTTTTTGTTTGGACTCGTCTTGTTCCCTTGTGACTTTCTGTACATACCATGTTACACGTATCTATATCCATCTCACATAACTATCGCTACCTAACTGTCCACTCCACCCCGGTGTCGAGAACAAAGCTGCCTTCCGTTTCTATAATCATATTCCACTCTGGTTTATTCTGTACAGCTCTGATCCACTGTGCTGCTATGTTGTGTTCTGGCCCATGTCTTGGCCTTGTAAAAAAATGTCCTGCTTTGCCGCTGCGCCCTATGCCCGTGTTATATCCTCGTTGATGGGATCGTACAACTCCCCGGATCATTCAGTTCTCTATCTGCTTGTGCTTTGTTGTATTCATATTTTATTGTAAATGAGCAGAGCTTGCCTAGTCCATTGCAGCACTACTCGTGTGTTTTTTTTTAACCAACTGGCCGTATAGCGCTACTTTCTCGGTGACCAATGATATTCTCTCCAACTGGTACTTTTACTTTCTTGTTGTGTTGTTGTGTTGTGTCATCCAGTATGTTGGAACTCTCCACTGCTCAATCTATGAGAAATGGGTTTTTTCTCTGTTGATGGGGTGCTTTCGATGGCGTGCAGGTTTACGGTATAACCACATCGTTGCCACCAGAGCGTCGTCTAATACATGTACCGGTATCAAGAGTAATACATTACTCTTGTCGGTAATCAACAACTCCCTTGTTGCAATACCTGTGGCTTTAGGCCTTTGACTTCATGCAACTCGTGAGAAAATTAATAGAATCAAGCATGCTTTTTGTTGGTCAAAACCTTGGGCAAGATTCAACCATTACAACCAGAGTATTTTTTATTCCACACCTACAGCATGTATTAAAAAGGACTGTTTCATTATCCAAATGTGTTCAATCTAGAACAATAACCGTGCTCCAAGACTAAGAGTATTTTTTTAGAGATACTTCAGGTTGTACTACAGTGGTGATGTGTGACGTGACGGGGTTATTCCATCTCTTCAACATCATCTGGCCACTGGTGGAGAATAGCTGTGACATGCATGCCTTGGAGAGAATGCTGCATGCAGAAGGCTTTTCAATTCAAGGCACACATATTTTTAGGGTTGAGTCGGGTAGCATTCTCTTCGGGTATCGGGTACTCGTAGTTTTCCACGGGTACCCGATCGGGTAATGTTTCCATGGTAACACCACAATGCACCCCTTCCCTTACGTTTTACGCACTTGGTAGACATGCAGAGTATTACCGTACATGAATTAATTATTTGTACATGTGCACTGTGTACATCATGTCATCTGCGATTTCGGGTTTTCAGGTACTATTCTGTACAGTCAACTTCGCTTATAACGACACCCGGCGGGGCATCAAAAAGGTGTCCTTATTCGCGAAGTGTCGTTATACCCGAAGTCCCATTATATACAGTGGGATGGGACTTTGCTCTGAGCATGGAAATTCTGTCGTTATTCGCGAATTGTCGTTATATCCGCAGTCGTTATTGGCGAAGTTGACTGTACCTACAGTATCTACCCGAGTAGCACAGGTACCTGACTACCTGTGCACACCACTATAAATTTTACACAGCAATCAACCAATTGGGGTATACAACCCGTTTTATCCGAACTCCAATTATCCCTCTTGATCACACGGTACTTTCTTTTCTTTTCGGCATGATAAATACCGGTAATAGCGTTGCGAGTTTTCAACTGCCCTGTAGTGTCTCTGTCGCTCTCTCAATGTGACTGTGCCTGCTTACACACGGCAACATGAAAGAGTGGCAAGGGTTATACACAAAAAAAAACCAGTTCAATCCATGCAGAACATGCAACACACATGTAATTTTGCCGATGGCGGACACGGTTCATGCAGTACCAGCAAACCTCTGTCTCCCCCCCCCCCCCCATACACACACAACAGTCAACACAAAGCCAGCACAATCAATCAGTGTCTGGTCGGAATCGGGTCTACACCATACTATAACATAATGTTTCGTGGCATGTTGATACGGATGGCGCAACACGCACGAGCATAATGCATGTGGAAATATCCAGACCAGCATGCGCACAGCACATACACACAAATAGTAACTTGTATACTGATAACAGCCGAATACAAGTACATATACATAGCCAGTAAATGTAGAATAAAGCGCACAATGGGCCATTTCCATGAGTCAAACACATAGCAGGGTGGCGTGGATAGATCAATAGCAATACATGATGAATAAAGAAGGATATAAAAATGGTGTGAACGCCAGAACTAAATAGCTGCAATGTACAAGTGCACAAGAGTTCAAGCAAAAAGAGTTTGCCGGAGTCGGCGCCCACAAAGTAGATGGAGCAGGTCAGCAAAAGGTAGCAAGTATGTACAGCAACACACTATTCACACAGCAGTGTAACGTTAGCTTAGCAGGTACACGCATACACGACTACAGCAGAGCGTAACATTAAAAGCGCAATGTACGTAAACGGACAATACATAGCCGAAGAACAACGCACGTATAAATCTAGATACAAAAAAAGACATCAAAGTTACTAGTATGTGCAAGGAAAGGAAGAATAAAACGATGAAGCTTCATCAAGGTCAACATAATCATAGTCACGTCAATTGTACACATCTTCGCTCACCAACCCTGAGCCAAGCGGCGCATTCTCCTGCACAGGAAAGAGACCAGCATACAACAACATATCACTGACAGGCTACAGCAACTGACTGCTACATAATTGGCTGTCACAAATCCACCGTGAAATCGGTGCATTTCCCAACAGCTCTGCTACTAGATGCTGTACAAGAAGCTGATGCAACAGGTGGCAATGCAAACAAGTCAAGTAGCGCTACAAGCCCACCAAGGGCAGGTGAGAACGCCATACAGCCTTGCACAGCAGCACGAAGCATACGTTTACCGCACTTGTGTGAATCTCTGCTTTGATTACAACCCTGAATTTCAAGATAGCCTCTCGGTACATGAGCCAAGTGTGGTGCTGACATACATGTTGAAGTACAGTGAAAGTTCAGTATAACATACCCTGGATGTAACAAAAATTATGGGATGCAAACTTAGAAGTACTATGTTTGAGGATATTGCCTATGCTATACCAGTCATTTGTTTTGGATATACATGTATAACACCTCGGCTATAAAGAACAGATTGTCACGGTCTTTGGAGGTAAGATGCATTGGCCTGACCAGTTCCTCTAACTCATTTCGGGGAGGTTCCTGCAGAGCGAAAGCATACTGTAAGACATGTATATATAACGAGGAAGCAAATCTAACGTTTTAACGGATGAAATTTCTTCGTTATAATAGATCCATTGAGGCCGTACTGCTTCATATATGCTGTGTGTGTATATGGCAGAATACTGCAAGATCGTTAACATATCTTCTCGTTAACCTATGAATTTTGGACAATCGTTAAATGTGCAACTCGTTATAATAACATGTCTTACAGTATACGCAAAGTCCAACCCAAGAAGTAGAGAAGACTTGACATTAGGGAGGTTTCGCTCTACGGAATTACGTATGAAAATAACGTATGAACTGCACGGAATTTTCATACGTAAAAATCAGAGCTGTTGGGTTTCGCTCTACGTGATTTCTCCACGACTGTTAAACATGCGTTGTTGCTTTGGAGACGCGTTGGCTGCATGTGCCCACCGTATGCACCATGAACCGAAACCGCGTTTTCCATTATATTTTGCACGTGGTGTACGGTGTGTGTACCTTGTGTTTCGCGCGGCTTGAATATTGCCATGGACAAAAATGCGGAAAAAGCGAAAATTATTTCAAAAAGTCCTACGGAGGACCCAACGTAGGAAAGAGCTTTCCTACGGAAATCCGTAGAGAGATTTACGTATGAAAGTTGCCCTCGCTCCCCGGCGCGTACGACATACGGATTTTCATACGTAATTACGTAGAGCGAAACCTCCCTATTACAGACCTTGTGTTTCTGTCCTGGTCACGAATCTTCTTCTCCATTTCTGCTTCGGTTAAAACCTCAAGACGAGGGCACCAGTGTTCAGTATCCTGAACGTGGAAAAGAAAACAAACACGTTACATTAGTAACATATTTCAACTTTCAATTCTTTGTTTCTTGTCACATGAAATCTTTATTCACACGAAAAAGTAGTCCGAAAATAAAAAAAACAAAAATAACTGTCATGAACAGGCATACACTCTTTTCAGTGAAAACATTCACAAAAAGTAATAGCACAGCAACACAGACCACCAGCGACAGTACACTGCATTGCATCACACTTGTCCCATGTTTCCATATTCATCACACCCAAGCATATTGCATATTCATCACACCCAAGCGTGTTGCATACATGCAACATGTACATTCCTTCTTCTCAGGACCACTGTACGACAGAATTTCGTCAAAAAGTGTACGAGAGCTAGTGGCGAGAATAGGAAATACGATCCATGGCCTAGATAGATACACAGTGATGCCCTAAAGCAAGATACACAGCACCAACATCCAAACACCACAGAATTATTACCTGTATGGGTGTTCGCAGCACAGACTTGAGCGTGGGTAAGGGTGGGTCTCCGAAAGCGTACATAGTGCGAGCGTTCCAGCTGATCTGCCCGCGGATGCTATACGCTATCGTACTGACAAATTCGCCACCAAGTCCCAGATCGCTGCAGAGCTGTCTGGCAAATTCCTCAGGGGAGTTGTGCGGACAGGAGAGGTCCCATTCAAACTGGTCCACAAGTGAGATATTGCCGACGTGAATGTTCAGCTGCACACAGGCAAATAGACAGTTACATGAAAAATAGCATCCAGAACCAGAGGCCTGACCGTCCATACGCAGTATTCACTCTCAGGATCACGATTGACAATACGTTGTGGGTAAAGTCATTCGGCGGCCAAAAATCATGAAACGTAATCAAGAGACAAAGTAACTTAGTTGGCATGGCAGATTTTCCAGCCAGACTTGAACTACTGACCTTAATTGGCACCCTACGATCTTCTTCATCCATGGCCACTAGATCTCCAGGATGCTGTTCCACCTGGCCACGAATGGCATTGGCAATCGGCTGAACAAACAGAGGACTTGGTAGCTCCATGTCATCGCAAAGCAGTTCAGCAAACTGCTCAGGTGTTATCATTGACTCTGCACCATAACATGGAACAACAACAAATCAGATGGGAAATCAAGCACTAGTGAGTGTGTGTGTGTGTGTGTGTGTGTGTGTGTGTGTGTGTGTGTGTGTGTGTGTGTGTGTGTGTGTGTGAGAGAGAGAGAGAGAGAGAGAGAGAGAGAGAGAGAGAGAGACTGTGAATGAAACTGACTGTTTGCTAAGCAGGTAGAGAGAGAGAGAGAGAGAGAGAGAGAGAGAGAGAGAGAGAGAGAGAGAGAGAGAGAGAGAGAGAGAGAGAAAGAGAGAGAGAGAGAGGATTATCAATTTAACCATGACTCACCATTCTTGTTCCAGAGAAACGTATCGCGAAGCTTATGATTTTCAATCTCCAAATCGAGACGGATGGGCACCAGCACTTCTGCCTGCTCACCAGCTTTCTGCAAGACAGGCAGTTTATTGTCATCATAGCTGCAAGAAAACAAGACGTAACAGTGACACAACTCGGATACATGGACTTGCATGCACATTGCACTCCAGGAGGAGTCATTCATGGCATGGTAAAGCTGCCTGGCCATCAGAAGAGCTAACATATGGAAGAGGAGTGTGGAACTCTGCATCTATGCTGCATAAAACCGATCCTAGGGCAAAGATGTTCGTTTAGGTCATCGTGAATCAAAGGATAACTTGTCATACCGTAGGTTTTGGGCAAAATTACGGCATCGTTAAGGTGATAGCAGGAAAATCGTGTGCATTTTGCACCATTTGTATAACATGCAGCAATGCACAACAGATATTACCTTGGTGATGCAATAAAATGACCATGCAAACTGGTGTGAAATGCAAATTGGAGTTACAATGACCTAAACAAAACTACTTTGGCATGGACTCGTTCTCTAGGGGTTGCATACTTTTGTTTATGTACTCTTGATACGGCTTGATTCTAACAATTATTAGCAAGGTTAAAATATGCTCTTTGTTCCAGGGCAGAAGTACGGAAATCTTACAAATGCGGATACGTTCTTAGGCGCTTGGGACCGGTGCGTTGCTTCGCAGGAACAGTCAATGAAGGCACAGCGTCCATGTGAGAACTAAGATGGGCTTGCGCAGCTGCCGCCTGCGCCGCTGGACCATGAGCAGACCAGGATGCCTCGCGGTTCAGCTTAGCCGATCGCCTTTCCCTGGTCTCCTTTGCGGCTGGAGTGGTTTCGGCCGCCGGCCCCTTGTACTGTTCGTCATCACCTCCAGCCATGTCCTCTACTTCGCATGCCTTCAGTAGGGTTATACTAGTGGTTGAAAGGCCAATGCCCATACCACATATAATCTTCCTTTCTTCTATGCTGGCCATGCGTCTCCACAAGCCAGGATACCGCTTGTACAGGGAGCCTCGCACCATCTTCAGCCATGCTCCAGCCTCTGATCCAATCATGTATTCCTCGCCACTCTCCTCCAGCCGAAAACTCTTCGGCTTTGGCCCTGATGTTCTCATCGCTACTCGTTTTGGATCTGCTTACAAGTCAAACTGCAATAAACTTCTGGCTACTCAAAACTTCACGCGAACACAAGTACAACTTGGCGAGTAGGGAGTCTGAGCTAAGGGGCCTTGAGAAAGAAGACAGACTCACACTGCAAAATATTTTCTCCGCATACTCTACTTGCTAATGAGGCCTCGAGGCTAGCATGTAGCTGAATAGGGTGGGCAGTGGAAGAGAAAACAACAATAATATTATTGCAAATGAAAGCGTTTGAAAGAGGAAGCTAGCTTGTACTATTCAAAAATCAAATCAAGAGAGTTTATTTTTGTAGTGGATCATGATCAGGGAGTCGTCAAATACCGGTATTTGACGACTCCCTGCAGGCCTGCGCTGCTCTACGAGTCTAGCTCATGGCCTGATCATGAATGATGGCCGGTCCGATTTTTTTTGCAGTTTCGCCAAAATCTTTCTTTCACACGTTCGCGTCGATCGCATGTAGCTACGTACCGTAGACGTCATCTAGGGGCGCGTTTGGTTGGTACGAACTAGAACAGGATTCACCAGAACAGCGCGTTTGGTTGGGACTGCACCTGTTCTGGGTCGGCCAGAACATGTTCTGCTTGCTCCGGCCTCGAGGCCGGAGCAGACCGAGCAGTTTCACTTTTTCACAGTGAAACCTGGCGGGAACACCGATTTTGGTCCCAAATGATCACGTGTATACGCTTTTAGGTTGGACTCGTTGTACCGTACAAAGTGACCATGGTGACCCATACACATTTTCAAGTTTCACACATTTTTCCACGAAAATGTGCTCTGTTTCTGGAGTACCGTTTGGTTGGCATGAGGCTGCTCCATGTGCACCAGCTGTTCGATCCTGTTCTAGATCGTACCAACCAAACGCACCCTAAATCTGCAGCCACATAATTGAAACAATAAAATTTGTGCGATATCGATAGTGTATCAATGAAAGCAAGAGTTTATGAACTCTTGATGAAAGTAATTACTGAAGACAAGACCAGTTAGTAGTACTTGCGAAAGCGGTGCCTGCAGAATCTGATATCCTTTTACTCTTTCTATTACTTCCTGGTTTGTGGTCATAAGGCTTTGAGAGTACTGACGCCCAATGGACTTAGGATGGCTGCGATACTGAAATATGAGCCCTCCGAAGAGCAGCACGATGTTGTCCCTATTGGTAAGGATATTTTGTGTCAATGTTCCGTTGCTTGACTGTTCCTCATAAAGTATAGCAATGGAAATCCTTTTTCACACTGCAGCTCACTTTGGGCACGGACACCTCAAAAAGCCGGACGATGAGCGGATAAAGTTTTACATGTATGGCAGCACGAAGAAGGATGTACGTCGTGGCAACCATCGTCTCCTGGTGAGCATATTAGCACCATCATGCACACTGTACTATTGTATTATGCCATACATTTTTTTACACTGTAGCTATGGGCTTCTCACCCGGTGATCCATTGTCTATTTATTATAATTATTTATAATAATAAATAATTCGAAATGAATATGGCCTTACAGTGGTATGCACCTGATTTAGTAGGCAGTATGGTATAGAATCCCATGTTGTCATTCGTGGATGAGACTAATTCGCTGCCTTGTCCCAGATCGCTGCAGATTAATTTGGAGCATTCCCAGTGTTGGTCATGCGCCTGTGGTGCAAGGAACAATTTGTGTAGTACTGTGTGCATGTGAGTGGACTATGCCTAGCTAGCTATCAAGGTTGCACACAGCATGGGCTTCGGATCTACACGTACAAGTACTGCCTGTTAGTCCTCCGTTGACGGCATGGTAACAGCCTTCTCTCACTGCCTACTTTAGTTGCTGTGATCTTGCCTGATTTGTGATTCGGCTTTCGCCTCGGAGCTGATCATACACATGTGACTGACAAAGCATGAGCATTGTGTTGCCATTTCGCTCCGCACAGCACAGCACAGCACGCACAGTTTTCACTGGTGTGAATCTGAAAATAGCAGGTCTTTTCACTGCATTCGCCAGTATATGACTGATACGCATGTACATTATATGTACATTATATTCTGTCATTGTCTCTGAATTTACTCGCCAATGTCGTTCAGGTTGCAGAGACCAGTGAACAGAGCTACGTGGGAAAGAACTTTGGTCCAGAGGCGTCTCACAAGCCACTTTGCAAGTAAGTAGGGTAAAATCGCACACAAGCAGCCCTCACGCCTACTTGATCACGCAATCAGAGTCATGTGCATCATGTGCATACTGGTAGGAGCTTGCCTGCAATTACCTAATTACTGGTCTACTAGTAAAGACTTATGTTGTTGTCGTCGTTGTCGTCCTCGTCGTGGTTGTTGTTGTTGTTGTTCTTCTTCTTTTGGTGTTATATTTGAGTGGCCCATGGCTCGACAAGTTGCTGGAGTGATTTTCTGTATTCTTTTGGCTTGTGCGATCACCATGCAGGCACTACGTTGGTGTACTGGACAAGCGCAGTTATGTCATGACCATACATGAAGCCGAGCTGTTCAACCTCAAGCCGACCGTCGGTGAGCCAGTGTAAACTGCTGCACGTGTAGTTGGCGAAGTAACCTGCCTGCCGTCGGATCTTTCCTCTGTGTGTGTGTGTGTGTGTGTGTGTGTGTGTGTGTGTGTGTGTGTGTGTGTGTGCATGTATGTACGTGTGTGCAAGGGTGTCTGTCGGCGTGTCTGTGTGTGTATGGGAACATCAGGGGTGTCGACCGTTGGACGGTTTAATAGCCAAGTCACGTTTCCTAAAAGCTATGCATCACAGATTCTTCTGGCACTGAGACTACATCGTACTGCTGTCTGTAAACAGGCATGTAAATTTCTTCCATGAAGACTTTATCTTTGACTACTTCGAAGTAGATCTTACTTTGGTGATCAAACTATGTGTACGTGCCTTCTCCTTTCAGTGACATCAACAACCACCGCAGAAGAGCGTGATGATGATGTGGAAACGCCTGAGGACTCCTACATTCAGAAGGTATGCATGTGTGGACGCGTGTACACACACACACGCGCACGCACACGCACACACACACACACACACACACACACACACACTTGGTAGATCATGATGACTGTGACTGTCTCCTGGTATGCGTACATGGTACAGTCAGCAAGCAAGCTCATTCTTTCTTTCCACAATTCCGGCTATGTGTACAGTTCTCGGATATGGTGAAGGCGTTCGGTACATCTCGGCAGAAGCGCTCGCTGGCAGCACAAGAGCTTAGCCGATCCTCTCTGCAGAATGCCGGTGTGGCCATGGCGTCTACCATGGAGCAGCTAGCCACGGATGATCCGTCTCTTGCAGGTGAGCAATTATCATCCACACTACTGCCAGAGAAATTCGACCTCACGAATATGGTAGAACCCCGCTCGAGTGCACAGAACAGTATGTGTAGTGCTAGGACTGCGTAGCGCCCGGCAATGCTATTTTATTCATGAGGTTGGGTTTTCTCTGGCCAGTACCTTAGTACGTGGTATCTGCATCCTGGCAGCACCACGTCTTGTCTTCAACACACGTGTTTCGACACCAGATTATCTACTAGTGTTTTGTTATTACTAATACATGTACATTTATTATAATGCCTACAGCAGGATAAATGCTTCTACATGTATTTGAAATTACCTTTGAGTAGTCCTTTGACAAGCAATACTTGCTGCCGTTTTCCTTTTTTGTTTGCTAGTGCCAGCTGCACCCGTCGCTAACATACCTCCATTTGATATCGATGCAACGGAGCCTGCAGATGCCTACAAGATTGGTTCAAGTAAGTCTGTTTGGCTGTGTGGCATTATGTGTGTGTGTGCATGTTGCTAGTGAGTGTGTGCATTCATGTGTCTGTGTGTTATACTAGTACACATGTGAGTGTCATTCCATGATGCCAAGGATAATTTAACGGAACAGGGCTCAGCACCTTGTTTCAAGTCACTGAGCCTCTACCACTCTTCTTTGGACACCCACGACATGCGAACATTGCTGCTTCAAGCACTTAGCATCACTTGTAATAATCAGACCTGCTTCTGAAGTACATGTTTCACGAATCATCATTCTGCTGTGCGACTTGCGCCTGTGCGCTCTGTTTCCAGTTATAACACCGACAGAAGAGGACTGCCTCCGCGGCTACCAGAAGTGCTTTGCGCAAGCAGACAAGGAGACAATCGATCAGTGGCGAGAAGGCTCGAGGTGTGTACTGTTTGCGTGTACATGCTTGCATGCATAGTTGTGGGCGGATTTGGATTCTTTGTATTTTTACTACATTCAGCCATACAAGAAGAGACCTGTAACACTTCCTGTAAAGACTGTGAGCCACCTTCACTGTTACTGAACACGTGTACGCTTGAATCTTGCTGTAGTACGTGCACTCAGTGAGTACAAATACAAGTATGCTCAGTCTCTGGACAGCTAGCTGCTTCGACCTTGTTACAGTTAGGGCTTATCACTGGAGCTCAGAGTGTAATGAGTGCGAGTACTCGCCGCTGTACGCTCGTTTCTTCTCCCTCTTCTTTCCTTTTAGGTATGGCGAATATATTATGCGGCACGTTGCTCATCTTCCCAGCTATGACGAGGAGAGAAATCGCTTGTCTCGCCTTCTGCTATACCTGAGCGCCCTGATTCAATTGTACAACGTGCCACCGAAAGTAGCTGCTAGGAAAGGTGTGTGCTGGGTACTGATTGTACAACAATGTTGAGCATGCTGGTTGATTTCATACACATGACTGTACATGTATAATAGCAAGAGTACATAAACCAGAGTGTGTAACTCAGGATGGTTTCTATGCGAGCGTAATCCGTACAGTACAGCATTTCTGACGGCATGGGAAGCCACAGTCACAGTGATGCAGGTCACTGAGTTTGTCCTGATTTCGGTTTTTTGATACGGATAGCCTGGTGATTTAATTTGTCAGTGGATGTACGAAGCGTACGCAGTCACACAAAAACACCGAAATCCTAAAACAGGACGTCTAAAGTCATGCAAACTTGGCTGATTTCCGGGCTGTGAAACATGAAAAATTGAGCTGTACACAAGTTGCCGCTTGGCTGACCTCATCAGGGTGACGTAGTGCACGAACTGCGCTGTTTCAGATCTGATATGCACAGTTGCACACTCTGGTTTATGTACTCTTGATAATAGTATGTACAGTTGCGCTGGGTGAAATCTGACCCAGAGTGCAAAACCGGGGACCTGGACTAGTTCACATTACACTTACTGCATTCACAAGTATATGACTATTGTGTATGTCCAGCCGCATTCATGCCACTTCCACAGCGTCAAGGGCCATGCAAGTTTTGGGTCGGATTTCACCAAGCGGCACCGTACATGGAGTTGCCTCTCTTCTGTCTGGCTTGCCTGATGCTTTATTTTATATCTCTGGAGGGGCCATGCCTATGACACATCATTTTCTCATCATGACCGCTGTGCTAATAACGATACATGTACTAGAATTTTGTCGACCTATCAATTTTGAACCCTGATTCTGAGCCAAGAATAAAATTAATATGAAAGGTAAAGGGACACATGGATACCAGTTATGCTGTTTCATCAATTGTGTGCTACTGATTCTTGTTCCTGCTAGGCGTTGTATTGTCGGACATTCCGAGCATACTGCAATCCCGGCTCTACAGCCTCTTCACGGTTGAGTCGGAGATTTCCGGCAAGAAGAGGTAAGTGCACCGTGAATGGCAGTCATGCCGTGTTGTGATTACCCGTACGCCATGCTGTAATACATCTTTCTATCGTGATTCTTGGTTAAGGTGCTGTAGGATTCTCACTGTAGTCCTGCGGCCCAAATCTAAAAGACGTTGTTTTGCAAGTCCCGTTTCAGTCTCAAGCAGACAACCTGAGCTTTGTATGGGTGGAAAGACCATGTCCTAGGGATGTCGAAACGGCGTGTCATGTCCAGAACTAGGGCATAAGCTGGGGAGAACCAATTTTAGGTTTCGTTAGGGAAGTCGTTATTTTACGACTCCTTGATTGAAATTGGCAGCATGTGATACGATATTTTATTGAAAATTAGTGCAGTCGATGTGATTTTGTTCTTGTGTTTGGATGATTTGTAGATCATGGTTGCCCTTTGCCGAGCGTTCATTTCCTATTGATGGTGATTAGAGATGGCACAGATTGATTTTTTGTAAAAATTTGTTCAAAATCACCCCAAACATGGATCTTTCGTATGAGAGGATTTCATGTATTGGGACACTATCTCGACAACACCAGCGGAAGAAAGCTAGCACGGGCGAAGCAAAGAACACCGGAAAACGGCAGAGTAATAGCGATCATAAGCTGATTTTAGCAAACGAGCGATATGGAAGATGTTGTAAATACCGTAAAGTACCGCCAGAGCGCCCCACCTTGATTTTACAGCCAGAGAAAGGAAAATCGTATGGCAGAGTGCAACGAAGTGTGTACGATGTGAGAATTTTAGTGTACTAAGGTCACACTTGGCAGGTTTTTGTGTGGAGCTTGTGTCCTCTTGAAGGTACGGATTGACTGCAAAACGTGCAATATGTGTACAAGGTTCATGTCGTATGACCTACAGACAGCAGACCACCTCCACAATACGACCACGAAAGGATGAGATGGCGGGGCGCTCTGGCGGTACTTTACGGTAATAGCGCAGTAGTGTATTTGTCATTTGCTGCAGAGTTGAAAAGTACAATTCGAATTCAAATCAATTCAAAAACTTCAATAGTGCGGTCCACCAGCCTTAGCTTTCAGACTCACTGTCCGATTCACAGTCGGACTTACAGTCCAATCCACTGTCGAAACTGCCTTCACCCTCATCATGGCATTGTGCGCATGCGCGCGCACACACGCCACAAAATACATGGCATTGTGCGCGCGTGCTCGCACACACACATACACAAACCCCACACGCACGCACACACGCACACACACACACACACAACGCATGGCATTGTGTGTGCGCGTCCGCGGGCGCACACACTCACACACCACATAGCACGCTAGAGATCAGCAAGAACCTGCTGCGACCGTGGTTGAGATGGCGCTGTAGAAGACACCGCAGCCGCCACTGGTTGCCTCGCACCCGAGGTTGTAGTCAAAGCCGTACTAGCCGACACATCCGTACTGGAGGCTGATGTAGTACCCAGAGATGAAACTGATCCACTGGTGTTCACCTGAAGCTGCGGAGTACCGGATCCTTTGAAGCCGAAATGAGTGGGCAACACGACATTGGCGGGGACAAGCCCAGCGGATATCGCAGCGGGCCTATCTTAACTCCTGGCAGTGAGCCTATCGTAATTCCTGGCAGTGGCCCGTCGTAACTCCTGGCATTGGGCCCGTTCTCTTGCCGGACACTGGGGTGCGGAGTGGACGTGGATGCGGGCAGGAAATATGCGGCGACCGGCTGGACTGGGATGGTTGGAGTCGGGCCAGGTGCGTTACTAGTATGACTGTTCGGCAATGACTGGGTATTAGGGACCTTTCGCATTTGCTACGAAACGAATGCGAAACGAAAGTTTGATTCGGCTCGTAATCATTTCGTTGAAAACAGATTTCAGGTTTCGCAAGTCGTCATGCAAATGTGCATGGCAAATACGAATACGGCCGCGGGCGCCGGTAGCTTGGCGTACGGGGTTTTACACGCACACGTGCATGGATCATGGAATCAAGGGAAAAATGTGTACCTTGCAAAACATGTGTACCTATCCAAATGAATGTGTACCTGACGGATTCGGAGCGTGCCACGAATGAAGAGGCTTCCATTCGTGAAAACGAGTTCTCCGCAGGGACTCTGACGAATCCTCGAACCCAGGTGACGAATCTGCATTCGTTTAGTATCCGTACGCGGGGTGCGAAAGGTCCCTATTACCGGCCATCGGACCGTTCGCAGATGACACAGACAAGTGGTTGCTCCGTGAAGAGTGCGCCTGTATACCCATGCCATTTACCATACATGTCAATTGCTGAAGGAAACACACAGTTCAAACACAAAACGCAAATGAAACACGCCAATGAAATTCGATCTTTAAACAAGTCAAGTTCGCATGTCCGCGTTATCACGGGCTATACAATTGTGTTAAGAAAACAACCCGTTTATAATTCTGTCTCTTCTTGCATAAAGTCAGCCTAGAAAACTGACGTCTGCTTTGGACATTACTCTGACTCGGACAACAAGCCCTGGTTTATTCTTACCTACATGTGTACCATGTGAAGTAGCGCAAGAGCCAAGCTGGTCGTAATAATACGTGTAACAGCCACGAACGTAATTCAACCAAAGAAGACTACCACATTACATGAGCATGAACACTTGCATTCCATTCAATACATTCCTATGTTGTAGATGTCAGGCACTGTAGTGTTCACGTCTACATACACATTGTGGCATTCCTTGGCCACCCAGACATTCATGATAGTAGCGCACCATGTTATGTTATGCATGCAGCATGTGCCGTTTCCCGAGCGCGCGTGTGAAATGAACTTCGCGGCTTTTAGTTGCTGTGCATGAGTTGAGTCTGGACTCATGATCTGGTGTGTACATGCGATCGTGTGATCTTGTAGTTGAGCGTATTTGTTATTTGGATTTCCTTGGTCATGACCAAACAATAAAACATGATCAAATTATGTCTACACATTCAACAATGCCAAGAACTCACCTGGTCCCCAAGTAGCTCATTATCTTCTTTTTCAGCATGAAAGTAGGATACTAAGGCGGAGTGTGATGGTCGGCCAAGCTGGTGCCGTTTGCAGTTATTGTACTTATCCGTGAGGAGCTTCAAGGGCGAGGCCCTTGCAGACTTCAACTCGGACTGTATATACAGCACGAGGCTGTCAAATGCTGTTTCGTAGGCTGGCGGCTGGTCACTCCCTTTGCCACTTCGTTGCCGTTGCATAGTGGCCGGGTGGGTGAAGGCACTGTAGCATGCTCGTTGATAGTGGATTTCCGCTGCAACGCAATCTGGGCCATTCTGGAGCGAAAGCCAAATTCTTGCGTTGTTCTCCAACTCTGCTGCCTCTAGTATGCTGTCGCCAGCTGACAGACATTGGCACAGAGTTAAAGGTTGTTTCTTTCCTTTTAAATTTTGTTTTGATCTTTTATCACATATGAGGCACACGTCTGCAGATGTGGATTGTACATCTCTCCTTGTACATGGTGTCCCATCATCACAAACATGTATCTCCTCCAATTCAGAATGGCTTGGTACATGGTGTCCCATCATCACATACATGTATCTCCTCCAATTCAGAATGGCTTGAACAGTCATGGTCACGTCCAAGTGGCAGCCGATCCAGCAACGTTTTGTTAGTGTATGTACTGTCGCACTTGCGGTGGTACCATCCGCGGGCGCTCTCCTCGGTGCAGTGGCTCTCGCACAAGAAGGTATAGCTCGTCCTGCCTGCATTTAGCAGCTTCAAACAAAGTTCCCCAACTCTGCGAAGTAAATCGGGTTTGCTTTTCCTGCGATGCATTGAACGCAATGGCACAAGCAAAATTCCCGCGATACAACGTCATTCCCAGGACGAGGCCTAAGAAGCTCCACGGCCTCTTCCTCCATCATGTCAAAAGGTGTCTACCATGCTGTGAGCGGTGGTCAGGAGGCACTCAAACAGCCCGAAACGCAACTACTATTATAAATAGTACTATGCAACTACCAAACGAAAATGCAATTCTACATTTCAAAGAGTATCCTGTCAGTGTCGTCATCTTCAAAAATTTGAAAAAGGCGCTCCTTTCCATGAACTGTGCACCCCCAGATGGTGCGCAGTATTCAGATTCCTTGAATTTGAGTCGCCAACGAGAGCGGAGAAATTGGCTTCTCCTGAGCTTGTGCCCTAACTCTGAAGATGACAACAAGCGGAATCCAGGTCAGGTATACATACTTTAGGTGGTAGTGAAGAACCCAGGTTGTCTGCTTGAGACTGAAACGGAATTTTTTTGAAGTTTGGGCCGCTGGACTACTGGAGATGTTTTGCTTCTGAGCACATTGGTGTGCTCCATGGCGGGCTAGCAACGATTCCTGTGTGTGTGTTCATGTTCTCCCTTGCAATTCTTTTCTTGCAGGTACACAGTGCCTGGTCGACTACGAGATCGACTCGTTGCCTACATATTTGTAGTGGCACTACACGTCGAGAATTTCGACTTTGATGCCGCTCTCCTGATCAGAGATTTGTCCCTCACGCCATCAAGGTTAGTTTCAGGCCCCTGAATGGCTTCGTAGAGGGTTCTTTCACTAACGTTATTCCAGTCCTGTTGAGGACAATGTTGTGGCATTTAGTACGCTAGAGAAGCACCTACATGTTGGTGTTCTTTTCATGGACGAATGCTCAACTTGCATTAAAGGAACGGAGCTTTTTTTCAGGGTGAAATCTTCTAGGACAATGTAGTGTGTGTGTGTGTGTGTGTGTGTGTGTGTGTGTGTGTGTGTGTGTGTGTGTGTGTGTGTGTGTGTGTGCTCCTATATGTGCCTCAGTCTATCCGTCTGTCCTGTTCTTATTGCATAGCGAACATACTCTAACACCAACCCAACTACACTCACCATAGCATCTCTTGTCCATCTTTTTTTTCTTTCTTTTTTCTTTGCAGAGCAGCGGAATACTTCCGTTCTATTGGCTGCTCTGTCATCACTAATGGGTCTCGCAAGCGCAAGAGTATGCAGGACAGTGATTCGCCAGGTGCTGATGGCCTGGAGCCAGAGGCCAGTATTCGTGTTCGACTCAAGATACCCTTGACATTCCCAGGCAAGAAGCGCGGCAGGTCTCGCCACTAGTGGCTTGTGTCCTGTTTGAACCAATATGGCTGGAAGACATTCTCAACTGTGGTTGTGTGCCTTTGTCTCACTCCAGGTCTTTTTTTTATAGAGCTTGTACTCATGTACTCAGAGCTTATTTCCCAACGTCCAACTTTCTTTTGTTGGCTGACGGAACCAGCCTACCGTGTCTATATAATAAACTGTACATGAAATTATGGGCAAAACGTGTTGAGAGAAAGGGCAGGAGCCATTGAGATGGACATACTATCTACAGAAGCTATCTACAGTGTTGTGTATTTGACACTATTTGCATTTGAAAATGTTGCAAAAAAGGCAGAACAAGTTTATTTTTTGTGCAACTCGTTCTGCCTTCACTGTACGGAAGCTGTGCCCATTGTGTTATTTAACACTGGGTGGACTGCGTTTTAAAAATGAAGGAAGAAATAGAAAACAAGTTTGTACATTTGCTTTGACGAGTACTAGTAGTAGACGACTGTGGAAACAAGAAAGGTCCAGAGAGCAAGATACTAGTAGAATTGTAGAATTTCCTTCTTTTGACGATTCCCTTATTCACTGGGTAGCATTGGTTGCTGTGAGCTGGTGCTTGTGGGCCTTGGGTTGTTGTCAGCGTTATTTGCGATGGTACTATAATACGGTACCAGTACTGGTACTTGCTGTGGCTGTGGCACCTGTGGTGGGCTGCTCCTTCTCGCCACCACAACCAGAACCAGTGCGAATGCACAGACAACTATCACTACGCAGCCCATGGCAAGGAAAATTATCAACGTGATCTTCTCGGCTGCATTCTCGGGATCATTCTCACCCGTATCGCCAGTGTCATTGCCATCGTCTGACTCCAGGTTTTTACTGTTTTTGTCCTCTATGCCGGTCTCTACAACAATAGTGTTTGAAGTCTGTATTAGTTCTGTAGTTGGCTGATGGACTTCATTATTCGGTGGCGTCAAGTTCTGTTCACTGGTGGGTAGCGCAGAGATTGCGGGCGTGGCGGGGTGGCTAGGTGCGCTGGTACTTAAGCTGATGCAGATAGCGGATGAAACTGGTGAGCATACTCTTCGGACTTTGACCATTTGGCCTTGGAGTCTAATATAGGGCCGTATGCAGCTGAACAGTGTTTCTACAGTGCTGTCATTAGGATGTGTTGTGATACTGGATACTTGGATTGGAATATCAATGATTGCTTCCCAGATAGAGCTCAGATGCTGGTGTTGTGGAGAGGTGGTATCACCCGTCTCCGTGTTGCCCGCGTCAGCATTGCAGTGTTGTGTCTTGTCGGTGGGTGGCCGGTGATGGAAATTGCCGGTAAGTCTGCTTTGGCAGTGGTGTTGCTTCCTAACTAGACGCTTTCCTCTCGTTTGTAGCTCCGGCGTCCACTGCACAGAACCGAGAAAGAAGACAAACGTACAAGAGAACTATGGAGGGGGTTTACAAACTTTACATGTACTGAAAGCTCGGATGGAGTATATACTGGTAAATGTATTGTCCACGGCCAATCTATTCATAGTTCCCACCCATACTCCCCTACCTGATCGGTGTTGCAGCTTGCATTCAGTTCAAGGAAAACTCTAAGAAAGTGTGCGGCAGGATTGGTGATTGTAGTTGTAGTGCTGGGGGCGATGTCCGTGGTGGCTGTTGGCCTCGTGTTCCTCTTGCTGGCAACACCTGTACAGACAAGTGCAGGAGTAGATATTCGAGAATCAAGGTTGGAAAGAAAGGGCTGGAGGTCTACAGGGTATGAAGGCACTGTCCAACTAGAACAGCAGCAGGACAACATTGTGCAGTGCTCCTACCCAGTGTCCTAACCGTGTTGAGATCAATGACTAGCATTCCTCATCTGTGTGGTTGGTGAGCTCGCAGTTCAAGTGCACAAGGTGACAATGGATGGGGTTGAAGACAAGTCAGTGAGCTGAAACCAACAGCTACTGTAGTGTCACAGCATGTGTTGTGCATCATGAGGTCTGCCTTACTTGTCAAGTCAACGGCGCGTGATTGGCGATGTACAGTGCTGGTCACTGCTGGCCGAACAGTGTGGATTTCCGTAGCATGGCTGCTAGTGCTCACTTCAGCTGTATCCTGGTTAGCTGCGGGTGAGGAAGTATAATTATAGAGGTTGCACAGCCGTGCACACGTCCACACAATACACCACCACACACGTACACACACACACACACACACACACACACACACACACACACACACACACACGCACGCAAACACGGGATGGCGGTCAGGAAGTGGTTGAGCGAGTGCCCTTGGCATCACTACGGCAAGTGTCTCGTATGGAGTCTCCTGTCTACTGCGAATGCCAACTAGTCTATGCTGGGTGTTGTGTTCTACATGGCCTGTCATGTTTGGCATTGGGAAAGCAATGCAGTGGATTTCATGGTCTCCACTCATTATTTATTACGGACATAATGGGAGATGTTCATTAACAATTTTACAATTTCGATGTCAGTCTTGTAGGGTGAAACGATCACTGAAAATGGGCTATCGATTGCCTATAGTTGCTAACGATCGAGTTGTCGGTCATAGCGATTATATTCAGGTGTTCAATTTCATTGAAATGGTGTTACTTTGCCCTTCTTTGGGAGAAAACAACAAAGGACGTCAGAATAATGAGGCCGCGGAAGCCAGACTGCTTAGAATCACAGGTCTCCACCATAGATATCATGGTTCTGAGTTGTGAGTGGTTTGGCTTGCATGTTTACCAACATATTGGCACAGTCAAACCTGGTTTAAGCGACCACCCCACGGTGCAAGCAAAAGCGGTCGTTAAAGCCAGGTGGTCTTTAGAACCAGGTCCCACAGTGTCTGTGTAGAACTGTCGGTGCATGGAGAAACGGTCGTTGGTTAAGAGCAGGTGGTCGCTAAACCCAGAGATCGCTTACACCAGGTTTTTACTGTAGCTGGAAAGCCTTCCCAGTATTGGATGTGCCCATAACGAGTAAGTGACAAGATTGTTTCACCCCTAGAATCTTGTAATACCAGTTCATCCGTTTTTAAATGGTCTACTTCATGCGAGACGGTTGTAGTGAATCTCGGACAGGCACCTACAAGTTACTGTCACTCTGAGTAGTCAGGACAACGTACAGTCGTACATGCACTTATTCTATTCAATAAGAAAAAATTGTGCAGCATGTGTAGGATGCCTAGCATACCAGCAGCCAATTTGCTACTACCGTTCCTACCTTGGGTGGCTGGTTGAGAAAGAGCAATTGGTGGAAAATCTGTTGTTGCATTTTTGCCGGACGAAGCAGTTGCGATGCAGGTAATGACCTTGCCCTGGTCGGCTGGGCTCAGGTTCCGACATGCCAGCGTTTGATTCTTTGAACCTCGCTTGAGATAGAAGTGTGTATCCGTCAGTGGTTGGCCGTCGATCAGCCACTGGACATTGTCTGCATTCTTGGGAATACAGTAGAAGTGCACAGTGGTTCCGGGTGCAATGACGCCATGTGGTCTCTGCACCGCAAGTTGCAGCTTTGGCTGTTGTTGGAGAAGCTGCTCTTGGGTTATGACTGTTATTGCACGAGAGCCCGCTGAAGAAATCTGCCGGGCTCCCTGGGAGTTGAAAAACACTACGTTGCATCTGTATGTTCCGATGTTCTCCAGTCCAACGGACACGATCGTCAACACACGGTTGCCGTCCCTGTATGAGATGCCGGCCGCATTTGCTAGTGACGTTGCTCCGTGCTGGCCGGGCCTCATAGTATACCATCTGTATTCGACGTGGTGTGCGGCTTGCATCAGGCTTGCCGGCGGTGTGCACATCAGGCTGAGCCGTGTGCCAGTAGGTACGGGATTACGCGCAGTTGCCAGAATATCTGCTGAATGATATAACACCCGCACGTGCACGCATATCCAGGCATGAAGGGTACACACAGGCACACACCAGAGGTGATTCATGCAGATTGAGCCTTCTCGGGAGAAACCTACGTAACAGGGTCACCACATTATTAATGCAATTAGGAAGCCTGCCGTCTGACAAGTCTGCGCGCAGATGCGAGAGTGAGTCACACAATGAATTCCTGTCAAACAAGAATACATAATTATACATGTTGAGCTGCAGTGTGAGTCAGAGCCAGGTCACTTCAGGATTATCTCAGCACAGCGCAGACCTAGCCATGATATCACCATGATGATGCTTGTGATAACACAGCCCCTGCTTTGAGGTCATGTGATGCTGAATTGCTCTACATAGCTACGGTAACCTTAGAAGTAAGGGGGGAAACCCCTGAATGAGGGGGGGGGGGGGGGCAGTGCTTCCAGCACAATTATATAGCTTTTTATAGGTGCATAGTCAAGTCTCGCCAGCTGACCACCATGTGACGGTTTTTCCAGGCTTTGGAAGAACATGCACTGCACGCAGCCTGACGTGCATGGGGACTCCACCTCATGCCTGTCATTACCATGATTACTGACATGCTGTAGCCTGGGGTATAAGAACCTGTCACCATAAATAGATAGGTGGCGCCATGAAGCAAGCGTATTCATGCACATGGCTCGTGGCCCGTGCTGCACACACGTGCTCATCAGCACTATTTAGTGCAGGCTTTTCTTTTTTTTTAAAGGGGACGATAATCTTGTCAGCTGACGGTCAGCTTTACAGTCCTCGTTTTTCCCCCGTGATAATTGGACAGGCAAGACAGTGTCTCTGCTGCCATGCCAAGAAAGGCACAGCTGGCAATAGCAGTGGCAGTTCGCACACACCGCTCTGCGATAATAGTGACAATCTCAATAGAAAGGCCACAGCTGTCAACTCCCAAGCATCTTTTGGCAATGGTGCCAGAGCCCAGGCCCAACATTTGGCCGAAAGTGCGCTCCGGGGGCCAGCCAAACATAGAGGGTATTGTTGCACCTTGCAGTGCATTGTGGCTTATGTTCTCTGCTGTCACTGAAGTGATGCTGTGCCCGTGACAAGAGGCTTTCGAGCGCTTGAAAAAGAAAAATGCGAGTAAAATAATTATACGTTCTGGCTAGTGCCGTGTGGTACAAGGATGGGCTGTAAGTGTAAGCTCGGTGCCATGCTACTACTCGTCCCCCTTGCTGTAGAAACCAGTACTATTACTTGCAAGTAGCCTAGCAGATCTCTGCTATGAAAACAACGGTCTTCTCAAGGAAAAACAAGAGGCCCAAGCCATACACTGCTTTACCACGCCATACACTGCTTTACCACGAAGCAAACGTCCTCCCACTAAAGCCGCACATGCGCACTCAACAGCGCATGTTTCATGACTTTCACTTTAGCTCATACATGTACATCCTTCAAAGCGGTGAACCCCGGCCTTGATAGGCGACAAGCCTCTGGGTCATCCTGATATAGGTATTATTATTATTATTATTATTATTATGAAGTAGCCATTATTCCTAATCGTCAACTAACTACAGATCGCGCACATCAATTATCAGGAAGAGAACGAAAAAAAGACACAACCACAGAGAACATACCATGTGATGTGGCCCCCGCAGATGGTGAAGCTTGGCCGAAGGCGATCAGAATTGAGAAGATGGACACTACCCAGTCTCCAGTGACCAGCCTGCAGATCAGCCGCGCATGTCGAACTGGTGGGATTCGGCCGGACATCCTGCGTCCGCCAGGCCCACAGAACACCGGCACACACTCAGCGGCCATGCAGAGAAAGCATCAATTGGTGTGGTCAAGACTGCCGGTTTATATACTCTTGTTGTGGTAAACTAGCGGTGATGGAGGGATCGGTTGTGAATTGGTTCAATCCGGACCTGGAAGGTAGAAGTTGTTCCCTACCAAGTTATTCATTGCTGTTCATGCTACCACACACGCCATTCGGGTGGCAAATTACCGCTCCAGCAGGTGGAGAAACAAAAGTGAAGCAATCACTGTGCCTACTACATGTATCAAAGGATCAGTTGGGGAAGTGAACTGCCTGAAAAGAGAAAAAAATCGCCAGACCCACCAGGATTCGATCCTGGGACCCTGCTTGTCATGAGCAATGCTCTAACCACTAACCTACTACATGCATAATGTATTATACCCACAGGAGCTACAACTTATGAGCGGCACAAAAGTTTAGGGGATCGGTGATCAAAGTAGGCATTTCAGACTGTGCCGATATCGGCACGGGCGCTGTAATCAGCGTTCAGCACTCTGGGGAGCTTGTCTGGGTCAACACACACTGTTGACAAGATCATGGTTCCCATCGTAACAGACATCTGGGGATGCTACCGAAATGTTTTCTGAGAACCACAGTGGAGTACTTGCGAACCCTTTGACACTGCCTACTTGACATTTGTCTTGAGACTCACATGTGAATTGCCTAGCTGTGCAAACCAATCATGATGCTGTCATCTTCAACTTGTCAGTCTGGTGGGCTTGGCACCAGAACCCAGGCTATATGCCAACAACAGCTGCCACTGACAAGATCAGAAGCTGCGGTGGCCTACAATGCTGTAGGTACTTCCCCCTGAGCAGCTCCACAGTGGCAGTGGCGGACCCCATACTTCCCAGTGTGATAAGGCATCTGGTTCTGCATAACTACAACTTAGTACAAGAGCATTGCATGGCAATATTGCAATAGGGCTTGAAAGTGCTACGTCACAGCATAGCAACAATTTCAAAAATTCAAAAACTGGATCCACTTGGATCCAGTTTTTGTATGGATCCAAGCACATTTCAAGCGGTCTTACTCACAGCAAGGTGATACTGACTGATTTACTGACTGATTTGGCTAATGCATACTGACCAACCACCAAAATCTCAATCCCTTGACAAGACATGCAGAATCCCTGGATTTCTCTCAAAATCCCTGGATGGCACCAAAAGCCGTGAAAAAGAGCTTTTCCCGCCAAAACAAAACGTTCGACTCTGCAGATCTGCAAACTCGTACAGCACAGTTCGACCCTGCAGTGCAGTTCGATCAGTCGGCGCCCGCCTGTCAGTGCAGATCTTGCAGCCTACAGGCTGTTCAGATCTTGAAAGTGCACAGTTCGAAGTACGAGTGGGCACCGTACATATTTTTGAAAAAATAGGGACATTCGAGGAGAATCCATGGAGTTTCAGGAAAATCCTGTATCAGACAAAACTGTGACTTTTCCGGGAGTTTGCTTGAAATCCCCGGGACCCCGGGAATAGTGTGGATTTCCCGGGAAAACCGGGAGGGTTGGCCAGTATGCTAATGGGGGCAGGGTGACAACTGGTGGCGAAATAAAAGTCACACCTCCATGCGACATGAGTGGGTTGCTATGCACCCACATACTTAGGCAATAGCAAAGTCACACCTTAGTGGATTCAAAATAGAAATCTGATGTCAACTTACTACTCCCTGGCCGTTTTTTGCATCATCACTTTCAAGCCCTATGACTATGTATATGAGCAAGAGTACATAACCCCCCGGGGGGTTATGTACTCTTGCTATGAGCTATGGCAGGGAAAGGACAGGTCGAGTCCTCATGGCACTTAAAGGGGAAGTTAAGGCAAAAATTAAAATTTCACCAGTTGTAGTCTTCGGGGTGCTGAGTCGAATGGTCTTGGTCCGAGAAAGCTGAGACGCTCCCTTCCTACTTGAATCCCAATCGAACTCGCGCACTTCCACCGAAACTGGGTGACTGCGCCCTACTAGATGGGGATTTGTATGCAAAATGTCACTAAAAGCGCCGTTTCGTTCTTATAAAAGCACGGATGACCGCGATTGGCCCATATGTTGTAGTCTTTTGGACGCTGAGTCGACTGGTTTTGGTCCGAAAAGGCTGCGATGCAGCGTTCCTCCTTTATTCCCAATCGAACATGGCTGAACAAGCGGTCACGTGCTCCTGGGTGCCCAAATCACCTGGTCACCACGCCAGCAGGCGACAACTTTCACACCAAGGTTCAACTCGAGTGACAAGACTGCACCCAAAAAAGGTCAAATAGGCTAGTAAGTTGTACCCTGCAGGCACGGTGACCAGCTGACTGGTGTACGCAGGAGCACGTGACCGCTTGTTCAACCATGTTCGATTGGGAATAAAGGAGGAACGCTGTATCGCAGCCTTTTCGGACCAAAACCAGTCGACTCAGCGTCCAAAAGACTACAACATATGGGCCAATCGCGGTCATCCGTGCTTTTATGAACGAAACGGCGCTTTTAGTGACATTTTGCATACAAATCCCCATCTAGTAGGGCGCAGTCACCCAGTTTCGGTGGAAGTGCGCGAGTTCGATTGGGATTCAAGTAGGAAGGGAGCGTCTCAGCTTTCTCGGACCAAGACCATTCGACTCAGCACCCCGAAGACTACAACTGGTGAAATTTTAATTTTTGCCTTAACTTCCCCTTTAACCTCTAGGCCCAAGGAAACAGTATGGATTGAAAAAAATGTCCCGTGTCTTATCCACTTCTACACACACATACGCACGTGCACACACACACACACACACATATACACACATACGCATGCATGCACACACACACACACACACACACACACACACACACACACACACACACGGTGCGGGCCAGATCATCATTGTTTACCATCCAGTATTGTGTATTTCAAAATGATATCACCAATCATTGGGCCGGGCTTGACCTGTAGAGCATGCTACACTAGTCGACGAGCTGCTCAGCATATGGGGGGGGGGGGGGGGGGGGAGAGAGAAGTCACTCAACGAAACTTTAAATTGCAAGCTATTCAGGTCTTGACACAAGTCAGTATTTCACGCTCAACGGGCCATAGTTTCTTGAAGTCAGGTGCTGATAAACGCGAACACCGCGACTACTAATGTGATGACGGGAACTTTGTGTGCGTTTTTCACTTTTGGTACGACAAGCAGCGCGATAGGGCTTGAAAGTGGCGACGTCAGAAGTCAAATTCTAACAACAAATAACGACGTTTGGATCCACTTGAGTCCAGTTTTTGTATGGATCCTGGGACTCCATACACGTTTGGATGGTTTTCCTTCACAGCATAGTGACACATCCCGCACCGGTAGGTGTGGGTTCACGACCGGGAGGGCCTAGTCCAATCACTACCGGTGGATGTGTCACTATGCTGCGAAGGAAAACCACCCAAACGTGTATGTACCCCCACAAAAACTGGATCCAAAGGTCGTTAGATCTTGACTTCTGACATCATCACTTTCAAGCCCTATAGGAATTACATCGTTCATACGGTAAAAGGACCATGCATGAGAACCAGTGAGCTGCACACTTTTATGTATTCTTGAGCTAACGGGCGGGCCCTGCCACTATCAGGTTGGGTTTTCGGGTACCCTATGAACCACACATACATACATGTACATGTACTACAGCCAGGGAGTTGTATAGGGGTAAGCGGATTATGCTTGGAAAATGACCAGATTATGCTCTAGCGGACGCTCGCAGGATGCTCGAGAAAACAGCCAATTATGCTTTTAGCCTTTTACATGTATATTATTATTATTATTATTTGTGCTCCCGCGTCAATGGGCTCGCCCAAATTCGCTTGCACCGAACCATGCGAAAAAAGGCGGCCAGCAGGCAGGCAGGCAAAGAAAAATAGAAAATGGTGTCACATAAACTAATACAAACAAGAATATCATTATTGATGACATTAATATACTGAATGAATGACATCACATGTATATGCTTCACCAAAAAGACCAAAAGAACAGATACCGGTAAGCGTCATGAAAAAGGGACTCAGACCATTGCCATGATATGGACTGGGAGCTTTGTGGAAGTACAAGACAATAATATGGAAGAGGAATATCCAATTCACACTGAGCAAACGCTGAACTTTTAGGAGAGGTCATAGTGGCTGCTAAAATATTATTACAAATCGATAAGAAGCTCTATGTATGTCTATGATCAAGAGTAGATAAACAAGAGTCACGGTGCAACTCCGGATCTCTCCTGCCCAAGCTGCGGATACCCCCACCCACGGCGGAATTTTTTGTTGACGTCACCTTTTTTTCCCGAAAAACGCGCATCTTCCCGCAGAGCAGTGTGAGAGCACGTGCTGGTCACCGACCTTGTGCCCGGCCAAGTGCACGAGGCAAAACTTTCCAAAAGACTCGCATGCAGCGCGTGGGTCGTAGAAAAGATTACGTCAACAAAAAATTCCGCCGTGGGCCAACCCATCCGGGAGTTGCACACTCTTGTTTATCTACTCTTGGTATGATCCTTCAATAGCAGGTGTGTATAACAGCCTCATTGAGCATCTGCCCTTGTTTTTCAGATGCCATTTTATGCTCCTTCTCAAAAAGGACCTGATTACGCCAAAATTATGCCTTCAATTATGCCTTCAATAGCAGGTGTGTGTACCAGCCTCATTGAGCATCTGGCCTTGTGTTTCAGATGCCATTTTATGCTCTTTCTCAAAAAGGACCTGATTATGCCAAAATTATGCCTTCAATAGCAGGTGTGTATAACAGCCTCATTGGGCATCTGCCCTTGTTTTTCGGATGCCATTTTATGCTCCTTCTCAAAAAGGACCTGATTATGCCAAAAAATATGCCGGCATAATCCGCTTACCCCTAGAGTTGTAGGGTCTTTACAACTCCCTGATTACACCACAGTCACACTGACATCCAGGAGATGCGCATTGCAGGGCCGTAGCAGCAGGGTTTCAGGTGCTCCGGCCTAAATAGGATACTTGGCTGGAAAATGACTATTATCGGCGAGAACCCTCGTTTTGCACAAATTGGATACGTGAAACTTTTTTCTCGCAATAACCCCGCCGGACCAGGTGCTAGCTACACCCTGTACTATGCTTACAATAGTTGACTCGTGGAGTGTCCTCATGTACTGTGGCTAGCACAACGAATTACATACACACACACGTGCATGCGCGCACACACACGTACACGTCAGACCTGCCCAGCCCGGAAGCGATGATAGCGAATAGCTATGTTAGACATAGCAACTAAACTACTTGTGCTGGGATTACACCATTCAACAGCTTGCAAGGCTGATGAATTGACCGCCACTAATTTTAGCAGTGGTATCCGCCACACAGCTGATTGAAGTGGCTTTTTCTGGCCAGTGAATCCTTATTTTTCATTTTTTCCATACACACACACCACACGCACACCACACACACACACACACACACACACACACACACACACACACACACACACACACACACACACACACACACACACACACACACACACACACACAGAGCTCGGATATTGCGAGCTACTAACCTTATGCTCAAAGAGTGTCAGTCCAAGATGTCATGCTTTGGGAGAGGGAGTCCGCTTGGAGAAGGGCACTGTCGGTCAGATTGGTAGAATGAAATGGCTTTCTTCTCCTTTGATTAGGCCTAGCACTTGGCGGCACATGTCGCACCACCATTCGCGATTCTTTCTTGTACAGTACTATTGTCGTATTAATCGCGTGTCGACGGCGACCGGCTTGCTGCGCAGCTTGCCTCCAGGTGGGACATCGACAAGTCCTACAGCAGCGTCATGTCCTGGGTGCGGATCCACCATCAGTTTGCTGTTTTCCGGGCTGTCCACCTTCGTCTTCGGTTCACGTCGTCGTGTCGGTGGGCTGGCGATGGTGTCGGCCTTGGCGTTGGCCGCTAACTATTACTTTCACGGTGTATAGCACAAAATGTACTCTTTTTCTTTTTTCGTTTTTTCCCACCTTTTCAGCTGGCCTCAGCTCATGCAGCTCATGGAGTCATGCTCACTGCCTCGATCGATCGCTGAGTCTGTAGTCCAACAGGAGCTTGCCACGTTGATAATGGTTTAGTGAGCGGATAGGTAGAACAGATTGGAGTGTCCATATGTGAGCTGGACGCACTTTCTCTATACAGGAAAAAGGAAGTTCAAGGCACGGAACACGTTTGTTTGTCTTGTCCGGAGTTCTTCTGATCTGAACCAAAAATAGATCTGCATACATGCATCATACGGATTGTATTGATGTGAACGTGAATACTGTGGGCACATGTAAAGCTTATAATATCCACAGTACACGGAGCCAGCAACAGGGCAAGTACAATGTGCAATGACTTCATGCACGTCTATGCACGTATAAATAATCATAGCGTTAGTGTGCTCTACTGCTTGTACGCACTAGCTAGCCGTACATGTACTTTTGAAGGCACATGACTGGACTGCGCATATCGCATGTGGGCCGAAAGTCCATACTACAAGCTGATTTTGTTCAAATCACGCTTGAAAATAGGTAGTCCTCACGAAAGTTTGCTGTACAGGTGTTCATCATAAAAGAATGATTATTACTTGATTTGATGCCTGGTCAGCTGTAGAACTGGCTCTCGTTCGTATAAATAGTAGGGGTGAAACAATTATACCGAGTACTCGAGTACTCGCTCGGTTTTTTCAAAAATAATCGTACTCGGAATAAATCAGAGTACTCGTTCATACGTGGTACATGCATTTTCTACAGAAATCTGCAGTTTCAGGGCAGCAGTCGGCAGATGGTGATGTGCAGACTGTGTGGTGAACATTTGTTCTCGAGTGGAGAGAGCCCAATTGACCCACCAACCAATATACCTGAGAAAAATGACTGCTACTCAGTTCAATCAGGGTTGCACCATGTTATTTTAAAGCCCTTGGTGTGCAATTTTTAGGAGATGAAAAATACTCGAATACTCGAATATTCGATCGGAGAAAATCAGAGTACTCGAACTCGGGATCTCAGTGCCAACTTTCACCCCTAATAAATAGAAAGGTCTCTTTATCAGCGTACGTCCTAAAGAAGTTTGACTGCACTTGAGTACCTTCAACATTGGACAGCTCTTGTGGCAGATGCCGCACAATGAGATGTTGTAGTTGTAATCAACTGTGACGCTGTAAGGGTTTGCACCATATACCGCCGCTCCACACAGGTAAGCAGCATCATGATCCATGGTTGACTTTAGCTCCGTTACAATTTGCCAATGAGGCGTGGATGATAGCTGAAGAGTACGCTATTCTTTAGGATATTACTGATGGCCCGTGAACATTCAGCATTCCTGTTCTGTGACTAATGCATTGCTTAGACCATGGGCACAGGATTTCGCCCGCGGGTAGAGACTAGAGATAGTGGCCGAGATTCAGCACCACGCTCTCTGATGTGATAGTTCGGAGCATATCCGAGAGTGACACTGCCTGCTGTTACCTCCAGCAAAGAGCACATCTATTGGATCGACACCGGACAACACAAGCAACAATGATGAAATTCATCAGTAGACCTTACGAGTAGGAAGCGGACAAGACAGATGGATGCTCGGTGTGGGTACATCCAAGATAAGGATGATCGGATGCAGCACAGCCAGCTTCACACACAAGTGGTACAGCACCTCCAACAAGCAACAGCGACAAGACTCCAGTACAGGCTAGCTATCCAGTAATGGAGGTCCTGCATTAGCGTCCATGCACGAGTTGACACTGCTTCTTATCAGTGCGATCCCTTCCCAGTGGACGAATTGTCATGGATCGACAACATAATTGCTATCAACTTTCTTCAGCTGTGCTTTGAGCATCCTAAAGTACAGTGACAACAGCATACAACAACACACCGTGGATGCTCACCAAAATAATTATGTTTGCATGACGACAAAGAGTCGTGCGCTCAACATCACTGGGCTAGAGGATGGGTCTTCTTTTTAGAGCTCTTGGCATATACACTTCCATCACAGAACAGAACAACAAGGACAATCAAGGCTTGTTTGCTGCTGCTTCAAGTTTCATGCTCTCGCAATGATCAGGCGACATACACTGCCATCATAACAGGCGTATGATGGCCATGGAGAAAGAAAAATTGGCAGCCACAGTGCTACCATGCATAGGTGTACTGCCAAATTAAAATTCTTCGTTACAAACTTGGTCACTTTGACGAAATGCCAATTGGCCAAAGTATTTTGCTGGTGAAATAAGTTAGGATCATACTTGCAGTATCTAAGAATAACAATTGATCCATTTCATCTGTGAAAACATAGTAACTGCCAAAGTTTACTAATGGCCAAATGCTGTGTTTTCAGATCAACCAAAGGTTCTCATTGGCCGGTAGGCAATATGCAGTATTATGTACAAATAATCCATGATTCTTTTTCTCCTGGACACTGAGTCAGCACATTTGCCTTACAGATTCTCCTCCTGGATGCGCTTGATGCGCTGGTCCTGCCACCCCAGTCTCCGCTGCATCTCCTGAATACTGTCATGCTCCTGCAGGAAAATGAGTACCATGAATGACATGCATGTGCAAGGAAAAGTGTGTGGGTGGAGAGGGGGGTTGTCTGCCTCATCCCATGGAATGGAAATCTCTGTTGAGCTAAATCATGCCTATTTGAGCTTGCACGGGAGCCGATGCCGTCACTGCACCCAACATCTGACATGGGATCCCGATCAATGACACAGCACTGCCAGCCAAAAACCAAAGGCAGAGCATGGGGTCTCGGCCAAAATTCGTCCTTATCATCTGGAAACCTTTTTTTTTAACGAAAAGGCCTATAATCTGGTCAAATCTTTTAAAACTCTTTGACGCCTGTGCCAACTGTTCAAGACCTTCACAGAACACTGAAATTGCAATGCTCAAACAAGCAGACGGAGTACAATGTCATGTACTAGTACTAGCAAAGAAGAAAGATTGAAGCTCCGAAGACAGAACGGACATAAGCATAGTAAGTATAGGTATCTGAAAGTTAAAAAAAAAAAGAGGACGTGATTCACGTGCCCTAACTTGAGCGCATATAATTGATTTGCTAAGGTTAGCTAAACTTTGAGGGTTTGCAGTAAATAGGTGTCTGTTGTACCCAGTTCCTTACTAGAGACAAGGCGTTGTACAAGCTGTAGATGACCTTAGCAGTCTCCATATCGTCCTCTATTGACTTGAGCTGCTCCACCACCCATTTTCGACTTTGACCGAGTTCCTGAGACACCATTTGCACTTCTCCCTGTGCCGTAAAGTGTACAAACACACACACACACACACACACACACACACACACACACACACACACGCACCATGTACCACACACACACACACGCACGCACACACGCACGCACACACACACACACACATCCCATTGCTTTGTAACCGTTGCTAATCCCTACCCCTTTTGTGTACGTGCTTTTCTTTTCTTTTTTCTCTTCTTCCGTGGTTGGTCTCACTCTCTCCTCAATTCAATTGGCTGTCTCCACATACTACGAGGTGCAGAAAAAATAAAAAATAAAAATAAATAGCACACACACACACGCACGCACACACACACACACACACACACACACACACACACACACACACACACACACACACATACGCACACAGCAGCCAGTCCACATGGTCTGAATTTAGCGATGCCACTTTGCAGGCAACCAACCATCCATGGAATATGAAAGGAGGGATGAAATTTTTATGTTTTTATAATTTTTTTTAACCCTTATCCAACCGAGACGCCGCGACCCATTTTCATGATAACTTTAGTTTCCCTTGGGTGATATTGGCAAACGTGGGCTTTTTGGAAAGCTGAGCCATGAGGAGTTCTCTCGAAACAGTTTCTAGCCTTCATTTGTAAGAGGAACAAAATCCATCTCCAATTCCATTTTTAGAAGAGAAGTACGGCTCATCAACATGTGGACTCGGGGCATGTGCCCCCTCCCCCTTAAATCTATTGACCTTCGTTCAACATGTGATTGTTTGGGCTAGATGGCCCAGGGACTGCTGTGAACCCAGAATCGAGTCGTGCAAAGTACAATATTATTGTATACAGTCAGACCTCGCTTATCCGGTCCTCTTTTATCCGGATCCCTCGCCATCCGGAAGAAAATATCTGGTTACACATTTACAGCATACGTGATGCATCCAACATAAACAGTGTTCGGTTATCCGGTTCCCTCGCCTATCCGGATATTTTTGTGGAAAACGGATGTGTGCAATTAAGCGAGGTCTGACTGTATGTAGATAAGACTTGTTTGGTTGAAAACATATTGTTTGGCTGACAGCATGTCCTCCGCTTTGTAACACGGATGCTGTCAACCAACATGTAGCTAGCTTTAGTTGTATTGCTGTACATGCATAGCTGTCCAATAATAAACCCCCTGCCACTGCCGGTAAGTGCTAGCTCCTTCAAGGATATTGCCACCATGCCCCCCCCCCCCACACCTCCTTCCCCTAAATGAAGGATCAGCTACAATCCTGCAACCGCGGCATTTGCAGTGGCTTCAAGGCACGTGTTGAGTCGATAAGCACCTTCTGTGACTGTTACTCTAGTAGCAAGTGCATCTACAGTACACTTCGCTAATAACGACTGCGGATGTAACGACAATTTGCGAATAACGACAGAATTTCCATGCGCAGAGCAAAGTCCCATCTACCTGTATACATATAATGAGACTTTGGGTATAAGGACACTTTTTTGATGCCCCGCCGAGTGTCGGTATACGCAAAGTTGACTGTATAATGAGAGAATTAAAGTGACGAGTAATCGGCATGATCTTTTCACCCCTAATTCTAGTGAAAAGGTTTTTCTGATACCAATTACACTCACTGACTCAGGGACATCTGCACAGTTGAAATCCTTCTTACCCTCAGTGTGGCGATGGTCGCGGGCGAGTCACTGTGACCAGAAGTTGTCTTTACGGATGCCAATTGCTGCAAGAGTTCAGCATGTACAGGGCAAAGCAGGCACCTACACTCGTGCTTACTACTCTCCAACTCCTTCAAACGCTTCTTTGCCAGTTTCTGCTGTTCGTCGCGCTCAGTTTCAGCGCGCTTCAATTTCAACATTAAAGACCCATTCTTTGTAACAGCCTCCTTCAGCTGCTGCTCTGCATCCTCGAACAGCAATCGTTCTTGTCTGGCGTTCTCTTCGGTGTCCAGCAGCTTTTCCTGGCACGATTTCAGCTCCTGGTTGGCCCTCGTTGTTCTCTGTCTGCACATAGCTGCCTCCTGAGTTGCTTGCTGCAGCTGTGCCTGCATCAACTGTGATTTGGCCACATGCAGCTCGTTAGTTTGCGCAAGTCTGCTTATCTCGTCCTTCATTACAGTGGCACGCTGCTCCTGCAAGGCGCGAATCTCCTGTCGCATGGCTACCTCTCGGTCGAGCAGACTCTCTCGATTGGCTTCGCTTCCCCCAGCGTCTAACGAAGCAGCCTTCTCCAACCTAGTGATCTCTTCTTTCATAGCCGAGGCATGTTGCTCCTGCAACAAGCGAATCTCCTGTCGAACAGCAGCTTCGCGGTCCAGCGCGCTCCCTCCACTGACGTCCTTCTCCTCGTCCATTTTCGCCGTTGCTTGTTCCACTTAGAAAATGCGTGGCTGACTACTCTTTCATTTTTATTTTGCTGTCATGACATGAGTTGGAGTAAAACTCTGATCTGGCACAGCAATACAAGCAATCATCTCGGACGCCCACAAACAAAATGCAAAAGGCACATACATAATCATTGTATAAGACTTGGTGAAGTAGTTAGTCCCAAGTCACAGTATAATTAGTACTACTGTTGTTGTAGCTAGCTACATGACTACATAGTACAAAACTTCAAAGTCAAAAGTCATGATTGTAGCTAGCTACATGACCTAACCGTACAAAAGTCATGTAGCTAGGCCTGAGCCTTATCAGTATCCATGGTATCATCGTGAGCTGAATGCATCAGTGAATGGTTAAAAAAATTCTGCAAGTACGTTTTCTGACTTCATTTCACTGCATGCATTGTACTTTTTGTAGTCGTAGTGATTGATAGGTCTACGTCATGGTACTTGGTAGGATCTAGGACTCTACTCTCCAGCAAGCTAGTAGTGACGTAGGCGTTCAGCATGGGTGGACTATGCAGGCTATGCCTACAAAATGTAGGCTGTAGCTTGTACTCAGTTGTAGCCTAGGCCAGGCCCTACACTTGACTTACTTAGCTTAGCCTGCTTTAGCTTAGTGCTGCATGCTAGCCTTGCTTCATGGCAATCAGGCAAAAATGTAATGAAAGAGAAGAAAAAAAGCTGCCATGCATGGTCATCATGCACTATGTGCACTATGCCATGATAAATTGATAATACTCTGAATACTACAAAGTACAAGTACAAGAACACAAGACCAGGTAGAGCATGGTGATTGGTGCCAATGGTGGACATGTCGACAGTACTGGTACGCTAGTACTGAGCAGGCCGAGGGGGGGGGGCGTCACCATGGGAACTGGTGGGGGTCATGGCGTTAGACTTAGAGGGTCGTATTTTACGACTCCCTGGTGGTTGGTACACATGACAATTGACAGTAGATGTGTACCACATCTACTGTACCATGATTGTACTCTTATCTTGTCATGATAGTACAGGTAATATTAGTTGATACATGTACATGCAATGTACAGCATGTAGACGCGAACAACAGGGGTGAAGGGCTGTGGATAGGCCTTTGCGGATAATGCCGGCAGAAAAATTGGAAGAATTCGGTACATTTTCTGGTATTAAAGTAAGTTTCATGCATGTTTGGTATGTGGATAAAGAAATGGAGCAGAATTCGAAGAATTGCCCGCCATAACTTGCATAAGATTTGTATGGTTCTGCCAATTTCACTGCTTTTCGAGCAGAATCTGCCAATGCCTACCTGTGGAGCTGTTACTTCAACTAATTACTTTCAGTAATATCAGTTTCACGCATCTCAGTGATCGTCAGACAGAGCGGCATTCACTACTGAAATCTCTACGAGCGGGCCTACTGGTAGATACCGGTATTTGGTTAAATGCGTACATGTATTTGCGAAGGCAATAGGACAGTAACTATTATTGAGTCAGCAAAGGTGATACCGGGCCAAGAAGCACAGCAGGGGCGAACCGCTTAGCCAAAGCCCATCACTAGCAGTTCAGCAAAGGGGGGAAAGGGCGAGCAGTATAGCAGGGTTGCGCGCGTGAGAGAGAGAGAGAGAGAGAGAGAGAGAGAGAGAGAGAGAGAGAGAGAGAGAGAGAGAGAGAGAGAGACAGAGAGAGAGAGAGAGAGAGAGAGAGAGAGAGACAGAGAGAGAGAGAGAGAGAGAGAGAGAGAGAGAGAGAGAGAGAGAGAGAGAGAGAGAGAGAGAGAGAGAGAGAGAGAGAGAGATTGATTGATGGGGAGAAGTTTAAGTTGGAGAAGCTGGAAATACAATCATGTGCATGGACTGGAAGCAGACTAAACGGTTTACATCGACAACAGGTCAGAGTGAAATGCAGATACGAGAACAAGTATTGTCTCTCCAACTTCTTCCCGTCGGGGTGATGGTGAAGTCTGGGCACCATTTTCGCGGACCAAACCAGACCGAGTGCAACCGATTCCACAGAACATACGTGTACGATTTACAGTAGACTGTGTTGGAACGGTTTCCACGGATGTACACCAGGACTCAAGCCGTTTCCACGGATGGACAGTGGTCTCAAGCCGTTTCCACGGATGTACAGACCCGACAGTGGTCTCAAGCCGTTTTCGCGGCTACACCAGGCGCTATGCAGCCTCAGATCTGTATACACTGGGCAGCGAGCAGGGCGAACGGTTTCCTTGAGCGCCATGGCACTGTAGACTGCTAGTAGCTGCATCAAGGCCTTATAGTTATATCCTTATATTATTCTTTCCATTCAGTTCTCTCAAGCCGTGATACCGGTACCCATAGGGCCATACCGTCCATACGACATTCATTAATAATAATGTAGGGTCGCTATCTCGTGATCCTGGCGCCGCCGGGAGATCTGTCATCCACGAACGTTCCAATATACCTCCTTGCGCGCAGCTAGCGCTAGCGTCCACCAGTCTCGGTCGACAACCGGACTTGACGACAGCAGGCACTAAGAAGTGCATGCAATGACAAGTATTTTCGCTAACACTAACAGGGCTGTGTCAAGCGAGCGCCAGAAATCCCCTGGTTACCCGTACCCCTGGTATTCATAGCTTTCTACATGTAGGTGCGTCGCCCCAAGCCAGGGCTAAGTTCAGTTCAAGGAGTCTCGGCATTGATTTGCGCGGGCTCCACACACGCTGCCGCACAGTCTAGTCCTTTGGGACAAATAAAAATTTCTCGGATGCAGACTGCATGCAGTGCTCAGCAGGTTGTTCACTCGCTTGTGCTTGCCTTTCCGGGAAGCCACCAAGCGCGGAAACGTGTGCACTTCTTTCCTGTAGTGAGAATGATGCCCCGCACGCACTGAAATCACCACCGATGCCGGCATTGTAACCATGGTAACTGCCTCTGTATCAAGAGTCCACGGATGCTTGGGTATCATCATGATCATGATCATAATTATTCATAGCTAACTAACTGACTTAGAAGAAAAGGCCTCTTTTACGGGCAAACAGAATACAATTGACAGTGGCTAGCCATTGGCGGACTATGCTCGGCCAATCGTCAAATTATGCTTTTGATTATGCCACAATTATGCCAACAAATATGCTGAGTTATGCTCGTTCCACTATGTATTCACGCTGTACATAGAGGATTGAGAAACCACGCATACACACGTACACACGGCCATGCCCTAAGCATAAATTTTGTCTAAACCGAAAGATTATGCCGACCTTACACTTTGGAATCCGTATATTATGCCGGAGCATATTTTTGACGAAATCCCAAGATAATGTCAAATATTATGCCGGCATAATCCGCCAAGGGCTAACAGTGGCATGCTTGCTAAACTACTACTTGAACTGACTTTGTGAACATCAAGAGCAGGAAGTCGTATCATGGTAGACACTGTACTATGATATACCCAGGTTTATAATAAAAGAGTCACATTCATTTTATGACTCTTTTTTGCCTTGGGTGTAGATCAACCAAAATGGTGGACTTGCATGCCTAGACCGTAGACGATTGTGTATCACTACCTCAGTACTCTCTACCTGCTAAAAACGAACACCCCTTTAATCCGGCTTGCAAGTCACTACTTCATTTGTAGCCGTGACACTGTACATGACATTGTTTATGTAACGCTGTAGCACTACTTTTGGTTGAACATGGGGTCCACCATTTTTTTCTGCCCCAAGAGAGAGAGAGAGTAAATTATCGTGTCCGTTCCCAAGTGGTCACGGAAATCATTCTGTGCATCTACTCTCCTCAGCTCCACCGGCACTATGTACCAGCAAAGGCTCGAGGCTGGCAGAAGTCGGTGCTAGAGCTATGGGATATCAGCTACCGGTAATCTGTGTATCCATGGAAATGGAGCTGTTTTCCCCGAGATATTGTACACCGGTCTGTACGAGTACATGTTACAAAGCAGGGAGTCGTAAAATACGTATTTTACGACTCCCTGTTACAAAGATGGGTGATACATGTACCAAGAGTCGACAATTCCACGGGTAATGTTTTGGATGTTGGTGATATGGACTAATGCATCAATGATCTACCAAAATGGGTAGATCTGCGTTTGCACTTCCATCTACTAGTACAGTCTTTCGCCAACACCTATTCGACTCTTGGTTGACGGTTGAGGCTAGAAGCAAAACTACACTTTGAAACCTATACAGTAGCTGGTTACAAAATCCACACTAGCTCCTAATATCTAGGCCTGCTCGTAGAGGATTCGATAGCAAATGCTGCTGTCTGATGATCACTGAAATGCGTTCAACTATTACTTTTTTTTAGTTACAGCTACACAACCTTACTAACAGTTAGTGCACTAGTCTGTTGTGTTTGCAGTAGCTGGTTATGTACTCTTGGCAAGGTAGAAAAGTACTAGAAACCGTGAATGGTGGTCTCGATAGAAGCTGGTAGTAGAAGTATTAATATATGAGATGTCTGACATGCATGGAAATGGAGCTGGGAATCACAAAAAATGGCGTACATCAAGAGGTAGTACAGATGACAAGTAATTAGTTTGTAGACTGGCTATGCGACAACGCTACAGAAATGGAGATCTACAAGTACCCGTAAATGACTATTTGTGCAATCCAACATCTATTCTCCCCTACGAGTACGAGCATGGGCTTATACGCGGGTAGAGCCCTAGGCATTGGCGGATAATGCTCGAAAAGGTGGCAGATTCTGCTCGAAAAGCAGTGAAATTGGCAGAACCATACAAACCTTATGGCGGGCAATTCCTCGAATTCTGCTCCATTTCTTTATCCACATACCAAACATGCATGAAACTTACCAGAAAAAGTACCGAATTATGCCAATTTTTCTGCCTGCATCCGCATATGCCTATGTAACGCGGGTGGGCTTATCACGCAGGATTCTACAGTATCTCTATCTATTGCTGGACTTTTGCCGAGTCTTGTCTGTAAAAATGCAACAGGAATAATACGACCAATGGCAATGACAGTAGGTGTTAGTACTTTTAGTTTTACCGTATCTTGACATCAACACAAAGGATGCAAGGAATTTAGGCCTCGACCAAATATGCTAAAAAAAAGAGCATATTGTGCTCGTCGCATATCAGGGAAAACGTCCATAATATGCCAAAGGCTTAGCAAGATATGCAAAAAGATATGCCAAAATATGCCAAAATATGCTCGACATAAGCAGAAAGTGTAGATCATTTCAGTAAAATTACAACCTTGGAATATTCACTGGCTTCACGGCTATCATGCTTATGGTGCAAATCAAATCACAAGCGGAATAGTATGGCTGGGGTGTGTCCCCAGCAACCGTGGCGATAGTGTTCATCCATGGGGAAATGTAGCAAACGCCTCAACCATTCCAAATTCATCCATAAAAGGCATTTCTGAACGCATTTTGTCCATAATATGAATGTTTTGTCCTCGTTTTCTTCAGAATATTTGAATTATGTGCTGGCTTCATTCCAATATTCCCTTTGTCGCTCAATATGCCATAATGAACTGTCTCACAAATATATGCGGAAATATGCGCAAGCATATTTGGTCGAGGCCTAAAGGAATTGCACTCTGAGCCCATTTTCGGAGCTGCGTAATCTGGCTCATGTATTCTTGAGTCCACCAATACGGCAATAGCACTGGCAACGATGTACAGTATGCTGCCAGTCAGAAATAAAAGGAAAGCACCCACACACAGTGCCAGCGGTCCGTTGAGCTAGCTATCTTCTGAGAAAGGCTCATCTAACTACAGACTGTACTGGCTAACCTGCCTACCTCTCCGTCGTCATGGCTTCACTCTCACCAGGGTGAGTTTCGCGATGCCATCAGACATCTGCCTACGCTATGGTTGGCTCCCACAACGCGTTAGGCCTTGGCGGATAATGCCGGCAGAAAAATTGGCAGAATTCGGTACTTTTTCGGGTAAGTTTCATGCATGTTTGGTATGTGGATAAAGCAATGGAGCAGAATTTGAGGAATTGCCCGCCATAAGGTTTGTATGGTTCTGCCAATTTCACTGCTTTTCGAGCAGAATCTGCCACCTTTTCGAGCATTATCCGCCAAGGGCTACAACTTGAACGCGTTACCGACTGCCAACGTCCTGCCAGTGCGGAAGCACTTTCACTGTGCAACATGCTCTGTCGTGCCCCTTGGAGGATTTCCCACCATCAGGCACAACGAGGTCCGCGGCATTACCGCTATGGCTGCTCAAGCAAGTAGCCCAACAAGTGTCATCTGCAACCCCTGTCAGGTGAGTACCTCCGCGGTATCGCACAGCCATCGCGGATGACCAGGCTCGGCTTAAACGTGGCAGCGATCGGCATTTGGGGAGGGCGATTCGAACGCACCTTTATTGATATCCGGTTGTTTAACCCTGCGGCGACTTCGAATCGGTCCAAACCACTTGCTGCCTGCTATGTCAAGCATAGAGCCTTAGACTTAGAGGAGAAGAAGCGGGCGTACAAGCAGCGCATCCAGCACGTCGAGCATGCTTCTTTTGTCCCTGCGGTGTTCTCCACAAGCAGAGGAATGAGCAAATGCGCTTCTGCCCTCTACAACTACAGTCCGTATCGCCTATAAGGTTGGCGGCTATAGTAATATACCGGATATAGTGATCAATTTCTCAAATTCATTTTCATTTGCCATAACTATACACAGTTATCGCGTATAGTAATAATCGTCTATAGTAATATATCGCCTATAGTGATCAAATTCTTATTTCAAAAGACCTTTATTACATTATGTTTGCATCGGTTATAGTGATTGATGTAAAATCAAGCGATGTTAGAGGAGAACAGGGTGTTACTTCTTCGTGAAGAACTTGTCCAGTGAGTGTTGTTTGGTGAGTTTTGCTCGCACAAGTTGCCAAAATATGCCTCCATCGTGAGGAAATGCTGATTTTCTGTGTCAGGAGCTACAGCCAGCTACATGACATTGTACGTGTATGTAGTGCGTATGTGCACGGCGCGCTGAGTCGTTTGACACCCCACTCGCATACATTGCATGCAGTATCGGTATTAGTAATAAAATGCTCAAAATCAAACACCAATGCTATAGGCGACACTGACTGTACAAGTACAAGCTCATTGCTGGCCTACTCTCTGCCAAGTCCACTGAGCGTTACAGCGCCGTCATCGCGCATATCCGCTCCCGTCTTTTAAAGCTTTGCTTTGCTGAGATCCTGCATTACCACAGTATGTGTTTGTATGGAGCAAGGAGCATTTTCTCTCCTGCAACACCTGCTGTTTCTGCTGAGCTAGTGGTTGCGGAAGCAGGTGTTCTTGCCTACCCTTTCTGATTTTTCTGTCTTCCTGCCATTTATTTCCTTTCCTCCTTTGCTTATTTAGTAGTAGAATAGAATCTTTACACTAAAGAGATACAGTAGACGTGGGGTCCACCAAAAAAGTGGTGACAATAGCAAGTACACAATCATATACAGTGCGTATCGGTTATAGTGTGGTCGTATACAAGAATATACTGCCTACAAGAATGACCACTCATTTTTTTCATAATCATAACACCTATTTTATGTGTATTTTTATTCTTACAAGCAGTATTATCGCATAGTAGAATATATCGGCCCTAAGAATAGATTTTGTGTAGCAAAATATGACAGATTAGTGCAAAGTGTATCGCCTGTAGTAATAACATCTGTGCTCTGTGCATGCTCAATACAATAATATTCAACACAAAAAGAGAGTTATGTCCAACTGAGCATTGTACCACTTTTTCTGTCCAGTCGGACTCTTTCTTCCGACTTCTCTCCTATCTGCTGCTCCGCAGTCGCCTAGCACGACCGCGAGTCTGATCCGTGTGTATCATGATTGTGTAGACCTACATGATCATGATGATTGTACGTGTCCACATGCCAAACATGTATTATGTCACACGTGCATATGATATGTCACACGTGATTTATCGTGTGTAAGAAATATCGGCAATAAGAATCAAATGTCGTTTTTCAAACACCCACGCTATAACCGCGGCGATACCTACTGTACATCGAAATTGAGTCTGCTGTTCAGGTCATGGTGTTCCTTTCCTGGCTCTCACATCAATCTCGTACCCCATTCCCTATCGCACCAACAAAGCATTTTCCAGCTAACGAGCTCAGGGAGCTGGCGGTGGTTGAAAGCCGGATCTAAACCAGTTGTGTTTTAGTGTAAAACTCTCGCCACTCAGGAGACATATTTTCCACACCTAGTACCTGTGTACTATTATCAATAATTATTATCTTCCTATCATACCCTGGTTTCTCATCATTCTGTTGCTTTTGCCCGTAAAAGAGGCTGTTCACCAAAGCATTTTTCAGACTGCGTTTACACAGAGACGAAATGGAACGGAACGAAAACGTGCTGGCCTCGAATCGTTTCCAAACCGTTTACACGAGAGCGAAAACGTTTCGAAAACGTTTCTAAACACTTTGAAGTGCGTTTCCATTTCGTTCCGTTTAGTATCGTTTTCGAGCGTTGTCGCGTAAACGATATGTTAACGCAACGAGTTCGTTCCGTTTCGGTCGTACTTCATTGTCGTGTAAACGCAGCCTCAGTTATGCATTACTGCTTGTTGTACAAAAGGCTGTCCCTCCAGAAACTTGCGGAGACATTTCGGAAATATCGCGGAAAAAGTTGCTAGGTAAAAATGCCACAAATTGCGGAGAATATTGCGGATTTTGTCAAATATTGCGGGATTATTGTGGTAAAATTGCGGAAATTGCGGCCGATTTTGGTACTTGAACTGTAGTGCTGTACGGTGTATGAGTCGCACAGCATAAATCATGCATGACAAAAAAGAACGTGTGCTGCGCTGAATGTGTTCAACTGCCTGACAGGAGCTTGCAAGACAGCTTTCCTCATATCCTCGGACAACACTCGACGCGAGCCGTATTTTGTGACTGTTCAGCCGCTGATTTGCCCAGAAACTTCTCCATTCTGGTGTCGATCTCACAAGTAAACTACTGACGAGCTTGAAGAACTAAACAACATCGAAGAAAGACTCGAATATCGCGGTTGCTTTTTGAAATATCGTGGTGATTTTCAGGTATCAAGGACAGTTCTCTATAATAACGCGGATGATTTTTCAAATATCGCGGATATCACGGACTTTTGTTCAAATCGCGGAAAACAACGCGGCCGCGGAATCGCAAGTTCCTGGAGGGACAGAAAAGGTGAAAACACACATCAATTCGCCCATTATCACCAGAGTGATAAGGTGATTTGGCCATGAAGCTATGGTATGACAATGATCCAAGATACCAGTAACCGGGACCCCCCCCCCCCCCCCCCCAATGTCACCATAGAAGTGGTATTAGGCAGAATAGATACAGAGCTACACACTTTGGTTTACTGTACAGACCCTGCAAAGCCTACATTGCAGTGGACTGACCACACCTGCACATGCCACTCACTCCTTCAAACTGCGCAACAGCACATACAGTGTAGTTTATAGACATGTAACCGGGTCCTCCCAATGCTTATGTGTCACGCTCATAGAGCATTGGGGGAAAAACTGAAGATTGAAATTCAGAGTGAAGAACCAGCACTCACTGAAAAAATGCCATAAATCATGAAAGTTCAAGGGAAAACGGTCTGATTTGTACCAGGGCACTGGTGCTAAATACTTAGGAGAACAATATTCTTTGTGGTATGAGGGTTCGGTTGAAATATGCTGATGATCAGTACATAAATATACAGTACATGAGATACAAGCGAAAGTTCATCTCGCATGTACATTATGTAAGACAAAAAGTGCATGAAAGTCACTCCTGGCAGGTTCGAACGAGCCTTACTGGAAGAAACCCAGCTTGGATTTCAGCCATTCTTCAGTGATGTCTTCTGTGGAACGCACTTCGAAGATCTACAAACAAATCACGAACGAGGGAAATTCATTTTTTTAGACCGGCAGCAAAGACATTACCAGTACATGTACGTAACTTAGTGCACAATTGCACTAATATTTAGGATCGAAGACGGTTGAATAAGCGGTCACGTGCTCATGCGTACACTATGTACCAGTCACCTGGTCACCGTGCCTGCAGGGTACAACTTACAGCCTGTTTGAGCGCGTTACTGTCACTCGAGTTGAGCCTTTGAACCTTTGAGTTTAACATTGGTGTGAAAGTTGTCGCCTGCAGGCACGGTGACCAGGTGACTGGGATACGCATGGGCACGTGACCGCTTATTCAACCATGTTCGATTGGGAACAAGGGCCAAACGGTGCATTCCAGCCTTCTCAGACCAAAACCAGTCGACTCAGCGTCCAAAAGATTACAACATATGGGCCAATCGCGGTCATCCGTGCTTTTATAAGAACGAAATGGCGCTTTTAGTGACATTTTGCATACAAATCCCCATCTACAGTCCATTTCAAAACTATAGACGCGTACCTAGGCAAAAACCGCTACGCCAGCATCTATACCACATAAAATCTGTGATCACTTTGTGCATAATTTTTTCCAAATTGGGCGTCTGTTATCCAATCGTTTAGAAACTATAATGAGAGTAATTGTGGAGCGATCCTGAGCAATATTCCGAAAACTATTCTCAAAAAGGTCCAGCCAAATTTGAAATATTTCAAAAACCCTACGCGTCTATAGTTTTGAAATGGACTGTAGTAGGGCGCAGTCACCCAGTTTCGATAGAAGTGGCGAGCTCGATTGGGAATAAAGGAGGAAGGGAGCGTCTCAGCCTCCTCAGACCAAGACCATTCGACTCAGCACCCCGAAGACTACAACTGGTGAAAGTTTGATTTCAGACTTAACTTCCCCTTTAATACTATTGAAGCACTAACTTACTTTTCCAATATCTGCCTCCTTGGTAAGCGAAGTCTTAGAACCAGCATACATCATATTTAGGTCAACACTGCAACCTGTCGAAAACGGCAAGAACAACAACAACAACAACAGCAGCAGCAGCAGCAGCAACAACAGCAACACACACACACAGTGAACACAAGCAAAGAGACCGAGGGAGAATGAGGTACGTGTACAGTGATCACATTCCACTCATGTTGAATTACATCGAGTACATGTACTTCAGAAGTAATCCAATGGACGACTGTCCGGACTTAATTCTGCTATACCGCAAAAACTGTCTGACCTATACACTTTGGAGAGGGAGGGAGGGAGAGAGAGTGTGTGTGTTTGTGCGCACTCACACATCAATACCAACCACAAGTACCGACACATAAAACCATTTTACATAATACTACCAAGCACACCGACGCCCCACTAGCTTTTATATCATGATGTCAGCCACACAGACATACCTTCCGGTGAGTAGAAGATGAAGCAGAGAGGATAGGACAGACGGCCATCTTTGTGCTCATACTTATAGCTATACACCACAAACGTAAGACAATTCAGTCAAGGAGCACAACACAGGACTCACACAGCCAGACCTCAGCGGTTAAGCAATAAATACTGATTCTGGTATGCACAGGGAATGTGTCTAGGCAACTGAACACAGGCTCAATTCAGAAATCACTGTGAATTGACTAGCAAAGGACACACCGGGTGCACTACTACAGTCCGTTTCCTTTGCCTTCAATATTATTCTCAAAGACCTGACTGTCAAATCTGATTAGGACCCACAATCAGCGGAAGACTAGTACACAAGAGATTTAGTAAAAACAAGTTACACTGTATGTATATCTTAGAAGAAAACACAATCATGTAATGACAAGTAGGATATCTAGGCTGAGACGTTGGCAGCTCTTCTGCCAGTTCATCGAGAGGAATATCCTGCAATGAAGAAAACAATATAGGAAAAGGACACAGGTGCATTGGTGGATATCAGGGAGTTGTATAGACCCGCGAGAGGACACAACAACACTGATTTCCGTGCATGAGGAGTGACTCAAGTCCAGGGACTCGTACCGGTGAAATTTCTCCGCTGAGTGCACCTCTCCGAGCAGCGGAATTCACGTGATTTGAGAGATCACGAGAAAACCACCTGGGAGCCGGCTGCCCATGACTATTTCTCTTACAAGTAAAGGGGTTAGTGGTAGGTAATCATCCTGTGGGCGTACTGACCACTCAAACTGAGCAAAACAGAAAACTATGAGATCGTGGATGTGAATTAAAATTTAGTGATTTTTCGTTAACGCTTTTCAAGTGTTACACAATGTGTTGAGTGGTACCATAAGTGCTCGTGGACCAGCACAAGAAAGGCAGCATGATCGACAGTCACACATGTTCTCCACCAACAACAACCCATCATTATGCAACTTACGTCATACTCCTCGTCAACCTTCACGAGGAGAGCTGCCTTATCAACTTTCACTAAACAACAAACACAGAGAGCAAGAGAAAGTCAAGCAGACGATACTAATATTCATGGTCATATCCGAACGGTTCACATTTATACATACATGCATATAAAACTCAGAGTGGTAACACTAGGGAGGTTTCGCTCTACGTAATTACAGGTACATACGAAAATAACGTAGGAACTGCACGTAATTTTCATCCGTAAAAATCCGCCCTGTTGGGTTTTGCTCTACGTGACTTCTCAAAGTATGCTAAGTATGCCTTGTTATATTGAATAGGGCATTCCCACAGGCCTTGTTGCGTTGGAGACAGAGAGGCTGCATGCGCCCACCACAAACCTAAACTGCGTTCCCCATTTAGCTTTCCACGTGCTGCAGACCTTGTGTTTCGTGGATTAAAAGCGCAGTTTTAGGCAATTTACCCCGAGGAAGCCTACCGGTGCCGGTTTGACTGCAAATATTGAAGGATTTGTCGGCATGACTGATCGCTCTGCACCAAAAAAAATGATGCAATTAAGGAGTTTCACCGAGCAGGCTTGTACACTGTGACCGATCAGGAATTACACTCTGGGGGGGGGGGGGGGGGCTATGGACTGGGATATTAGTACCCGTGCAGTGAAACTTCAGCATAAAGTACCCTGAATATAACCATACCCTGGACTATAAAGTACTATCTTTCGAGGACTCTGCACTATGCTATACCAGTCTGAGTCAATCGACCTCGGAATAGAGTACAATCATGTAGTATGCGTAGTGTAATTACACTGAACACATGTACGTACTGGACTGTGCCCCGAAAGGACATACATCTGTACTTTAAAGCCAAGATAGCTACGAACAAATTACACTGGCGCTCATGTCAAACAACAAAGCAGCAACGATTTAGTTCCAGAACATTTTCTTGTCACATTTATCAGTGAACCCAGGACAGAAGCGGACCAGGCATCATGACTTTGCACATCTATCGTTATGCTGCTTCATTACGCGACCTGTTTTATTATTTATTATTATTATTATTTATCAATGGAATCTCGTGACTGGCAGAAAATAGATAACAGCAGTAGTATACACTTGAGTTTAAGGTGAAAGCGTGTAAAATAGTGCTTGAAGAACTCACACTTGTTTTGTAATTATTCCACTCACCCATTTTACCAATGCACCCCCCCCCCCCCCAAAGCTCTCCAAGCTTCAGAGGTGGTTGAAACTTGGAGATTCCCGCGGTTTGGGATCAGCGCATGCAAATTACAGCTAAAAGCCACGTGTTGATCATGAGTGTACGCATTTCCCTTTTCGCATACACACATGTGCATACTGCATTCATAACTCAAGATCGCGGCCCCTTTGGCGCTTGACATGTGCAAAATATCTCCGAATTCTTCGAGACCCGTTCTTGAATTATTCCAGTTTCTTCAACTTCTCTTTTCTTCTTCTCCGAGAAGCTAGAGAATATAAGAATGCACCCTATTAAAGACTGCACTTGTAACATCCTTCGCACTCCCCTGATAATCTTTTAAATAGTCACGTATTTGTTTAATATCACTATTTTGCACGCTGTCACCTTAACCCTTTGTGTACCAGCCCCATCTCGAACCGTAACGTATGTTACGGTTCGACGCACCGCACTGCGCCGCGCCGTTCGGCGGCGTCCTTGCTCCGATTGACTCGCGGTTTTTGCGCTGGGCAGCTGAGATCCCACTGCAAATTTTGATGTATGATGTGGGTAGGTTGCCATTTGAAAGTATGGAGAACGAAAGCGGCGAAAAGTGCGCTTTGCAATTTCAGCGCTCTGCGATATATTTTAGCAATTTCGATCGTGTTTTCGTTCGGTTACGCTGCTTGTATCTGGAATATAGCTTGCTCTAGCTGTTGTCGATGTCTACTAGTGATGGTGAACGCCAAGAGAGAGTTGTAGTAGCGATATAATCTCAGGATCTGAATCGAAAATGAGAATTTCCATCGCTGAAGCCATTGTAGTATTCGCTCTCCAAGCAGCAGCGAGAGGGAGCGCAGCGATGGCCTGAAATAATCAAGGCAGGTGAATTTCCTCACCCATCGACTATTCCTGGTCTTCTCAATCGCCAATACCCTCGCTGGACGCAAGTAGATAAGTGAAAAGTACATATTCAAATCTGACACAATTTCAATAATTTGAAATTTTGATGCAATTGTTTGGCATCTGGTATTCACGCAATATGGCTCTTTTCCGTCCATTTCGCTATTGTTGAAGCATGCAACTGGCGGCTATACACTAGTGCAGTGGTCTCCTGTTGCTCTGTGTGAAGAAGGGCAATGTCAGCAAGTATATTCACGATTCCAAGTACACGGATCTAAATTGTCAGGAATATGGACAATTGACTCAGAAATAGGTATTCCAGGTATGGCCTGTATCTGTATTTGTGTGCTCGGTCAAAATATTTTCTTACCTGGACACATTGATACCAACAGATTCAAAAAAACATAACTTGCACATACAAAATGTGTCTTAGTTTTATGCTATAGTATAGGTCCATCATTACCGATGAGTACCCTGCGCATACATTAGATGCCTGGTACACAAAGGGTTAAACTCAAGTGTATATTATCCTACTGCTGTTGATCTATTTTCTGTCAGTCACGAGATTACATTGATAAATGTGACAAGAAAACATTCTGGAACTAAACCTTTGCTGCTTTGCTGTTTGACACGAGCGCCAGTTTAATTTTGTTATTTTACGGTTATTATCTCCACGTCGAATATTCAATCAAACTGATGTACCTGTACACTAAAAAAATTAGTGTGCATGGAAGTCATCCTGATGGATGATGTTTTCCGACAGAATAGCTATTTTACCTTCTAGACTTCTACGTGCTGCATGCATAGACTTGGTATTATAACCCAATACTAGTTCGAAACATAGACTTGCAGGAAGACGAATGTTTATATTGTAAATATAAAGTTTTAGAAGCACACAATTAGTGAACGGCTATCAGGAGCTTGTGTATATTAAAAACAACCAAATTATAATGACCAAATGCGAGGTACGTCCAAACTTACTAACAATGGCTCCATTGGTTGTTTCTTTTCGGAAGCGAAATTTTCTCAACTTCGCCTTCAGCTCAGGATCGATCTCACAAACGCTCGAACTACCAGACTGCACCAGTCGGAGGGGATTACACAACAACGGTACAGTGGTTACGCAAGGATACAACTCCTAGCAGCAACAATACGTACATACCATGATTTGTAGTTGATTGGGTCAAGAAGGAAGAAGAAAATTTATAATTCAAAGGGAAGGAGAAAAATAATTGAGAATGACAACGCCTGAGCTGCACCAAGCCTGTCTGAACTTCCTGAAGCTATCAAGACTCAAGTCAAGACAAGTGTGTTTGTGCTGTGTTTGATCAGGAGCGCGGCAGATTCGGGTACATGTACATGTACCCGCATATGGACAAAACCAGGGAGTTGAGTCAGTTGACCTGTAAGTACTGTCACTACTACAGACTGGTACGGTGGTCACGTCACTGGTCAGTGTCAGACATGTCGACAGTAGCCAGCGTAGATCTACACTACAGGTACTAGGTACTAGGTGTGGGGTGCACCAGTCCGGGGAGTACATGTACAGTAGAGTCTACGAGGATCGCGGACTGCACTGATCTGAATCACAGACTGTGAATGATCTACAAATGAATGATCTACTTCAGACTACGAGTTCAGTACAAATAATTACAAACATTATTTATCCCAACCGGCGCTTGAATGCCATCACCCGGAAGGACAGCTTTCCTCTCCCGCGTATCGACGACACGCTAGACGCGCTCGCGGGCTGTACCCACTTCTCGACCCTGGATCTCCAATCCGGATACTGGCAAGTCCCTATGGCAGAAGATTCCAGGCAATACACCGCGTTTGTCACCAGGAACGGTCTGTACCAGTTCCGCCGTATGCCGTTCGGTCTCTCCAACGCTCCAGCCACATTCCAGAGAACAATGACCTCAATTCTCCGTGATCTGCTTGGAAAGCATTGCCTGATCTACCTCGACGACATCATTGTGTTTGGCAAATCAGCTGCAGAGCATCTCCGCAGTCTTCGATTGGTTCTGGAAAGACTAAGATCTGCAGGTCTCAAAGTGAAACCCCGTAAGTGTCGCCTTCTCCGTGCACGTATCCTCTACCTCGGTCATGTCATCTCGGCCGAAGGAGTACACACCAATGACACCAATGATCCGTCAAGGCACTCCGCACCTTCCTCGGCTTTGCAGGCTACTACCGTAAGTTTGTTCATCGCTACACGCACATTGCACGACCACTCCAACACCTCATCGTTCCCAACACACCGTTCCATTGGACAGACGATCATCAACAGGCCTTTGACGCATTACGCACCGTGATTCTTACCACATCCGTTCTCCAGTATCCCGATTTCAACAAACCCTTCATCCTTGACACAGATGCATCCATCGACGCCCTTGGCGCAGTGCTCTCTCAACTTGACAGTACGGGTCGAGAGCGTCCCATTGCCTTCGCCAGTCGTGCTACTAACAAGGCTGAACGTAACTACAGCACCACCCGCTTGGAGATGCTGGGTATCGTTTGGGCCACTGAGCACTTCCGCCACTATCTTCTCCATGCACCATTCACTCTACGCACCGATCACGGAGCTCTCACATGGCTGCATACATTCAAATCGCCTACCGGTCAAGTCTCCCGTTGGTTAGAACGTATGGCAGAGTTCTCCTACACCATTCAACACCGCGCTGGAAAGTCTCACGGCAACGCCGATGCTCTTTCACGCTATCCACATGCGGACATATCCTCCCCCACGGACACCACTACCCACCGGCCCATGACATCTACACTGCCAGTTTCCCACATCACCGCACTCGTCTTTACAGACACTCCACATTCTCACACGACATGGCTTCAAGCTCAACAAGACGATTCCGCCATTTCCTCCGTGATCCACCGCGTCACTTCAGGAAAACCATTTCCACAACCAACCGATTCACCCACCGTTACTGCCCTGCTCAAGATCCACGATCAACTCTCTATCCATGACGACCTTCTCTTCCACACACACCATGATAAGCTCCAGATAGTTGTTCCCTCCATTATGCAGACTCCCCTGATCCACGATGCACACGCTCCTCCGACTTCTGGACACTTCAGTACAAAACGCACCCTTGCACGTGTCAACGAGCATTATTTCTGGCCAGGAATGAAAGCAGCCATTGACCGCTACTGTACTCGATGTCTGGAATGCCAACAGAACAAGCACAAGAATCCTGTTGCCCGAGCTCCTCTTCAACACATCACAGCTACACGCCCATACCAGATCATTGCTATGGACTTCATGGGTCCTCTACCTCGTTCAAATGGTGGTAATCTTTACATCATGGCCGTTGTCGATTACTTCACCAAATGGTTAGAGTTGTTCCCGCTCCGTAATATCCAAGCCACCACAGTTGCCGATACACTCACTAGCCACATATTCTCTCGCTATGGAGTACCTGAGCAAATACACTCCGACCAAGGCTCCCAGTTCGAATCCGACCTCTTCCAGGATCTATGCAAGACGCTCCACATCCACAAAACACGCACCACTCCGTATCATCCTCAATGTGACGGCCTCGTCGAACGATCAAACCGTACGGTCCAGAACATTCTCAAAGCTTACACGAACGACACGCAATCCGACTGGGATAAACATCTCCGTACCACGATGCTCCCCTACAACACCAGTGTCCACTCAACGACTGGTTTCACGCCCTACTTCCTCATGTTTGGCCGTGAAGCTACGTTGCCACTCCATCTCATGTACCCACTTCCACAACCACATGCACCGCAGCCAATCTCAACGTTCGTCACTGATCTCCAAGCTCGCCTTCAGACTTCCTTTGACACCGTTCGTCAACACACTGATCAACACCACAAGTACTCCAAAGCCCGCTACGACCTCAAAGCCACAGCTTCCCAGTTCAAAAATCAAGATTTTGTCTGGCTACATGCTCACCCGCCACCTCATGTCTCACCGAAACTCTTCAAACACTGGACCGGCCCCTGGAAAATCATCAATTGTCCTTCTGCCGTTACATACACATTGCAAGCCCATTTCCACACGACCCCTCACATGCAACGCGTCACAACCGTCCACCGCAACAGACTTCGTCCATACCTCACACCTGTGCAGTACACACCACCATCTCTAATGTCCACCCCACCACAACCAGTTCCGCAACCCTCAACACGTAACGCACCCGTTCTCAAATTCGGCCTCCTGCCTATTTTCGTGTCTATGCTGCACCAGGTTAGTGACAGCAATGGCCACGCCTACGCAGACGCCTCGGTTCAGCACGACGCGGTGCTATCACTCTCCACCAACTCGACCACCCCTTCTCCCGACCCCGGCGACACCACCACTGACAGTGGCAGGGTTACGAGCCCGCCGCGCCGCTCGCACCATCCCGGCTCACCGATCATCAACCTCCCCGGAAATTGCTGCGGAACATTCGCCATCCCCGCCAGCAAAGCGGAAATCACCGCCGCCGGAGGATCCGTCTGCCACCCCTATCACCACCTCCCAAGGATCACTCTCCCAAACCTACGAGTGGATCGTCACCTGATGTCTCTGCGACTCAACAAGATCTAATCGAACTGCATATTAATGATTCAGATGAGGAAATGCTAACTGATATAGTCTAGTACCCGTAATGTTTCTTCCTTCATCAAGTTCATACATTACTACTGCCTTCAATTTTTTTTCTCTCTTTACTGCTATTCATGTACATGTCCCCTCTTACTTTTCCTTCGCATGAGGACATCCGCCCGCAAAGAGGAGAGCTATGTTAGGGTAGAAATGCATACATTATAAATGACATGTACATGACTTGATTGCGACTACTAGTACTGTAGTACATGCACGAAAACGTAAGCCTCGTCATAAGCTATAATTAGATCTCCCATGCTTGTAACCTCGTTGTCAGCACTTCTAGAACTAGTACTTCTACCACTTCCTTTTAGTTAGTCAATCACGTCGTTGATTCCGGACTGTTCCATACCTTACAGTAATATGCCTGATGAGTAATGTTGCTGACTCAATTGCATAATATAGATATCTCACCTTCTAGAATACCTCGCTTAGTCATTATGTTTATGTTACGCAATGCTCACTTCATCTACATGTATAGCAATGATGATCTAGGTTTACCTTCTCCACTATTCTAGAATTTGTAGAAGGATGATTTCGTAATCCTTGTCTTACCAACCTTAGTTCTCTACCTTCGCTATAAAAGCTGCTGCCTTTCTAGTTTCCTACGGGATTAGTTTCTTGCCGATTAAGACCAGCTCTCCGCAGATCAGTTCCATGTGGATTAGTTTCATGCTAGACTACAGTGTATTACCTGAGAACTCTTTCTCTCTCTCTGAATAAGTGTGCAATTCCGTATGATAACCATTATCCATTACTGTACCCTCGTGCTCTGCCGACTGAGCGAAACCGGGACTTAAAGGGGCACTCCGGGAATATTTTCGGTGGTGTGTTCTCTTCATGGGGGCCTTATATGGCCCCCAAGGAATGGGGAATCGCGAAAACTAGACCCAAAAAGTCGATATATGAAGCCAGGGAGGGCCAAGTTTGTCTCCTCTTTTGATGGTTTTGATGACGTCACGTGTGATTAGTATTCAAATTCTCTGCATTTGAAGATCTTAGTTTTTTGAATTTTCTGGTGATGAAAAACGATGTTTGGTCAACATTCCCAAGCTTCACAACTGCGACCATACTCGATCTCCTGAGGTGCCCCTGGTAGAAGCGCAGCCTGATGAGGGCCAGGAAATTGGAGCGGACGACTTCACTGGTCGACAAGGAAATAACGATTGGTGTTCCTGCCAGAAATGTGGGGTGATGCAGAGGGCAGTCGATTACCTTCGCTGTCGAGAGAGCGCTGCAGCTGTTAGCATTGACAGCCCTTTGACATGCGTTACACATCACCCCGACTTCGCGTCAGCTTGTCTAAACAAAACTGTTCTGACCATATGCCTCACGGCGTATAGTCTAGAGAGAATTTCGGGATCCTCGTACTCGGACCAGTGAAGTCGTCCGCTCCAATCTCCTGGCCCTCATCAGGCTGCGCTTCTACCAGGGGCACCTCAGGGGGTCCTTCGGGTTCCTTAGAGTAGGTCCGCAGTTGTGAAGCTTGGGAATGTCGACCAAACATCGTTCTTCATCACCAGAAAATTCAAAAAACTAAGATCTTCAAATGCAGAGAATTTGAATACTAATCACACGTGACGTCATCAAAACCATCAAAAGAGGAGACAAACTTGGCCCTCCCTGGCTTCATATATCGACTTTTTGGGTCTAGTTTTCGCGATTCCCCATTCCTTGGGGGCCATATAAGGCCCCCATGAAGAGAACACACCACCGAAAATATTCCCGGAGTGCCCCTTTAACAGTTACATGTACTGAGTATGTTACTTTTTGTATGTTGCGTAGATCTACAGCATGTACCGGTACGGTACATGCATGCCCCTTTGAAATTTGCCACAAAGTGACAATTATTTCTGTGTGAATCTTGCCTTTTGGATGTGGGAAATTTTATGCTGCTAAGCTTAGCTACATGTTGATTGTTCCCACGACCTTGCCGTACTGAGCTATTCACAGCAACACAAGGTAAGCTTTCACCAAGAGCACACAGTATACCAGATATCAAGAGTACATGTACACAACCAATGCTTACATGTACATGTACATGTTATGTTCTCTTGCTCAAAGCCTACGGTTAACGAACACTGAATAATAAGCTCTGCCGGGAGCTTATGTACGCTTGGTTGCACTTGTCACCACTGTGTGTGCACGGTAGAGGTCTACTTCTACATGTAGGTCATAAGTCAACTACATTTGCAAAACGACCCGCACGCTTCCAGACGAACAATAAGCACAAGCATCTCAGTGCGCACCGCACTCACACAATGAGCAACCAATGAGGGTTTGTGCTTTGCCCGAGGCCTCGAGTGAGAGTTGTGCATGTGTATCTATGGCAGCTGGGCAGGGCCCTGATTTTCGGCGGTTTTCGAAGGAACCCTTCAAAATCGGCGATGAGCTTAGCGGTTTTTCGATAAGTCTCGTTTTCGGCGAATTTGTTTCGGCCGGCCGCCTTGGGGAAAGCCTAGCTTGCATAGACCTCGGCCCTACCGGTAGGACCATCATACACAGACATGCTGCACGGCCTCTGTTCTAACATTGACCTAAAACCTGCCCCTTAACTGTTGCTAAGGGCCTAATGAAGGAATACACAAATTTTGGATGTGCTCATACAAAGCACATTGCGAAATACCATGGGAACAGCCCACTGTAACCATGGAAACCGAGTATGAACTTTTGCACTTCACTGCCATGGCGGGCTGAAAAAGACAATAGATTCTCACAACCATCAATGTACCAAGGTCAAAATTCACTTTGGACATACATGTAGTTGCGAGCGTTGCGACAGGAGCATGTGCGGCCATTTTGACAATAGATAAAATTGCACATACCAGTACATGTATGCTAAGCACTGGACATAGTCTTGCATTTTGCGCCATTACTTTGCCTTACAAAGACCACATCTCAACAATTTTTTCGAAAAAATTCTCAACCAAAAGCACTTTCACGGAGTGACGTCTTGGGTCCTACGGGCAGGACGGCATGCAAGCTATCATTAATACATGTATATGTCAATGTTCAATGAGTGTGAGCCAGGTGTTTATAGGGTTGCTATGGCGCAATTGCACGCATTCTGCGGAAAAATGTGTAATATAAAAATAATATAAAAAAGCTGATCAGCGAGGTGATAACTGTGATAACAGAAGCACTCCTCGCTGGAATATCCATACACGTAGGGCAATAAGAATGGCAGCATGGACATGGACATGTACATGTAACACCGAGCTATAGTCACGCTATACATGTCAGTACACGGTGCAAACTCAAACTTTACTAGCTGCATGGCATACGTGTATGCTCAGGCCTAGAGCGATAGTGTGACTGAGGCAGTCATTTCTACCACACCGCCGTACCTTAGCCGTTATCTTTTCACGCGGCCATAATCACACCGCTCAAGTTTCTAGGAAATCTTTTAAAACGAATTATGCGTTCCAATGTGAAGCCCCGATGTGCACTAGACTGAGTCTGGTGCATTGACGCATGAAAGAATTTATCCCTTCTCTCTCTCTCTCTCTCTCTCTCTCTCTCTCTCTCTCTCTCTCTCTCTCACACACACACACACACACACACACACACACACACACACACACGCACACACACACCTGCACGCATGCACACACTCTTTATGTTTTGAGCTCGAGCATGAAGCAGCATACAAATACACGTGTGTTCTGTAACTATTGGTGCTGGCAGTGCCATATGACCAGCTCTGTACTATTGTTCTGCGTCGGTGGGTACCCTTGGTAAGCAGTGTGGCGGACGGTGGTACTGTGCAATTGATGTTTGCTTGTGCAAGTAGTAGACACCAAAGCTAGAGAAGAAAGCCTGTGTCCAGCCAAAGTTGGTCTCTTCATTCTCCTCCTCCGCTGCAACACTGGCGCTGCAATGAGAGAGACAAGAATCATATGGGTGGACATTATGTGTGGAGTGCTCATCAGAATATGGATGCGGCCAATGGGGCTTTTCGGCACTTGTGCCAATGGTTGTGAGACTTATCCCCTCACTCTCACCGTTAGGCGCTGCATCTGCCACTGGGTTTACCGGGTGTCAGCGGCCGTCGTGAGTTCCCTTAGGGAACAGACACGATAATTTACTTACTTATTTGCTCATCAAAACTCATCAGAGTTGCAGGAATGCCCCGGCTCACACACCGCCAATGAACATGATACGAGGTATTCGTGTCCAGATCCTCACGATGACACTGCACTGTCTCATGGCTAATCCCAATACATTCGTATAGGAAGCTAGCATGGTTTGAAGTGTACCCCTTTGCAGGAGGGGTATTCTGCTGAAACCTGCACAAGTGTGTTCTGTGTGATGTGCATGTAGGCATAGACTTAAACACATAATCATGCCTTTGTAGTGTGTACCTCAAGGCCAGCATCTTGATGAGCACAATTGGAATAGGTTCAAGAAAATATCTGGAGAGCCTTACAACTTATTCACAATGTCAACTGCAACAAACTATTGGTTAGATTGTCACATAGTTACATAATCTGAAATCCCCTACCTTTGCACCTGAGCAATGAATTCGCGGATGTCTGGGACATTGTTCAGGTACGGTATACCCATGTCAATGTCCAGGTCTGCTCCACACTGGACGAGAACCTGCTCTGCTTCAGCTGGTGATAGCTGTGACCGACATAGTCCAAACAGGCAGTGGCATGTAAAGCAAAACAGAGTAAAGTGTAATACATGTACATCGTGGTTGATTCTTTTGGTATGGATCTTCTGTGTTTTTTCTTTCTTTTTCAATGAATAAACTGATGCAGTAATAGAGATACCAAGGAGTGGTAGCAACTTCGGCGATAATGTATGATTTAAGACATGAAATGAACACAAAATCCGCAGAAGCCAGTGCCTGGTTGCATTGAGCTTCTGGCATAAGTATGGGTGCCAAACTAAGCCTGAGGTGAACAATGCCGGCCTTAATTTTCTCTTGTAGACGGATCCCAATGCTGCCATGTAGTCTGATGCGAAAATACGGGACAAAATACACAAACCAAATCACACAAGTATCCTACCTGGAGCGGACAGCCATTGGAGATCAGAACATTGGTGAATTCGCGAGGTTTCAGGAAGCCACTGTTGCCTAAGTCCTTCTCTTGGAAGCCCTACAGAAGCAGCGAAAGGAAATTATTGCCTGAGCCTTCCTGATTCTCATTGGCGGATGCACACACCCACACCTAAATCACAACAACACACTATTCAACTCCCTTTTAAAATTAAATGGATATTGCCACGAAAGAGGGCAACGTTAAAAACCATTCCGTAGTGGGCACATTGGCCTTCGTTGGAAGGGCATTCTGTATAAGGGAACAGTTTCCAACTGCAAAGCAACACAGAGCTGCATCACTCAGTGTTGATTGTCCAGCCCAGAGGCTAAGCAACTCCTCCCCTAGATCCCCTAGCTTACCATGCACCCAGGGCTTATTTGCTCATGTAAACAATCAAGAAAATATGCCTGGGGTTTATAAAAGTGTTTGTTCTCCGGGCTTTTCGATGTTGCTTCATTATTCGTCCTTGAACAGCCCCCCCCCCCCCCCCCCCCTGGGTGGTTCTAGGCACTCACCTGAAGCAATGCCTCCAAGATAGCCATCTCCACATCAACCTTGTCTTCGGTCAGCTCCTGAGTGATTTCAGCCACGTTGATCTCGTCGGGAGGATCACAAGTCACGTCACCGGTGCGAACGTTCCAGAAAACAACATCGTTGGCAGCCTGAAAGAATTGGGAACTAGCTTCAATTAGGCATTCAAGCCGGTGGCTATGCAATAAAGCCATATCTCAACCATTGAATCCAATGTCACCGAGATCCATGCATATATGTAAGGATTCCTAAACTCGAATATGAGCCTGGCCACGCGAAAAGGGCCCTAATGATGATTTTTGTCAAAATGAGTTTAGTGTCCAATATTATAGCTGAAGCTGTCAGGATTGCTGTGCAAAAAACCGTTCCAAAAAATGTCAATCCAAACCAGAGTTATAGTGATTTTTGTAACCTGCGTTTCAAGGTATTTTCTGAGTAAACGGCTGATAAATTAATGGAAACTAGATTATTGGACAGCGGTTCGTAATGGCAAGAATAACTCAGCTAAATTAATTAAAAAAAACCCATGACATTCAGTGAATCATAAGCTTGTTATATCCCTGTTTGTTCCTCAAGAGTCATGCAGATTCCTGTGTAAGTCAATCCGACATCTCGGCTTCTGCAGGTACGGGTTGTGGGCAGAGGTCGTCCTTGTACGGGTCAGCAACAAACGGACGGATCTCCTTGTACAAGTACTGCGCCCGGTCATCACTTATGCCACCAAGAGGAATGGCAGATGTCAGGGCATTGTGCGGCCGCCGTCCCGTGTTACGGTTGATGCGTGGCACAGGTCCGCAGTTTTTCAGGTGGTTGAGTATATTTTTCAATACTCTCTGCGACACGTCATAGATTTGCCTGAATGCTCCGGCGCATACAACCTCTCCGCGGAACGAATAATCAAATGCTGCACGTCTTCTCTTTCCTCGCTGAGCGTCAGAGCGCTACTCCGCCGACAACAGTACTCCCATCAACAGCATATCCTTTTTCTGCTTTTTCTAGTCCTCTCATCGTAAGTTGGACATCGTCCACTTCACTGGATGGGAACTTGCTGAGGCAGTTTTTGGTGCAGCCGCAGGACCTCGTTGGAGTGTCAGCTGCTGCTGCTGCTGCAGCAGCAGCCTGTCCCTCACCAGCATCAGCAACATGCACCTGAGCAGCAGCAGCAGCAGCAGCAGCCTGTCCCTCAGCAGCGCCACCAACCTGTTGCATAGGGGCAGCAGCAGCAGCCTGTTCCCCCACTGGTTCTTGATTTTCTTGAACCGAAAAAGCATTTCAGAACAAACTCATGGACGGCTGTGTCCGTGTCCACATCACCTTCCCAGTACTGAAGCGATCGCTCGTCACCGTCATCCTCACTGGGCAATCCTGGCGCATCACAGGGTTCTGAGCCATCTGGAACGTCACCATGAAGGCTGGTGGAGACACCAACGACAGCAGCGGAAAGTGGAACAGCTGATCGTGACACTCGAATTTCTTCTCCGTCAGAATCGTCATCACTCGCGCTAGTGTCGGCATTGGATTCAGATTCAGCGCTGGGCGCGAGATACTGATCCTCACTGGCGGTGAGGACCAGGCTCAGTGCTTCGTCAACAGTGAAATGTCGATAGATACTCATCTCGGCGGAGGAATAGCAAAACAAGAACAGCGATGGAAAATCGCACTCGAGAAATTTCCAAACTAGCGCAGCTCGCTCCCCGAAGCGCGACGCAAATTTTTTCGATCTCAGCCGTACATTGGCCGATTTGAAAAAGGGAAATACCCACGTAGAGCTGGGACCTTGGGCCATCGCACTGTGCTATCCTGTAGAGCCTAGCGCTTACCATACTCGCGTTGCGAGCGCACGAATACTGTGGTGTATGTGAACTATGACGTAATCGACCTGTCAACTTTCAAGTGCGTGTTACTGCACTGTACAGTGAACATCGTTAGGGCCCTTTTCGCACGGCCCGGCTCATATAATAACATTCCCGCTGGCAAGAACATGTTCATTGGAGGGATTTTGTAAGGCACTCAATGCATACCTACTGTAGTGTTATTCCCGGTACAGTTTGGACAATGAGACATAGAAGAGTAAACCAATGAGGAGCAAGAAATGCACAACCAGCAGGTCAGTGAAAACCAAGAGAAGTCTCGAGCCAGTGAGAGAAGCACATCAACAGTTCTGGCCTACGGAAAACGGCTTGCATGACGTACATGCAGCGTGTACAGTCATAAGTGTACAGTAGTGTACGCATAACGGAGTCCGGATATTACTACACCCACTGGGTATATGCAACCTACCACAGGATGTGTTGCATAAGAATTCATACAGTACATCCAAAAGACACTTCAGGGTACACACTTACTGATGAATACAAGTTACACCAATCATTAGCAGATGGCATTGACCGAGTTTCAACCTTGACCTCTTGCAGCATTAGACCCAGGTGGGGCACAGATGCTGCATAGGGAATCTACATGTGCATGTTGGACAGTGGTATGGGAAAGGCAGAGGTAGTCACATCCAGGGAAGAATTAAGTTAACATCATGAATGCCTTGTGGATCTAGCTCGTGCTGCCTCTCAATGATATGACGCTAGGTCTTGTGGTAGTATAGCCAGTGCTGATGTACACAATAATTTCAATAAACCAATCAACTTGACTTTCTGGGGTATAAGCTGCACTTGTATCATTGAAGACTTGGCCAGCAACCATTTTAGTGCAGGCCAATACAAACTTGACTACGACATTTTGCTTCTACAGTCCATTCATCGGAAACTGGCCCGCTGGCTTTTGAAAGTCGGATTTGGGCCGAATTGAGGATCAAAACCCACTTTAAATCTCAAAAATCTGGGTTTTGGATCTGCTTCTCCACACATTTTGCCATGGCATACCTGTCCTAATTTTGTAAAACCTGGCTGAATTTCTATTTCCCTGTTCTTGTACTTTTCTGGCCTCAAATGTGGCAAGGAGTAATTGCACGGGTCACACAATGCAGGATGTGCTGTTGTTTTCACGATATCTACAACTATGTGAGAGAGAGAGACCAAAAAGTTAGGGTGCCAGTTTCCAATGAATGGACTGTAGTGCGTGTGTATGGCCAATGGAAACCTGACAGTATGCGTGGGAGGGCAATTCAATCCTTGACATCATAGAGGTAAAACTATAAGCAAGGTTATTTCAATAATCAACATAGTACTTACACGAACAGATCAAACAAGAAAATGATAATTTCATTGGGTCAGAGTTCAAAGTCCATAGGTCAAAGGCCAAGAGGTCACATAGCAACTTTTTGGATCAAATGTCAAGGAGGCGTAAAAGACAAACGAGCTCGACTTATGGACTGACTGTTTACTACTTAGTACTCACCCGTCCATCTTGCATGTGTTTCAGCTTGCTGAGAAGTAGGCTTTGCTACACAGCAAGAACAGAGAGCAAGATGAACTGAGAACCGAGGGTGATGTGTATGTTTGAAATGGAAACATGCTTTCCTGCTGATCATTAGAAAGCCATGCAATGTGCTTTAAATGGCACACCATGACTCTTGCATCAACACCTGAACAAATTGTCCTCGCTATGATGGTAATATACAAGTTGTGCGTTGGGGTTGACCAAGAGTGAAGTGTGGAGGTGCGGACTGTGAAGCATATGTACACACTGCCAGACTATGTCACAGTCACACTGATTTCTTATTCGTGAATCAGTCATGAACGACTGGGAGCACAGCCCATACATAGCTGGTGGTCTACCTCTTGCTGCACTAACACTTAAAATGCAACTGGATATAGCCGAACCATATAGCAGGTGCAAGACTTGTCTCTGATGGATACTGATGTACCGTAAAGTACTGCCAGAGCGCCCCATCATCTCGTTCTTTCGTGGTCGTATTATGGAGGTGGTGTCCTGTTTGTAGGTCATACGGCATGAACCTTGTACACACATTGCACGTTGTGGAGTCAATCCGTACTCAATTTATGTTCGAGCGGACAAAAGCTTCAAACAAAAACCTTTGGAGTGTGACTAAGGTTCTCACACCGTACACACTTCGTTGCACTCTGCCATACGATTTTCATTTCCCTCACTGTATAATCAAGGTGGGGCGCTCTCGCGAGACGAGGCGCTCTGGCGGTACTTTACGGTATTTGACGTTTTGGCAATAATTATTAATGTCTTCGTCAAAAAGATGTGAGACAAGGGAGAGCATGGTTGCACTAACACTTGTCATACACGACCACCGTAGTAAAACAAGATCCGTGTTTCAACAAACTTTGTAGAGGCCAGCAACCTGAAGCAACAGGTCATGTCTCGACATCATGCATGTCACAGTGCATTACCTCTGCTGGTGTCAAGTGAAGGTGCAGTGCTTGCGAGAGCAGTAGGTTCATGAAGTCTTCGGATGAAATAAGTCTGCAACAGAAAGGATATGCACAGGAGAAGAAGTCACTGTGATTACACCTGTGACGAGAAGACCTCACCATGTTAAACTAGATGTAGCAAAGGTCACCAACACCTACAATAATTACTCCCCTGGTCATATTTGACAATGGACCATCTGCTGACTTCAACCCCCGCCCCCCTCCCCCCCCCCTTGCTAATTCATGGCATTTTTAGAATTTTCTTTTCTTTCACTCCCTCCCCCCCCCCCCCCCCGAGCAACTTTGGGCCCATGCACTGATTCTCAGTAGCAGCCAGCACGGTCAATATCCCTTAGCAAACAACGTTATGTTGTAACGGTATTACCGTAAGGGGGAAAATACCGTGATTTGGGCTCGACCTTTAGCAAGATGCACGCTATTTTTAGTACGCTGTTGCCACGAGAATAGCTTTTACTTTGCGCGGTACAACCATTAATGTCACCATATACATAATACACGATACAAGGTGAAATGCGTACGGACTATGCAATATTTGGCCAAAACACGTACCGTTGGTCACAAGGATAAATCAGCCCCCATAACGTTTTTACGCTGCAGCTTCGACGCTATTTCGGTGATCAAGGTACGAGTACCGTAAAAAAGAGCGTTACCGTTGTTTGCTAAGGGTGTCTATTGAGAGCCTTACCCGGATCTATCGTAGTCGCCAAGGAGAAATAGATCGCGCAGGAAATCCTCAACAGTGTAGTAGTCCAAACCAGACTGCAAGACAAACACACACACACACACACACACACACACACACACACACACACACACACACACACACACACACACACATACACACACACACACACACACACCTCAGACCTCAGACATGCCCATCGCGGAAGCGATGATAGCGAACAGCTATGTTAGACATCGCAACTTGTGCTGGGATTACACCATTTAACAGCTTGCAAGGCTGATGAATTGACCGCCACTATTTTTAGCCTGGTATCCACCACACAGCTGTTTGAAGTGACTTTTTCTGAAGTCACAAAAAAAGTTTTCTGAAAAGTCACACACACACACACACACACACACACACATACACACAGTGACATGGTGCAATATGGCCGGCAACAGCAGTAGGGGAGCCAAAGTGTCCAGCCACTGCCGCGATATGCAGGGCCGGTTACTATACCAACAAAGTGCACAGCGGCAGCAGATATGTCTGCATCGTGTTGGTGTAAGTTATGGCGAATGGCTACACTGTTGAATGTGGCTGGTAGCATGACTGGCCCGTTCGGATACAGGGCAGACTGAAATCTATGCCCTGTTTTGCATGTTTAGCTGGATAGTTAGCACAGCCCTAGCTGCCGGTGCAGCAGATGCCCACACAGTGGTAAGGAAATATAGTTCTTTCTCTTCCCACCTACCGGCATGCCACTCACCAACTCAACCATGGCAGCCCAGGTATAAGGACGTGTCTGACCAGCCGCATGACTCAAATCTATGTTAGCTGCAGTGTGTAATACGCATGCTCTAGGTTAAGAGACGGGTGGTGATTGGGGTAGAATAGAGACATGCTGGCAATCGATGGAGGTGACTTAGCACAAAACATGTCATGGTATCTTACCGTCATCACTTGAGATTGCCGTATCCGGCCGTCCTCACGGCGACCATGATCAAGAAGAGTTGAGAGGCGCTGGCTGATATTGTCAATTTCCTCCTCAGATGCACCGTCAGTTCTGTACATATAGAGCACAAGTGCAGACAGTTTTCGGGGGACTCACTTGCCTGCCGACAGTACTTTACTGTGAAGCCTAGCATATAACGTTATCTCAACAAATTTGATGCAGCAGTTTAATTAATCTCTTGCAGAAGATCTGGATCAGGCAGTCACAGTGGGTTGGTCTAAGACCATGACTGAGAAACGAGCGGTACCAGGTTCAAGTCCTGCTTGGAAGCGGGAGGATTTTTCCAACCGTGCTGCGACCCACAGTTAATTGGGAACTCATGGCCTGGCATGAGTAAAACATGGATGTGGCAAATGGGACTTAGGCCTTTGGCCTCTGGTTGGTGGATCTGATCTATCCTCCCCACCGTTTAGGAGCCGCATCTGACGCCTGATCGTGGGGTGGTGGCGTCCCACGGAAGCGGAAAGGTGGTTCCTGACCAGGGAGTTGTACGACTCCTTGTTCTTGACCTGCCCGGTACGCGAACCCGTCAAATTTTTTAATATTTTTTTTATTTAGAAGATCTGGATGCTGTAGCGGCTGGCTCTAAACTGCGTCTTTGACATTCTTGAACGGCATTAGAGTGACATTCATCGCAATTCGCGCAGTCAAAAGCGCACGTACAGCTGAACACAAATGGATATGGTGATTGTAGTGATCAACACGCTAACAGTTTTTCATAATACCGAGTTCATATGCCTGGCGATTCACAACTGTGTAGTCAATGGAGCTGATGTAGTTCAAGTCGAAGAAAACATTCTGTGACTGCTTCTGTTGGTTTTCTGCCTGATAAATTTCCATCGGTTACCGTAATGTCGCGTATTAAAGCTGGGCATATTCCTGTAGAAGCCGATGTCAGGGCTAGGCTTCTATTCACATCAGGCTTCTACTCAAACCAGGTATTTCTACTGTATGTGTGTCAACACTAAAACCAGGCTTATGTGCCGAGAGTGTATCTAGAAAATTAGGCTTGTATTCATAACAGGCTTCTATTATGAGATAGGCTTTAATACAAGACACTATGGGCATACACCTGATTTTTCATACAGATCCAGAACACAGTACGTAGTCAAGGCTGTAACTCGAGGATGCAACTCTTACGTTGCTTTCTTGGTAGCCTGTTCTTCTGCTGGCTCGGTCTGTATCTGCTTAGAGGAGAGTTCAGATGCGGCTGTTGTTGCTCCCGTCCGAGTGGTAGCAATGGTGGAAGCAGACCTTTTGCTTGGTCCTGTTTCGGCGGTCCGACGTGAAGTATCTGCAGTGTGCTGTGAGGCCTGTGTATACAAGAGCAAGCCTTCAATCACAACTATGATGATTTCCATTATGAGGAGTCCACTAGCTTCTACTTGCTCCAAACTTGACATATAAACCGAGCCAGTACAATGTGGGAGTGCTGCCAGTTTTGGTGGAGAAATAAACAAATTTCACAGGTCCACCTCTGTTGCCAGTGGAAAACAAACATGCTCCAATGTGTACTGCGACAATACTTACAACGGACTGGGATGGCCGCGAAGACGTCTCAATCTTGCTTGTAGTTAGTGAATGCTGTTTCTCAGAGATGGGGGGAAGTTTAGGTGTTCCATCCACCTGTGAACAAAAATGACCAAGGTTGAAAAAGAACAAAAGCTGACTGAGCTGGATGACGAATTGTCGTCAATGGTATGTGCATTGGCAAACATCTTCACTACCCCCTCAACATTGCGTAGATCTCTTTACTTGTGATTACAGTGTGATGGATGCAGTAACTTCAGATACGAAAGTCGGCTATAGCCAACCCATGGATAAGGAGCCATTTATCACTGGTGGGATTTCTTGTCAGCACACCATCTACGTGTCCTCCTCGGCGACAGGGAGAGGTATTAGGGAGCTTCTACATGACTGAGTATAATCATGTACAGCTTTGCCTCTCTGAGTCTCTGTGCAGTGACGTGTGACTACATGTACTAGTAAATCAACATTCATGTGCACGTCAAGTTTTCATGGGAAGGATTACTACAGGATAAATTGCCTAGGTAAGAGGAATCATTCCGATGGAGATGGCAGCAACTAATAATAATTCCGCAAGTCGTCCAGCGCGTTAAGGCAATTAGCAATGCACCTCCAAGTACATGCCTAACCTCGTCTTGTTTCTTTGCTTCCTTAGGTCTTCCGGGTGGCCATGTGTCAGAGAAATTTGCCGCTTGAAAGCCCTAAAAAAAGAGACGGAATACAAATGACAAGGATTTATTCATGGTATGATCAGCAGAGCAAGCCACGTATGGATGAACCCCACTTTTAAAGTGAATGTGGGCCAGTGGCATTAGAACAGGTAGAAGGGTACGGAAAAGTGTAGCATCAGCAGCAGAAGGGGACTCCGGGAGAAAGATGAAAACAATAATGAGGTCCCCCCCCCCCCCCCCCCCGGGAGAAAGAGGAGGAAGAGGAAGAGGAGGAAGAAGAAGAGGAGGAGGAGGAGGAGGAGAAGGAGGAGGAGGAAGAGGAATAGGAGGAGGAGGAGGAGAAGTGATGGAGGAAAGGAAGCAGCAGAAGAGGGGCATGGCAGTGACGGTGCTCCACGGAGGAAATGTTTGCCTTACATACCTAGGCTATCCTCAGTCAGGTTTTGTACACTTAGGATAGCAACGTGCACAGACACATGGCACTTCTCTGGTATCATAGTCCTTAACTGCTATGGCTAAAATAGGCTTGCCTTGCGCAAACAAATGCCACTGAATAACATTTATCCAGGGTTCTCATTGAGTTACTGATCGTGAATCTCACCGGGGGATGTTTCTTTGTCTGACGTCTTGGGCTCAACTGAAGGTGACTATCAGCTGCATTACGCGATTGTGCAACGGACCTTGTGCCACGGCTCATTCCTCGTGCTCTGCTGGCTGGTAATGATGTCCCAAGAGCAACCTGTCAACATGACCACACAAGGCAAGCGTTTTACATTACCACCTATGGCTCAAGCTCATCAGTGACCCACGGTCATGTACAGGGCCAGGTTTAGGAGAGTTGTGTACCTGTGCCACCCTAACTTCTACTCTTGCATATGCACAGTCACACATCTCTCTCTCTCTCTCTCCTCTCTCTCTCCTTCTCTCTCCTTCTCTCTCCTTCTCTCTCTCCTTCTCTCTCTCTCTCTCTCTCTCTCTCTCTCTCTCTCTCTCTCTCTCTCTCTCTCTCTCCCTCAGCTTATGTGGTATACCATAGTCTAGATAGTGCAGCACACTGTGAAGAAGACGCACTCTGTTCACCCTTACCTGCTTCCCACCAACATCCAGGATATCCGAGACCGTCACGAACAGTCCACATTCCGGAGGACACGAGAAGTAACGGCGTCCATCTAGCGTTCCACTGTGACGTCCAACTACACAGTTGCACATGAGAGCGGTGCGCAGCTTTATAGTGTTATCTCGATATGTGCTGTTTAATGCACACCCGATTACCATGGCAACTGATTGTGTCACATCGCTCATGTCGCATTGGCAGTGATTTGCAGTACAGTTCCAAGCATGCATTGACAGTGGCCTAGTGATGATGAAGTACTGCAGATGCACAATAAGTGACATTCCTCCCTCCTTACATCATGTTTTCAAAAATCCAACGGCTGGCTTAATATGACCGGTGGTGGGTCTTTCAGATGGAATGGGAGGGGGGAGGGGAGGGGGTGGGGGAGGGGGTGGAAAGGGTTCTAAAGTGGCTCCACAGAACAGCAGATATGGAGTGCAGCTATGCCAGTTTCATGCAATCATGGTGCAGTTTCCAGTGTAGGCACCCTGCCTCTTACCTGGCTCGTCCAGATGCACGCCGATGAAGATGGTCTGGCCAGCTGCGTCAGCATGCAGCCTGCCAATGTATCTGACGATTCCTGCAACATACCACCGCCGTCGGTACAGGTGCATGCGTGTCGATCAGTTGACAGCATGTTACAAGGCGGAGGATGTGCTGTGTTGAAAACTGTGCGCCTTGTAACATGCTGTCAACCAATCAATGTGTTAGTCTATCAAACAAGGCTTACATATAGGTGCATGCATGTACACAGAATCATATCAACACTTGAAATATCCATACAATGTGATATACATCTTAGTATCAGCTTTGTCAATCCTATGAATGCCTGCACACGAGTAAGCTGAAGTTTATGCCAAGAGCTTACCTTGCCTTCCTCCCTTCAACGTGATGCGATTGCCAAGAACAATTTGTTGTATGTCCCTGGAGAGGACAAGCAACCAATTATAACAGAATTGGCGGAATGAAGTTTGCAGTTTTAGGCTGGTCCCATCCAAACCTGATCTTTAACTGATAGGAGCCTTGCTTGGCAATGAGACACGCTGGAAAGAAGTTGATGCATCCAGGGCTTGACCAACCAGATTGGCTCTCCGCCAGGGCTGGAAAAGGCTAACGTCATGTTAGATCTCACCTTTGATTTGCACGTGACATTGAACTTCCTTTGACATGGGGCACGCTTGTGCCACCCAGAGACTGCACAGATCGGCATACCGAGCACCGGCATCCAACCAGCGGTGGCGGCAGCGGCTCACTTGTAGAACGGCGCTGGAGTCACAGAACAGACGCAACAAAACACAATATCACGCTATATTGCAGTACTCCTGTCCATACAAGAGGCGTATAGCAAACACACTTAGGTGAAATTGGCATGATGCTTTGTAGCGGGACTGACTTGGGATCATGCACAATCTATTTGGAAAAATGCCCGGTTTGGGCTGAACGTTGGGTCAAAAACTCGATAATTAATTAAGTCCCTCTATTTTCAGGCTGTGACCTGCTCGTACATCGTCATGATATCAAACTTGTCCTGATTGCCGGTATGTAAAACTTGGCCACCAATAATTAAAAAGCAGCAGTACAAGAACGGAAACGAATTCAAGTCTGGTCCTGGCTGTTGATTATCAAGGCTTACATGTTTGGGCCTTGCAGAAGAGGACGTCTCCATCGTTTGTCTTTGCCACGGGGACCTTGCACCAGTTCGGCGTGAGCTGAACAGGCAAAGAGAGATACTGATCAGGCACAGATACACTAGTAATGTGAGCATTGGTATATGAAATTGAATGGATATGTACGCAGAAAGAACCCGTCCGTTACGACTGAGGCTCTGCTTGTACTTCCTAACTAAAACACTGAGCAAAGGCAACTATATATGTATAAAAAAGGATGTTGCTAACGATGCTGCCCTCCTCGCATCCCTTCAGTCACCATTCTTTCCCCCTTTTATTCACGTAAAATAGCAACTGCAGCAATACCAGCAGTGGCAAGTATGAATATAATTGTCCTCACTCGAAATAGTCTCCACGGGAATTGACGGTTTTACTGCGTTCCCTGGCTGTCAGGGGAATATGGGAGAGCTGCGCCTCTGCCTGGATTATCACAAGAGAAAGAGAAAAGGAGAGAGTGTGTAAGAATGTAGGTCGTGTGTGTGGGGGCGGGGTTCACGAAAAGCCCGCCATACTCCTGCAAGATGACAGTCTTCACAGTGGAGTACAGTCAGATTTGCTGTGCATTGACGAGGCACAGAGCCAAAGCAGGGGCAACAGACCACCCAACCGTTGGGAGGCTCACTGATGAGCCTTGCGTTTTCGAGTTGTAGCTAGACCAGTTTGTCCAATGGCCTTACTAGTCTCGTCATCATCATCCCATAACGTTCAACATTCTCTGTTGCCGAGGTACAACGCTCGAGCACATCTTCGGGATAATTATACAGTCAGATAGTGTGACAACAAGCTCGTGCACATCTTCATGGCGCATCCCTTCCCCTCATTGGAACTTTCCGCACCTGAGCCTTCCAAGTTGGAAGGTTGTTAGTTTGCGCTTCGTAGATGTGTTGGAACTAGGTGTCAGGTCGTCGAATGTCTCAATATCCTTGTCGGTGTTATGCCTTGGTGTCGCACTGCTACTGCGCCAGACCATTAATGGTTGAAGCTGTCGTGTACGAGGTGAAAAGTAGCTCATTGTAGTCGGATAGCTTACCTTGGCACGAGTCCTCTGCACGTCCAATGTACTGCATGAAGGAAACAAACAGCCCGCACAGCACAAGCACATGGATTGGTAACGAAGGAGTACGAGTGTACAAACCGACCGGCTGATACCTCTCACCTAGTCATGACTCACCTAGTCATGACTCACCTAGTCATGACTCACCTAGTCATGACTCACCTAGTCATGACTCACCTAGTCATGACTCACCTAGTCATGACTCACCTAGTCATGACTCACCTAGTCATGACTCACCTAGTCATGACTCACCTAGTCATGACTCACCTAGTCATGACTCACCTAGTCATGACTCACCTAGTCATGACTACTAGTATGCTATGCGACATCACCTCACAGCACCATGTTTCCTTAGCTAAACTTACCGCCAAAGCAGTCAGACACCATACATACCTAGCAAAATGCTTGATAACAATACCACAAGACTATCGAAGGACACCATGATGGATGTATTGCACGTAAAAACCTCAGAGGAGATTCTTTACAGTTTCGGTACGTGCAAAACAAAAGAATATCACACTCGTCCCTTCCTCCTTACATTTTTCGTCTTGATTTTGCTAAATCCCGCTGCCGTGCCTTTTCCTTCCTCATTGCCGTCGGAATGTACTATTGAAGGGGAATGAACCAAGAGTACACGTACTGGTAGAATACACTTCCAAAAGCCAAAGTAAGTCCGTTCTATGTGTGTGCACGGGCATGTGTGTGTGTGTGTGTGTGTGTGTGTGTGTGTGTGTGTGTGTGTGTGTGTGTGTGTGAGTGAGCGTGTGTGTGTGTGTGTGTGTATGTGTAACTGTGTGTGCATGCATGCATGTGTGTGTGTGTGTGTGTGTGTGTGTGTGTGTGTGTGTGAGTGAGCGCGTGTGCGTGTGTGTGTGTGTGTGTGTGTGTGCGTGTGTGTGTGTGCGTGTGTGTGTGTGTGTGTGTGTGTGTGTGTGAGCGCATGTGCGTGTATGTGTAACTGTGTGCGTGTATGAGTAACTGTGTGTGCATGCATGCATGTGTGTATACATGTATTGCTACTTCAATCTTGATTCAGAATTCACACAACTGAACAGAAAGAACATTACATAGACCAAATTCATTTAGAGCAGAAGACAAGACATACCTCACTGATTGATAGCTTGCCCTTCAAGTGCTGCAAGATCAAGAAAAAATTGTGAAGATATAAATGATGGAAATGAAACATGGCATGAATTCAGGCAATTTTAATGGCAGAGATAGTTGAGTTATGACTAACAGGCATAGTTCTACAGACTCGGAGATTCGGGCAGAGTGGGTAATGGACAGATAGATGCCCAGGGAGACAAATGAAGGGAAGGAGGTAGACCGCGCAGACACGCTAGAGTAATTCATCCGTTCCAAGATTTTGGAATTTTTGGGACAGTTCGGCATCACAAGAAAGAAAAATGAAAAAAATAAGAAAAGAGGCAATAGACAGGGAGTTGGCACAAAGAAAAGATGAGATTTACAAAGCTTCACTGTCCCTCAAACACTAGCACATACTAGTACACACACCGTGGCACAAAGGCAATGCATCATAGTACTAGGAGTCGTGAGCTGCATAGATGAGAGGCGTCATTGTTCAGAGGTTTTAGCCAAACATGTCTATGACTTACCCTCATCTCACGACGGGTTCTATCCAAATCACGCTCCAGCCCCGAATTGATCTTGACAGCTGCAGATCAAAAAGGGTATGGATAGCAATAGAAAGAGGAGTAAGATACACAACAGTTAGTGGTCTTACAATAGGGAGGAGGAAGAGAATGTGGAACTTGAGGAAAAGGAAGAGGATGAGGAAGTGGTGGAGGAGGGAGGGAGGAAAGAAGTGGTGGATAAGGAGGAAGTGGAGGAGGAGGAGGAGGAGGAGGAGGAGGAGGAGCAGCAGCAGCAGCAGGAGGTCACGGGTGGTGGTGCTGGTGGTGGTGCTGGTGGTGGTGCTGGTCACCGGTGATCAGGGTGGCGGTGGTGGTAAGGGCGGTGATGGTGGTGGGTAGAGGTTACCGTGTATGGTGGTGATGCAGCCATGGTATCAAGGGAGGGGGGGGGATCTTACCTTCCTCGTACTGTCTTTCAAGGTTGTCATCATGTGTCACAATGGCCTCAATCTCACCAAGTGCAAGCTTCACTTGGTTCCTGTACAGAAACAACAACAATTTACAACATGCAATGGTTTCCGTGTGTGGAGTGGGCTGGTAATTGCTACTCACCAAACATCATAAATAGTCATGCAACCGACCATTTTGATTTCTGTGTGTAGCTATACATGATATATAGGGAACATTTTCATGTAGCAGAAGAACACAGTGCATTTCGTATCCCGAGGAACCATGGCAGTACCTGGTGGTGTTGAGCAATGAGCGTACAGCCCTGTCCGGATTTCCAGCATTCTGCTGGATCATGTTGAGCTGGGCAGAGAGGCGTACAGATCGGCAGAGAATGAAGATGACGTGCGATGAAATGCAGCTATGCATTACACATGTAAGCTATCATGGTTGTAAAGTATCACGGTCTCTCTACGTGTAGGCCTGACTGCAGCCGTGCATGCAAATGCTGTAGAGACACAACAAGATCTGATCTTGATATCCGTTTGCCATCCGTTGTTTACACCGCAATCATTCATTTTTTCCGCTGTCCGTACACCATGGTACGTGCAGTACACGCTCTGCCTGTTCTGGCTTCCACACAATATCACTTGCGACACCCTTTTCATGTGTGTATCTCTACAACACAAATACTGGGATGCATGGCACTTTTCGGAAACCTCCAGGCTGAACACACCTACCAATCCAGAACAGTGAGGGTTACAGCAATTCTGGGACAAGATAATAAGAGGGGCTTGGGTAGAAAATTGAAAGCGCTGGTGTGAAGCGGGAGACAGCTGTGAATTTGTAGGAGTTGTTCAGCATTCGCACATTGGCAGCGTCATGGGAATGAGAAGTCACATCGTAAGAGCAACATGCTTAGCTAGAAAGGGCCGTGTGGGCTGCGGCATGTGCTCTGTAAGCGGTACAACATTTAATCTAGCCTGCACTTACTGCGTCATCAATGTCATCCAGCGAACTCTCTGCATGAAACAAGAACAAACACAAGACAGAGTGTTAGTAAGACACTGATGAAAGGATCATGACTTTGTATAGGGATGATCTTAAGCAGGATTCTCCTGGCTATCTTCCAGGTGGTCTATGAAAGTCAGCTTGTATGCAGCACAATATCACCTACCCAGTCGGCGTTCACATGTGTACATGCATGCATCATATCGGTTACTTACCTAACCGACTCTTGCTGCTTTGCTGGCTGAGAGAGCTGAGGCATCTGTCCAACAGGGAGTGTGTGCTGATCTCAGTTTGGCTCTGAGGGCGCTGGACATATTTTAACATCACACATTCACACACATATCTACACATGATAATTATGCTCGTTTTGTTTCTTTAATTCAACCAGCTGCTAGCTGAGATAGTTGATGGGCAATGAATGACAATGGCAAGGACCCATTGTACTTTGAAGTAGCATTAATTGTTCAAGGTGCTGCTGCAGATGGCAAGCGAACTAGGATACCCCCCCCCCCCCCCCCCCTGCTTACTGTCCTGTGTAAGCTCCAGGCTGCACCTGCAACGCGTATCGACGAAGTGCATTGTACAAAGTTAGCAGGAGTATGACATGGCTACTCAATGCACTGCCAGCAGACCTGATTTACACAGAGGTGCAGTTACCTGTGAAACCCGGGAGTGAGACGACAGTGGTTGATCAAGACGTGAATTCTGCATGGAAAATAGGAAACCAGCAGCAGTACAATACCGGAATGCTGACACAGCAGCTCGACATAAACCATATTCATGTATCTATTTAGGAAAATGGCGGCACTGCCTCAGTTGTCCAGTGACCTCGACACACATGCACCAAAGCACACTTGGTCATTGTTACAGAATGGCTGCAGCCAGGTAGCAACCCTGCAGGGCTAAGTCATGTTCAACTCACAACTCTACTCTACAACTCTACTCTACAACTCTACCCTACAACTCTACTCTACAACGCTACTCTACAACTCTACTCTCTCCTGGGATAATGCCAGGATCTCAGCGTTCCATAACCAATGCTAATTCCATCGTGAAAACCATCCGTCAGCGATGTATCTGCACTGCTGGTTGTCTTATAAGTTATAAGTTACAGGTTCCGCCAGGTACATGTACTAGCGACTTACAATCTTCCTTGCTTCGGCAAGCTGTGCTTGTGCTATCTCGAGCTGACCCCTCAGTAGCTCTACTTCAGCATTCCGGTCCGCTGCTTCTCTGACCAAGCTAACAAACACCGGAAATAAGAGTTTTAGGAAAGAGAACTTACTACGTGGGTCACATTCTAGCAAGTGTATGACCACACCACCGGTGTATGTTGCTTTATGTGGAAATGTTGTTTATGTACAAACACGTGCACACACATGCATGCACGCAAACATGCACACCCGCACACACAGACATGTGCACACACCCACACCCACACCCACACCCACACCCACACCCACACCCACACACACACACACACACACACACACACACACACACACACATACACACACACACACACATGTACATACAAATACAAATACACACACACACACACACACACACACACACACATGAACATGTTCGGTGTGTTTCTTCCTACACAGGCACTGTGCGACAAGAAAATCTGTACCCCTGTTGCAATGCAGCATGTGCTCAAGATGATTCAAAGTTTGAAACTCGCCACTTCCCATACAGACACAGACACAGACACACATGCACATGCCAGTGCAATATGAGCCCACACAAACATAGCCGAGATTAATTAGAGTCCGCCATGAGGTAGAGCCCCACAGTAGCAGACCACAAAGACTAGTCGAGTAGATGTACCTCTCTTTATCTTCAATGACACTTGTGAGCTTGTTCACAAGTGTTGCCACTCCTTCTGTCTCCTGTGCTTCCTTTATCACCGCTATGGCTTTCTTTCGTTCTGGACTGAGGTCTGCTGCAGGGGTAGCTGGAAGCTGAGATTTCGGAGCTGTTGTGTCATCTGCAGAGAGATGATGGAATAGCCAGCACAGCACTCTACTCAGTGCTCTACAACGTGATCTTGTTCCCATACTGATCAGTGCATGCCTAGCCTCAGGTGGAACTATGGAACTGTTGCAAAAAGCACCAGGGAATGAACATACCCCCCCCCCCTCCCCTCACGCTTGCCCAGGTTTTGGAGCAAAGACTGTGTATAGACAATTGCAGTCACTTCATACAAAAGCATCCAAGTCAGTCCCCTGCTCTGGTGCCTGGTGGACGCCAGTGCGCTATGCTTTGTACGCGGATCTACATGTGGCGTGTTGCGAACGGTGTCAGTGGGCCCCACAGTAGATCTACCTACCTGGCGCTGCGTCTCCAGGCACCTCTCCTTGCCAATACTGCACCCACGATGCTACTCCGGCCGCAGCATCTTCTAAACGCTCCGATTCATCCCCTGCAGCAGGCGGATTGACCTGAACCTGCTGCACAGTATTGCTCTCCACTACCGCAGCCATGGACAGAACAGAACAGAGGTGAATGCTTTCGGACGACGCTGGACTTGTTACCAGGTCACTAAAATAGTAGAAGGTAGAATGGCCAAGGGACACTCAACGTCCACCCACATCCGCTTCAATCTAGTCGATGACGCCTATTTCAGTATTTGCTCTCTACCCGATTCTTCCCTATGTTACGAACTGGTCCTCAAAGTTGATTGGCTGAATCGGCGTGGCTAAACGCCAAGGTTGGCATCCACTACTTGATATCGTTCACACAATGAATGGCAGAAGATGGATATCGTGGCTAATGCTACATTACAATTCGATGACCAATTTTCGAGCACGAAGAGTATTGCAGAAGAGAAGCTGGAACCGGTTTACCGCACTATGCCAACACACCCGAACTGTACAGGGGTTCAAAGTCCAAAGTTCAGCACGGGCATTGGTATATTTCAGTGTCTGCTGAAATCGTCTTCCCAAGAAACTGAACGACCCGTGAACACAGGCACAACTAACTTGAAAAGAAACACTCCAGTGTTCTGTTGCTCGCACAAACAAATTGTTTTTGAACGGGCTTCCTTTGCAGCTTGACTGACACCTATCCAGTGGATTTGACATCAGCTCCTGTCTACCATGGTCTACACCGCCTGGTATTTGAGTGGTAACGGTCCACTGTTGTCAGTGCTGGCCCAGTTTACGTTGGTGGACTACAGACTTGCAGAGTCTGAGCATCAGACTGAGGCCAGCATCGTGACGGAGCTGAGGTAGTCCGGCAGATCCACTCTGCGTCCATGCTGCCCGTACTGCACAGTGCACTGGTACATGGTGCAGCCACGATAACCACGAAATGCAAGCCGATAACACTGCACCATGGAAACCACTCACTTGACAACATTCGTATGTAGCTACATCATGACTGACTGTACTCTGAGCTTTCGGATAACCATGATAACCCAGGTATAATAACCATTGCACATGTGCATGGTTGTGTACATGACTGTATTATTCTACATGTATTCAGGTACCGGTAGCTGGATCGAGAGGAGTTCACAGGGTAGATCTACGACTAGACTCAAAAGTAAGTTCATCCTGCCTGGGTTGTCGGTTGTTCCGGGATACCGGGATCCTTCTTCGAACTTTTGCTGCATCGGTCCTCCGCTATCCCAGCGACCTCTCAGTACTTTGCATCATGCACAATGACATTAAATTTTGTAGATGTAGAAATATCCACATTCCTCACCAGTCCTCGGCTACACCAGTAGTGACAGCACAATAGGCCTTTCTTCCAAAATGTGGCCCCCGTGAGGGCATCATCAGGAATGAGGAGAAGGATGTGGATGCAGAGACTACGTTGTAACGACATCAAGCAGCTAGGGTTTCAAGGTATGACATTACACATCAAGTGGCAACACATGATTCTGGTATGGTGTTATGTAGCACGGCACGGCATGGCACAGCACAGCACGAAGCTCAATAGCAAACACATCGCATTGTAAGTATGTTGTTGGCGACAGCGAGTACAGGTGAACACAATGTGCCATCGGAGTGTGGTAACCGCGTAGCTCAACTACAGTTTTACCCTACTGAAAAGGTGATTACTACCGGAAACAACCGACTTGAGGAATTACCTAACACTCACATGGTTACCACCTGCAGTCTCAGCCTGTCTGTTACTATCATACAATTGATGTAATGCATTTGCTGATGAGCTTCGAGCGTAACATGTTATGCTGTGCTTCAAAACACCATACTGTTATCGCTGCCTATGGGTCACACTGTAATTAGTTTCTGTATCCTCGTCCTTCTCCTCACTTCTTATGAAGTTCTCGGGGGTGGAAGTTCGAAAGAAACCTGTCTGCACTGGAGTAACCAAGGACTGGCGAAGAGCACGAGGTGAATCTTGCTGCAACTTACTGGCTATGACAAGGCAGCTGGCTACAAAGTATAATGCCAATGGAGCGTCAACGTTACGTTCATCAAGTTAGTTGTACAACATGCAGTCAACCGGCCACTGCCGGGAAGGCGGAAGCAGTGTTTGATTTAATTGGTCTGTCTGACCATAAACCAGGTATATCTAGTATGATACTTAAGTCTTTGTGTATGATATGGTGGGGACACATAACCTCTTCAGCAGCAAACCGTGACGCATTATGATTGGTATAGTGGACACCACCATGAACCGGCCAAATGAGTGCACATGGGTTTCCCCGGCACTGGACCTGGCTTGCACAGCAACCTGCACATAACAGGCTCATGGCACATCATGTGGAGGTACTAGGTGGTACTCAGTGCCATCGGGTTGATAAAATAACGTGACCAAAAGGCGTAAGTAGCTGTGTATGCAATTTAGTCAACAATTTCAAACACTCAAGGAGACCATTAAAACACTAAAATACTCACAGTTATTGGCTTAGTTTACAAGTACAAGAGAGTCAAGAATGCTGCAATGTCGGAATGCGGCCGGGGCCAGTAAGAAGCAATCATCACGGAATACACCCAGCAGCACCGCACTGAACATCTTTTTAAAGAAAACAACAACATTGTCAGCACACCAAGTGAGATCATCAGAAAGTGCCTGTGTAACAAAGATATGCTGGAAATGCAGAGCTGAAAGCAATTGCACTGCTAAGAAAGTGCCTGTGTAACAAAGATATGCTGGAAATGCAGAGCTGAAAGCAATTGCACTGCTAAGAAAGTGCCTGTGTAACAAAGATATGCTGGAAATGCAGAGCTGAAAGCAATTGCACTGCTAAGAGAGTGCTGGCGCTGGGGCATCACGATTTTTGCGCTGCATGTCGAGTTTTCTGGACTTGCTCAATTGCGAGCTTGAACTGATCCAGAGCTGTGACTTTGGCTTGATGACTGCTGGAAAGAGCTGTCCGCAGCTGTTTGTTTTCCTTCTGTAGTTGACTGATAAAATGAAATGAAAACAGAGCAACACCGGTATGGGTTATGTGGGGAATTCTATAAGTGAAAAGCAATTTCATCATGCATCCATCATGCATCCATCATGCATCCACCATGCATCCATCATGCATCCATGGGATCAATGTACAGTAAAACATGATTGTAATGGCGACCACTCGGATATGGTGACCAATCGACCATGGCGACCACATGTCCTTGTCACGGACGCATTCACATTCAAAACAGCTCGGATATGGCGACCAATCGACCATGGCGACCACATGTCCTTGTCACGGACGCATTCACATTCAAAACAGCTCGGATACGCTCAACGCGAGCGACGACCACCCACCCGCGACCGCGTTGCACAGTGCTAGTACATGTAAATGTACGCATTGCATGGTGCACCATGCATGGTAGATCTACACATCAGAGCAGGAAGTGTAGATGTGCATGGTGCATGCACGGCACTTGACAGGTCTGAGGACCCCAGACGCATGAGTCGTGCTAGAGTAGCATAGGTGTGTGCACTGTGATATACTGATCAAAGTGATGTGTCACATGTGGATATTATGGTCACGTGACCCACTGAACCTGGATAAGAAGACCACCTGGCCACGACGACCACTTTTTCTCGTCTCTTGAGGGGTCGCCTTAGACAGGTTTCACTGTACAGTGAAACCTGTCTAAGACGACCGCTCAAGAGACCTTCAGAATCTGGTCTCTGTTACCAGGTGGTCTCCTTACCCAGGGTCATTTGACTGGAAATAGCATCTCTTGGTCCTGGTTCCAGTGGTCTTCTGGGACAGGTGGTCGCCTTATCCGAGTGGTCGCCTTAGACAGGTTTCACTGTACCTAGATACCTGGCTGAGCCGCATTGTTGGAACGTTCTCCATTTGTTAGTGTTTGTCTTCGTTTAACATGTATATTACTCAGTATGTCGTAATTGGACACTGCTCGATTATTCTTACCTCGTGCGTTTCACTATTTGTAACGTGGCTCCTCTGCTTCAGTTTTCGTTCTATCTCTCTGGCAGGGGCAACCACCACCCGTCTGGTGGGTGCCAGCATCCTCCGGCAGTTGCGCTGGGACTCTACGATACATTCTTGTTCTTCGATAATTAGAAATCTGCCTTTCTAGTTCTTCGCTGTTTGAATTATTATTTACTAGCAGCACCCCCGCCAGCGTTGCCTGGCCGAATGTGGCATGCGGGTGAAGCAAGTACATGAACAGCACACGTGCTCAGCACGTGGTGGTGGCCAGACCGCTGAAGTCCTGGTGAGGGAGGTTCTTCATCGTTGGAAGGAGAAGGAGGGACGTCTGTTACGCCTTCGGGAGGCTGGTCAGGGTTGTCCATCACCTGGTGGCGGATGAAGCGGCTCAAAAAATTCAAAAACTTACGAACAAAAGTGCGATGCGCTCTTCACTGCAGATCAGATGCAGAGTGCAGTCAGTGCAGATCTTTTGTATCCTTTTGTTGCAGATGTTTCTATTTGCAGAGAACGGTTCACGTGGTCCGCAGCGCTTGTGCGGCTGCTAGTGCTACCTATGGCCTAGGCTAGGTGGCTACATGATTCGCACGCTTCGCGTGCTCAGTGCTTCTGCGCGCGGCTGCTACTGCTACTCGTACTGATCGTGTCTGCTATAGTATAAGTATAAGCGCTACCACCGTAGAAATAAAAATCCGAAGGAAATACGACAATTTTACTGCGTCTGTAGCTTGTGTTGTAGCGCACCCATGTTCTGAATTCCTGCTGGGTGGGTCAAGCCAGACTCTCTTCCCTGTTCCATCGCCTCTCCAAAAGTATATTCTGACATTGTTGAGATTTACAGATGAGAAATTGCACACCTGTCAAATCGTTTCTGATTCGAGCACCCGGGTCTACGTATGTACGTACCTAGTCCATGTCATGTTCGCACGCTTCGCGTGCTCAGCACGTGGTGGTGGCTACACGATTCGAACGCTTCGCGTGCTCAGTGCTTCTGTGGCTGCTTCCGCTAGCTACACGATTCGCACGCTTCGCGTGCTCAGTGCTTCTGCGGCCGCTAGCTACACTGTGCTACATGTATACACTGTTCGCACGCTTCGCGTGCTCAGGGCAGCGCTGCTCCGCAGCGCTTCAGCGTGACACAAAAACACACGTCACAGGTGCCTCTTCTTTATAAGGAGCGTGACACACACACACACACACACACAGACACACGTCACAGGTGCCTCTCTTTTATAAGTAAAGATTTGTGTTGTTTCTTGCGGCACTCGCTTTTGTGTAGATTTGACCTTTTTGCATGTCCGCGTGAGTACAGATGACATCATGCATTATTTTCTGTCACGTGTTTTGCTTTGAGCGTGTCGTTCAAGATGTTTGAACTGCGCCCGCTGGCCGATTTTCTTTGCTTGCTGTTTTCTTTGCCAGTCAAGCGTGGGGACGCTACGGTGTCGTCCTTCTTGGCTGTGTGTCCGGTACGGGGCCGGGTACGTGCGTCCCCAGCTCTCCGTTCTTTGTTCTTTTTGAGTTAGATTCTTCAATGGTGTTTTGAGAACATGTTTGGTAATACAGTCTTCTAAATAGTTCGATGCTTCCAATGGTTGTGTCTGATGCAAGTGTGGGTTTGCGAGGGAACCGGTGAACCATTTGGTCCTTCGAGCCGGATCCGACAGGTTTCGACTAGTAGTGTCAGCGGTGGTAATGGCGTTTCCGCCACCACCAGAGTTTGTGACTCGTAGTTTTACGCCACGCCATTATGGTACGAGCGTGGGTGAAACTCCTGTTGAGGAACTTGAGGACCGCTGGAAAGAGTTGATTCGTCGGAGAACAAACCTCCGTAGACGCCACACGCGGATCAGTAACCGCTTGCGAACTCTGATTGCTTGCTCGTCGCCGTCTCGCCGATATTTGCAGCCTGATGTCCGTGAATTAGAATTTGTACGGTCAGAGCTGAATTCGGTTTTAGAAATTATGCGCAGCATGTTGGAGTCCCAAGAGAGTGAGCAACTGCTGAATGAGTTGGACGAGTGGGAGGCGAAGTTTGATAAGGAGAGTGTTGGTGTGATGGCTGCTGCTGAGGCGATCTTGGATTCGCCTGTTGAGTCGGTTTCTGGCCAAGTGGCATCAGGCCAACAATCAGCAGTCGCAGAACAGGTTACCCCTGTGCCACCGTCAACACCACCGCACATGCGGCCTGTGCCACCTCTACCAGCACCACGCACACGGCCAACACCACCACCAAAGCCAAGTAGTCTGAGCAGCAGACTAAGTGTGACGTCAGTTGGTTATAGTGCTCCTGCCAGTAGACTTTCTGAGTGGTCTCCTCTAACGGAATCTGCTGTCGACCCCCATGTTAGCGATTGGCTTGCCAGTATGCAACGGCCACATGGAGTAAGCGCTTTTCACCATCTGAAGCCACTAGAGCTGCCCAAATTTAGTGGCAGGACCCAGCAGTTTGTACGGTGGAAACAAACATTTAAGCGCCTCGTGGACGAGGACCGCTTCGTCTCTGACGAATATAAACTGGCACGACTGAAGGAGGCGCTGCAGGGTAGCTCGGCCGAAGACATTATCGCGGATATGTTCGACGGTCCGGGTGCATACACTGCAGCCTGGACGGAGCTTGAGCGCTGGTTTGGTGGTTCCGACCGCCATCTTGCCTTGCAAGAGAGAGAGATTCTGAATCACCCACGCATTGCCTCTGACAGGGACACCGAGTCTGTCCGGAAGTTTGCTGTCAAGCTCAGAAATGTGCTCATGAACCTGGACTTGGCTGGAGAGACCCCTGGTAGGGAGCTATTCCTAAGTGCGCTGGAGAAGCTACCCAGAAGTGTAGTTATACGATTTTACGAACAACATCCAGACAGCAAATGCAACGCAACCACGTTGTCGTTCTGGCTGGTAAAACGGGTCCAGAACGCTAAGCGAGCCGATGACATCTTGGCGACAGTCGGCACAGAGAAGTTGAACAAGACACCTCCTGCGGTCCCGCCAAAGCCTAGGTCATCTGCTGTGTATGCTGTGGAGCTCAGTACTCAGCAGTGTGCCAAGTGCAGCAAGAGCCATGCCACAGCAGAGTGTCCGGAATTCAGGGCGCTGACAACCAAGCGCCGCTGGGACCTGGTCAAGCGTGCCAAGCTGTGTAGCTGTTGTTTGGAGCATGGACACTGGGCGCGTGAGTGCCAGAAGCTGGAACGTTGCCACTGTGGAGAGAGGCACCACTCACTTCTGCACTACAGCAAGTCAGTGCAGCCACAAGCTGCAGCGCAGAATCCAGCTACGATGCGACCAGCAGCTACGGCACCTCGGCAGGAAAGTTCTCACCATGCTAGTGTCAGCGTGCCGCAGACTACCGCTTTCGCTACCGTGCCAGTGAAGATTATTGGCCCAACTGGCAAGTCGGCAATCTGTACGGCCATGCTGGACTCAGGCTCGACTGCAAGCTTCATACGGGAGGATGTAGCCCATGAGTTGGGCATGGCAGGTGAAGTTCACATGTTGAATACATCCACGATTGGTGCGCAGCAGACCTCCGGCTATCGGGAACTGGTCAAGGTGCAGATGGAATCCATTGATGGAACAGTGTCATACCCGCTCAAGGCATGGGTATATGATCGTGTGACCAAGAAGACGCAGGTCGTCGACTGGAGCCGGTACAAGTCCAGCTATGAACATCTAAAGTTCATAGACTTTCCCGAAATCTCCAGCACCACGGTCGACCTCCTGATTGGTCTAGACGTCATTGATGCCCACGCATCACTCGCGGAGTACAGAAGCAGCAGCGGTGGACCAATTGCCCGCAAGACGCCACTGGGATGGGTGTGTATGGGCCCAACGCCCAGTGCACCCAGTGATGACGAGTTGTCTGTCAACTTCGTGCATGCTTTATACGGCGAATGCAGCATAGACGGCCTGGTCCAGAATTTCTGGAATCTGGAGGCAGTCGGTATGAAGCACGAAGGCACCTACATCACCCCTGCAGAGAAGCTGGCTGAGGAGATCGTTGAAAAATCCATCAGCTTCCATGATCAGCGAGTCACCATGGCAATCCCATGGGTCCACAGCAACGGCGAGCCTGGTGTCACCGCTAATCGCGCCATGGCGGACCATCGCCTGCGCATGCTAGAGAAATCGCTGGACAAGCGTCCAGAGCTGAAGGCAGCATACGGCAAGGTCATCCGTAGCCACATTGACAAAGGCTATGTGCGCGCAGTGTCGGCAGCAGAGGTTGAGGCAGATGGCGACGACCAGTGGTTCCTGCCGCACTTCGCCATTGTACGAGACGACAAGGCCACCACGAAGGTACGTGTCGTCTTTGATGCTGCTGCCAAGTATGACGGCACGTCGATCAATGAGTGTATGTACCCTGGACCCGCTCTGCAGAATGACCTAGTGAAAGTGCTTCTGCGGTTCTGCAAGGAGCCAGTAGCGCTCACGGCGGACATTACCGAGATGTTCCTGCAAGTCGTGCTGGCTGAGCAAGACCGCCGATATCATCGCTTTGTGTGGGACTCACGCGTATACGAGTTCCAGAGGTTGGTGTTCGGCATCAAGGCGTCTCCGTACCTGGCATGCAAGGCGCTACAAGTGGTGTGCTGCGAGACAGCCGACAAGTATGACCCAGCCATGTTGCAGATCGTTGACCGAGACATGTATGTGGATGATCTGCTGCACTCTGCTGTCTCCGTACCGGAAGCCATCCGCACACAGCAGACAGTACAGGACATCCTTGAGCAGGGCAGCTTCCACCTCCGCAAGTGGCTCAGCAATAGCTCGGAGGTGATGGACGGCGTACCGGAAGCTGACCGCTCACCGCAACTCGTAGCTAGCATCAATGATCATGATCACTGTGCGCTACCATCAGTCAAGACGCTAGGCGTGATGTGGTCGGCAGAGGATGATACCTTCGCCTTTGAGTTCAAGCCGCCCGCAACAGAGAAGCTGACCAAGCGAGCCGTGCTGAGTAAGATGGCATCTATATTCGACCCACGCGGACAACTAGCTCCCTTCACGATTCGCTCTCGTGTCATGTTCCAGGAGCTGTGCATCCTCGGCGTGGGCTGGGATGATCCACTGGACGCTGAGCACACGCGGAGATGGACATCCTGGTTTAGCGAGCTGGGAGATCTGGCGCTGATCCGTGCGCCGCGCTGCTTCAAGTGTCCGGGTCGCGAGTCGTCTGTCGCTACATTGTCGCTGCACGTGTTCACGGATGCTTCAGATGCCGCCTACGCCGCTAACGTGTACGTCCGTGCTGAGTACCCAGACGGCAATGTGCGAGTGACGCTAGCACTCGCCAAGGCGCGTCCATGTCCCATTAAGAAGATGTCGATCCCGAAGCTGGAGCTGAAGGGTGCTGTGCTTGGTGTTTGCCTGGCCAAGACAGTGAATGACGCGCTAGATCTGCCGCAGGCTGATGCCACCTACTGGTCCGACTCGATGAACGTGCTTCACTGGGTGAGAGCACATTCCAGAAAGTTTAAAGTCGACGTGGGCAACCGGATAGCTGAAGTACAAGAGTATTCAGCTGGCAGCCAGTGGAACCACGTTCCTGGAAAGCTGAACCCAGCCGACAAGGGCACCAGAGGCTTGACAGCAGCCCAGCTAGCCAGTGATTCAGTATGGTGGAACGGCCCTGAGTTCCTCGTCCAGCAGCACACTGAGTGGCCGTCTCGTCAGATAACCGTGCCAAAAGAGTTGCCTGGAATGGTAAAGCGAGCGCAAGTGATGGCGTTCGCTGTGCAGCAAGTGTCAGCGGAGGTGTTTCGTCTCCACCCCGACAACTACTCGTCATGGAAACGACTAGTAAGAGTGACGGCCTGGTGCTACCGTTTCATCAACCGGTGTCGTCGACGTCATGCTAGCACGAGAGGGGATCCGGAAGCAGCGAGTGCAGCAGTCGACTCTGTGGAGCTGAAGTCTGATGAGCTCCAGCGTGCCGAATGTCACTGGTATGCGATCGCACAAGCAGAGAGCTATCCCGCTTCGTATCGGCAGCTGACGTCAGGGAAGTCCCTTGCAGCGAATGACCCGCTGCTACGGCTGAATCCAGTGCTCGACAAGGATTACCCGTGTGTGCTACGCGTTGGAGGTCGTCTGAAGACTGCCAGCCACTTGCCTGAGCATACCCGGCATCCGATAATCTTGCCACAGCACCATCGGATTACTCAGCTGATAGTCGACGCCGAAGATCGCAAGTGTGATCACAGTGTTGGCCCAAACCACCTCTTGGCAAACCTGATGCTGCGGTTTTGGATCATCCGTGGCAAGGTTGTCACACGATCTCACCGTGCACACTGCGTGCTCTGCAAGAAGAAGTGGGCCACTGTGGCTTCGCAGCAGATAGCACCGCTCCCGCTATTCCGAACAGCTCCACCGTACCGGGCATTTTCAAGAGTGGGAGTTGACTATGCCGGTCCGTTCCGAACAAAACAAGGACGTGGCAAGACCCAGCTCAAGAGGTACCTCTGTGTCTTCTCTTGTTTGCAATCTCGAGCCTGTCATTTCGAGATGGCGTATGGCCTGGACACCGAGTCGTTTCTGCTAGCATTCACCCGTTTCTGCAAGCGCAGAGGCGTGCCAGCTGAGGTCGTGTCAGACAACGGGACGAACTTTGTCGGTGCAGAGCGCGAGCTAAGAGAAGCCGTTCAAGCGCTAGGTTCTGATGAAGTGGCCGCAAGTATGGCCAGCCAAGGAGTTCACTGGCGCTTCAATCCGCCTCTCGCTCCGCACTTTGGCGGCGTATTTGAGTGTGTGGTCAAGGCAGCAAAGCGCGCAATGATGGCAACTCTGTCCCAGGCCAATCTCACTGATGAGGAACTTGTAACTGCCATGGTGAGTGCGGAAGGCCTGCTCAACTCGCGTCCGTTGACCGCTGTCCGGACTGACGTGGATGACGCCGCACCGCTAACACCGATGCACTTCCTAGCTGGACAGTGCGAGCTGACTCTGCCACTCGAAGAAGTCGCTGAGTTGCACCCACAGCGTCGTTGGCGGCTCCTCCAACAGCTCCTACGTGAGGTATGGCGGCGATGGCTTCGAGAAATAGTGCCTCGGCTGAATGTGCTTCAGCGATGGTCTCGACGCAGCCGCAACATCAAGCCCGGTGACATTGTCCTCTGCATGGACAAGTCTACTCCAAGAGGGCGTTGGCCGCTAGCCAAAGTGATAGAAGTGTTCCCCGGATCTGATGGGTTGGTCCGTGTAGTGAACATCAGAATTGGCGCCAAGCAGTCCAAGCGGCCGATAACGCAGTTGGTGCCGTTGGAAGTTGAACCCATCGATGAAGGTACCGGTCAGTATGATGATCTCACGACTTCCGATTAGTCTGGAGTCGTTCGTGAGAGGGGAAATGTTGGAACGTTCTCCATTTGTTAGTGTTTGTCTTCGTTTAACATGTATATTACTCAGTATGTCGTAATTGGACACTGCTCGATTATTCTTACCTCGTGCGTTTCACTATTTGTAACGTGGCTCCTCTGCTTCAGTTTTCGTTCTATCTCTCTGGCAGGGGCAACCACCACCCGTCTGGTGGGTGCCAGCATCCTCCGGCAGTTGCGCTGGGACTCTACGATACATTCTTGTTCTTCGATAATTAGAAATCTGCCTTTCTAGTTCTTCGCTGTTTGAATTATTATTTATTTGTGTTGTTTCTTGCGGCACTCGCTTTTGTGTAGATTTGACCTTTTTGCATGTCCGCGTGAGTACAGATGACATCATGCATTATTTTCTGTCACGTGTTTTGCTTTGAGCGTGTCGTTCAAGATGTTTGAACTGCGCCCGCTGGCCGATTTTCTTTGCTTGCTGTTTTCTTTGCCAGTCAAGCGTGGGGACGCTACGGTGTCGTCCTTCTTGGCTGTGTGTCCGGTACGGGGCCGGGTACGTGCGTCCCCAGCTCTCCGTTCTTTGTTCTTTTTGAGTTAGATTCTTCAATGGTGTTTTGAGAACATGTTTGGTAATACAGTCTTCTAAATAGTTCGATGCTTCCAATGGTTGTGTCTGATGCAAGTGTGGGTTTGCGAGGGAACCGGTGAACCACGCATGCTTGGGTGAACGTTGCCACTGCAGCTCAGCCACTTGGCCAGTCTGCCTGTTAGCATTGCAACGAAGCTGTCACCAGTGAAGTAGGAAAATGTGAGGGGGTCTGAAATGACAGCAGACCTATCTGCAGGTTCATGCAGCTGGAAAGCATGCATCCCTACACAATGACATTTCGGCAACACTCCAGGAAAGAAAGTGTAACGGTGCATCTGGTGAGCTCCATTCACTAATTTCGGAATTGATTTTCGAGGCTGATCGGTGGACACCTAGTAGCAGGCTTAGCAGCCCACCATGCATCACCAGATGCGGCAAGCAATCATCACCAGTTGCAAAAAAAAACAAAAAACACAAAACAAGAATATGCACTTGGAACATACTAGGTAGCCATGCATGTGATAGTAACGAATCCTCCAGTGCCATTACTCATACACCATTTCTCATACACCATTGCTCAGGTAAGCTGTTGCAATAGCTCGGTACTTACTTCAGAACTTGGCTGTATTGCTGACTGGACTGTGGCAGCTGTTCACTGTCATCCACTGCCACACTACTGGAAGGTGCTTGTGTTAGAGAGTTATTCCTATGAAGGCAGAAGATGTGCCACCATCATACGCACACAGTACATGCACAGAAAGAGATAGGCGAGCACAGATGTAGCAGCATGGAAACATCCATAGCAGCTGCATTACTTCTAAGTCTACGTCTCCAAGTTCATCACAAGTGGTGCCTTAAACTAAAGTTTTGCCTCTCAGAGTCTACTGTTCTGTTCTGGCATGTGGGTTGTGTTACGTAAATATGATAGTACGGAAGAGTTTCCTGAAGGTGATGCAATCTCCAAACAGGAGTCTAGCACAGTGATAGAGAAGCTGACCTGTTAGAGCAGACATCCTATAATAAACAGCACACCAAATGAGAGAAACATGACTCGTGTTTACAGGTGTGGCTTCCCAAACCTTTACAACAGTGTGTCAGTATCCCGCAGAACAACAATCTTCAGACTATATGGCACAACACCAATCCGCACTATCACTAGCCAGTTGCAACACATCAACAACAGGGGTGCCCGCACTCACTGCTCTATAAGCCTTGATGTCAACTGGCGGAGGTGATCACGTTCGGCCTGGAGTGCTGCCACAGCTGCCGATGGTATGGGCATTGCCGATGATGATGGAGATTTTGCTGATTCAGTGTTAGTGGTGGTTAGGTCAAGCTTGGCAAACTTCGGAGCTGGTTTGCTGTGCACATGAACAAAATTAAAGTAGCCAAATGCTATCAGTGCTCTGCTTCATGCACAGTACTGAAACCTTCCCTAACCAGATACCCTTGGTGCAGCTGAAACTGTCCTGATAATTATGACAGGATTCCGCTTGATCCGGTGCTGCACTTTCGATCCACAGCGCTTTGGCACATGAGAGAGTGTCCGGTCAACACAGGATTCCGCTTGGTACAGGGTCCGGCAAATACAGGTTTTACTGAACTTCAAGTACAGTATTGTCGATTGCCGAAGAACCGGGGGGGGGGGGGGGGGGGGGGGGTCAGCCTCCTAGCCTAGACCGTTCTTATGTTCATGTATTACAGTCTACGCGCAGTTGAGCCACCGTGTATACATTGGTATACTGTGCTTGATGAAATTCTAGTCTGGTTGTTCCTTGGCGCTCCGTTCTTCGGCGCCCGACAGTAACAGTTACTGTACTAACTTACTAACCAAGATCCCTAGAACACAATATAATCTAACACATCACACTGTAATTTAGGTTGACCACAAGAGGCGTGATGTGCACACCACCATTACAGTGAGGACAGTACCACAAACATGAAGTCAAACGGGATCATTGCCCAATAATATGATAGCGATCGTGGGGGGTTACATGCAATGCGAAGCCAGCTACATTTATGCAAGGGCCAGATCTGTCACAACTCCCCCTATTAGAAGTGGGTCCTCCATCTTACCGTGAGGCAGACTGCACTTGTCGGTGATTAGCTGACCCGTTTGCATCTTTACGCACAGTCATACCACCACCGTGGATGCTGGGTAGAGATACGGTGGACAGGCTGCTTGCACCGGACACCGCCTTCCCTCGTGTTGACTGAGCGGGGACGTTTGCTTGCTTGCCGTCATGCCGACGTACTGATGCCGGCGCATCCTCTGGTACTGCAGCGTCCAACTGTTCACGTAGTTTCAATTGCAGCTCCACCACTTTGCACTGTAGTTGATGGATGTCCTGGGCTTGCTTGGCACAGAGGCTTTTCAGCTTTTCTTCTTCGCCCGCCTTGGCACAGATTGTCACGGGAACAGTGTGCTGTGGCGGGGACTGCACGCGTGGTGATTTCTGGAAGACAATGTCGGAAAGAAGCTGGTTCTAGACTCGAAATACACAAAGCCTGCCCCTAAAAAAGCTGCGGCGCCAATGCTGTGAGGCAATGCTGTGACCAATGCTGTGACCAATGCTGTGACCAATGCTGTGAGGCAAGGAGCTCTACAGCTACAATCCCGATGCTGTAAAATTTCATTAGTTGTTCGAATTACCACCCTTACTTCCTTGTGTAATGTATTGGCTGAGCCTGTGCCTGCTTATGGCATGAAGTACAGCCCTGAAATAACTCAAATTGATACTACATAAAGTACGGTGCGTGAAACAGACAACTGGTTACACTGGTTGCATGCTCTAACCACACACACGGTGGCTGAGAGTGAAATCTGACCATGGGAAATCATTCTGGCAGAGCGGTATGCTTCGGGGAGCAGCTCAGCGTTTGCAATGCGGGGTACTATGCTGCACCCCAGATATTGGATTTGATTTGCAGGAACAGTTGCAATGCGGAAGCCTATTGCGTAAAGTATGCTTTGCTGGGATCAAAGGACAAAAGCTGCAGGCTTCAGTTTGTGCGACATTCCCGGCATATCCAGTGCAAATGCAGAATAGCCAGATGTCTTGTGAAAACTCGACATGGTTTCTGTACTGCTATCAACGAACTTGTTAGTATACATGGAGCAGGTTTGAGACATTTCCGCTGAAATCACCTTACCATTGTCAATGACTGGAGTATGTGATCATCTCTTTCACTCTTGCCTTGCAGCCTCTCGACTTGGCCCTTCAGTGTCTGCAGTTGATTAGCGAGTGTCTGGCATCTGGCACGGCTTGCGTCATAACGCTGTTGCAGTTCTTTGTGCGATGTTTGCAGCGCAGTCAAGTCTGCTAGCGCTTCCTGCCAAGAAGAAAACAGTAAGCATTTACTAATGCTATTCAAAATTGAACTAGAAATCTAAGAGAAGAGTCGCACCAACCTCTTCTTCACATAGAAAATCTAAGTTAGAGAAATAACACTAAGAACAACAGCAGTGAAATTTACAAGTGTGAATTTTAACAAATCAAAGCAAGAGCAATAACAAATGCGTTTGCTAACAATAAACTTGCAAACTTGTTTGTTCATTTTTCCATTTGCAAGTTTATTGTTAGCACATGCATTCGTTATTGCTCTCGCTTCGATTGTTAAAATTCACACTTGTAAATTTCACTGCTGTTGTTCTTAGTGTTAATGCTATTCACAGGATGTTTCAGGACCCGTTTTCCTTACCCGCAATGGTTTATACTGTTATGTACCTCCTCCCGTATATTGCCTCCTACAACCTTTTCCAAGCTGGCCTGCATGCACCCCATACTAACTTACCCTCACATACTCGCCTTACCCAGGCCAACGGAACAAGAGGTGAGTACGAGGGTAAGTACGTGGTGAGCGATAAAGGTACGTCTGTAGCTTATTTTTGAGTGCTCCTCGTACATTTTGATGGCGATAGAAATTCTCAGACCAAAGTCAGCGCGGCGGTGGCTGTACAGTTTTCTTGTTGATTTTTTAGTTGTTTCATCTCGTACCTACGTCAGTATCATGATGGTAAAGTGAACAGGGTGATTGTCTTCCTCTAGGCTTCGTTCGGCCGACTTTGCTTCGTCCTCGTAGAAAAGTAGTGCTGAAAAAAAGTTCGATTCGCAAAATTATGTTGATTTTTCAATGTACGGGATGACATGCGATTGCTGGCTATGATACCGTACAGTTACCAGTGGTATCGTGTACTCCTGTTTAATTAAGCCTCAGTGATGGATACCTAGTGCATGCACAGCCTCAGTGATGGATACCTAGTGCATGCACAGTTTGTATGTCGAATATGAACATGTACATGTAGGTATATCCTACCTTGGCCACGTGCCGCTTCATCTTATCCATCTTGTCGAGAGCTTTCACCTGCCGCTGGTCGGCAAAGGCAGCAAACTCAGGCAGATCGTTGGTCTCAGTGACAGTGGATTCCTGCATCTTGCTGCTGCTTCTACTGGCATTCTCCAGCTTCGCTTTGCACTGCTTCAAAGTATGTTGCAGTTCACTGACCTGAAAACGTCATAGAACAGCCACACACAGACAGTAGTCCGCACTGGGTTGTCTAAGTGCACCCAGTCCTAACTTATGATAATACTAATGGGCAGATTCGGCACATCAGCTTGAAAGGAATCATAATGTCTCCACGTTCCCACCCCCTCTCTTTCTGTACGTATGCCGCTTATCTCCCTGCCTCTTCTGTCCCTTCCACATAGCAAGACTCGAACCCAAATATAGATCAGATAATTTTCAGAAGCACGTTATGAGGGGTGGGGGGGGGGGGGAGGGGGAGGTGTCAGCACAACTATGCAATCGTTGGAAGTACTACATGCAGTGGTTTTCTGCCTCAAATCTGAGATTGCCGGTCATGATCTATAATTGTTATCCCTGCCTCACCTTGGCTTGGAGCACTGTGATCTGCTGCTGCCGTCCTCTCCAGCCAGGGCCGCTGCTGCTGTCCTTTTCCTGCACCATACTTTGTATATCTGCTCCATCACCCAGCTCTCTGATGAGTAGCTGTGGTGTGGATCCGATGCGGCGGAGTGAGACAGCACGCCAGCAAGATGCAAGTCAAAAAAAAATGTCATGGCTGAATCAGGATGATGTATAACATTCGCACATCTTTGTGTTAAAGGGGAAGTTAAGCCTAAAATCAAATGTTCACCAGTTGTAGTCTTCGGGGTGCTGAGTTGAATGGTCTTGGTCCGAGGAAGCTGAGACACTCCCTTCCTTCTTTATTCCCAATCGAACTCGCACACTTCCACCGAAACTGGGTGACTGCGCCCTACTAGTTGGGGATTTGTACGCAAAATGTCACTAAAAGCACCATGTTGTTCTTATAAAAGCACGGATGACCGCGATTGGCCCATATATTGTAGTCTTTTGGACGCTTAGTCGACTGGTTTTGGTCCGAAAAGGCTGCAATGTAGCATTCGGCCCTTATTCCCAATCGAACATGGCTGAACAAGCGGTCACGTGGTTCTGCGTACACCAGTCACCTGGTCACCGTGCCTGCAGGCTACAACTTACAGCATGTTTGGGTGAGTTTCTGTCCCTCGAGTTGAACCTTTGAACCTTTGAGTTGAACCTTGGTGTGAAAGTTGTCGCATGCTGGCGTGGTGACCAGGTGACCGCTTGTTCAACGGTAACGGTAACTGTGTTTAATCCCTGCATGTAGCCAAGCTTCACCGAAAATAAGATCAGGACATCAAAGGCATCACAGCAAATCCAGCACTGACCTTGTTCATCACTCTCAGCTCCTGCTTGTGCTTCTGGCACTGATTGCGATACTCTGTCATCTTGCCCGTCACATTGGACAGTTGATCTTGGAGTCGGTGGTTCTCCACCTCCTGTGCACACAAGCATGTAGAATCGCATTAGAGAGAGAGAGAGAGCACAGTCCTCGTTGAAGACAATCAGTGACCGCGACTTGACACAGGTACCGCAGGCCGCACATTCGTTTTAAACAGCTGCATGGATCTTACAATCAATTCAGAAATAATTACCTATTACTATAAAACTCTAGAACGAAGTCAAGTTTGCATGTATCCACACAATTTCATGCATCCAGTCCAGAAGGCACTTCACATAAGGTATCAAACGTTTCGTTCCCTTCTCTTCAAGGACTCTGTAAAACCTAAAAAACATTTCACGGTGAATGACCAGTGCAATTAATTAAACCTTTGGCTAGATTTCCATGATCAGGACAGGTTAGTCACTCATCAATAAACAGAGTTGAATAGCTAAAATTATTCTCGGAAATCTGGTCTGTGACCCTAATTCAGCCTAAATCAGGTTTGTGACCCTAATTCAGAATATATCAGGGTTTTTTTAGCCTAAGCCAGCCTAGATCAGAGTTGCAAGCCTAAAAGTCGGCCCAAGTTAGGTTTGACCCCGAACATAATTTTCTTCATGAACAGACTCACCAGTACGCCTGGGGGCGGTTTCTCTGCGATGTGATGCCTTTCTGCTAGGTCAGCCTGCGGGCAAAGAAAACATCAACTGGTGAATACCCCAGTAACTCGGCCATCATCATGGGTGAGAAAGAACAGAAGGACAACAAAAGCATTGAAAGATTTGGAGAGATGTTATACAATTATGTCACCTTGAGATCTTTGATGTCCTGCTTGAGACGCAATGCCTGACTTTTTTCGGCCGCAATTTCAGCAGACAGCTCTCGGTTCTTGCGTGACAATCTAACAATCTTGTCTGCCGCCGAGCTTCCAGCGCCTCCTACATTGAAGAGTAACACAACAAAGCTGAACTAGAACTTGTGACGAGGCCGCAGTTTGGGACTGAATTGACACACCATATTCAGTAGAAAACTTGTTGCACATTGTGTGCGTTTTCAACATTATACATTTTTCAGCTAAAAGCTGCATATGTGTGTGTGTGTGTGTGTGTGTGTGTGTGTATGTGTGTGCGTGTGTGTGTGTGTGTGTGTGCGTGTGTGTGTGTGTGTTGGTTACTGCTTGTGATGAAGCATGCACTGTGTGTGTGTTTTACGCATGTGCGTTGACCCACCGACT